CGATTTGAGAAATTCCTTTTTTTTTAATTCGGTTGAAAAGTAAACAATTCGAATTCGGGGGCTATTTACTAATATTTAAACATGTGAATATGTCAATGTACACATTTATTACTCAATTAAACATTTACAGCTGATATACAAAGGATTTCAATAATTAAAAATTGTGTTTAAAACAAAACTGACTTCAATTGTGACAATAATAAAGATTTTGATCTAAAAACTAAACTACTAAACCGATTTTTGACACCATTCTCTAAATTCTTTCAGATAAAAAAGGATTATTCCATTCGGTTTAGAACTGACGAAGTTATGAGGTAACTCCTTCTCTTTGAAATCAATTTAACACAGAATACTCTTTATCCAAAACGGATAAATGAGACACTCACTAACTAGCACTAACTAGTAGTAAACACCTGAAATAAACAGATCTTCAGAATTCACGGCGCATAGTTGCATAATTAATCAAGCATGTACTCAGCAATGGTCCATTGCATCACTATGTAGACACATTATCTATACGTCGAAGATTCTAAAGCAGAGTTGAATAAACAAGCAAGCACATACTTTAATAATATGACTAATTTTAAAATACAGATTCGACTGAATGAGTAAGGATTGATGAAGACGAAACGATCCTGTCAATATAATATACATCCGAAAATTTGTAACGGTGGACAGATTGATCAATGTTTGTTACTTTTTCACGCAAAATCTATTGAACGAATTTGCATTAAATTTGCTGTATGGGTAGTGTTGAAAACTGTGATAACTGCGATGCAAATGCGGCTAAACTATTATATATTTATAAGGACGACGAGATAAATAAAATACATATTACGTTTTCAACATCCATTTTTTACTAAATTTGAATAGAATCAACAGAATGCATTATATTTTTAATAATAAAAAAGTATAAGTGGCCAGTACGTGCAATAATAAAAAGAGTTCATTCTTACATATTAAATTGAATCTGCAACATCCTCTACATCTACCTAAAAATATGTTGAAAATAAATACTAAGGTGTTACAAGTTCAATATGTATCAGAAATAAAGAAGATTACGCTAAAACTTCTAGTGGATAAAGTCTTTGATATGGGCAAATTTTAAAACCTAACGCTGTTTTACAGATCGATCCACTTTATCTTTCTCAGTATATATTTCCTAGTAGCCACTTTACTTGTCTCTCCTCAGTTTCTATCAATACAATATCAATTTTTAAATTAGTTTCTTTTTCCTTCTCTTTTTGTAATTCATCTCTGCACCACAAATTCTTAACAGATTTCTGTCTGCACATTAAACTGATATTTGCAGGAAGGCTTTGGCAATATCGGCTGATATCCCTACAGTACCCTTTCGAAAGCCCATTAATAAATGAGGTATTTTATCTAAAAAGTTTAACCTCTTATTCAAGTATGAATTCAGTGATCGACCATTTTTATCACAAGCCAACGCGTCGAACACTGGTCTTAATTTTGTAATTAAACTTGCATCTTTAACTACTCCTCTATGCGGTAAATAATGAACCATCTGTCCTAATTTATCTTCCGATACTTCGTCTATTATGCCCTTTTCTTTTCGACAACTTACTTTATAATATTCAAGAAACTTACCATAGGGCATTAACCGTTTGGTATTCGTGGACAGTCTCTTTTCAGCTATGCACTGAATAAAAGCTTTACATATTTTGGCGTAGTGCCCTGGTTTTAGACATATTAGACAAGCTTTTTTCTTCTTAAGATGCTCTTTTCTTTGTTCTAACGACATCTTCGACAATTTATAACATTCTGCACCAGCATGACCTTTGTCGCACCATATGCATGCAGATTTCCTTTCTGATCTGCTCACTCCGGCCATTAACGTTGATGCTGTCGATTCTGTTGCAACCGTTTGCTCTGATGTGTTACCAAAGTTTTTCGCTATTTTAATTCGTTGCTCGCTTTCGACTTCTCGTTTTATGAACAGTAGTAAACTTCCCAATTCATCTTGTACTTCAATTGGCTTAATTCTTTCCCATGCCTTCAAAACGTCTAATGGTAAAGACGATTCTACCATTGGAAGAATAAATGCGGCATATTTATCTTGTGTTACACCCAAAGTTTCTAAGGCGCGCAACTGGGAGTTGAGTTGATCATAAAGGCTTGATAAATTCATATTTTTGTCTTTATTTATTATTAATGTAAGTAGCTCTCTCGCATAAACTTGAATCAGTAATTCCTCACGTGCATATCTACACTTCAAATCAGAAAGGCATTGTGTGTAGCTTGATTTATTTGGAGGAAAACTTTCAACAAAAGATCTTACTTCTGTTCCCGGCATCATAGATTGGACTAAGTATTGAAATTTATCCGCATCATTCATCTGTTTATCCTCATCTATTTTCTGGAACTGTCCCCAGAAGGGTAACCAACTACGTACACATCCGTCAAACTTCCTTAACTCCAGGGCTGATAATTTGTAATTCTTTGCTGTTTCAGATCCTGAAAAACCAACGCTTTCTTCTTTTGTTTTAGACAGAACATTCTCGACTCTTGTTTTCATTGTCAGCCATTTCTTATTGTAAGCTATCACCTCTTCATATTCTTTTTCTAGCCCACTTTCGTCATACTCTTTTTCAGCTAACAACATTTCTATATCTCTATCAAGTACCTCTAATTTCTTTATAACTCCTTGAAGTACTAAATAATTCAATTCGATCTCCGATATATTTAGTTCATCTTTATCTAACAAATTTTCTAAAATATTAGAGATCTTACTAACTTGTGCTCTCGCCGCCCGTCGACACCGTTTCTTCGCATCTATCCTGGCAGGGTCGCCAATTGTTGAAAACTGTGATAACTGCGATGCAAATGCGGCTAAACTATTATATATTTATAAGGACGACGAGATAAATAAAATACATATTACGTTTTCAACATCCATTTTTTACTAAATTTGAATAGAATCAACAGAATGCATTATATTTTTAATAATAAAAAAGTATAAGTGACCAGTACGTGCAATAATAAAAAGAGTTCATTCTTACATATTAAATTGAATCTGCAACAGGTAGGTTATATCCTAAATTAGCAGATAGGATAGTTTATGTACTCATTATAACGCGAACAAAACCACGGGAGCGAAAGCTAGTAATAAAATAAATGCAACCCAATCTCAACAATCGCCTGATCCTCAAGCAAGGAGTTACCGGCCAACGAACATCTGGATGCACAACTCTGAAGAGGTAGACCCGAGCCAATTTAAAAAGTTCATTAGCTAAATTGGCCCGATTAGAAATCAATGCAAAACAATGTACCCACTTGTAGCCACGGAGGTAATCAATGATTTTCTTGTAGAGCAATAACTGATTTCAGCATTTGAAAGAAAACTAGCGCAAGGGATCTTTTGATATTTTAACGATTTATTACATTGAATATTAATTGATTGCAACTTGTTCAACTGAAAGATTATCTACTTAGGGCCGTAGCTAGATCCAAGTTTAAAGTAGAAGCGAAGCCATAATTAAGTGACTTCGAAAATGCGAATCGATGTAATTTTCTTGGGGCCTTACATTTTAAGGTAGAGCATTGCCCCTCAATGCTCTCCACACCCCCTAGCTACGGCCATGTATCTACTACTTGCCACTAGTAGTAGAGATTAGTATTTGAAAATTAGATATTATATCTGTTTTACAATTTCACACGACTCGCTACACGAAGAAAAGACGTGTTTGGGAAACGAACTTTCTTTAGAAACTCCGCTTTTCTTAGGTTGTACGCAGTCACATTTAGGTCATGTTTATACAATACAAAAACAGAAGGTTAGTGATTTATCACTATTATTTATAGAAGCTTTTACTCACTAATTAACGGTTTGTTTTGCAAATCTTTTGAAAGAATAAAATCAATGAGCATAAATAAAATTCGAAACCTCAAAGTTAATAGGATTCAATCATTTTAATTGAATTCTGCAATGGAATTAAACCGAGATAAAACCAAGGATGGGCATAAATATTAAGAATAATATCATCAAATATCTCTCCTGGATTTAACTATGATAGGTTTTGAGGAAATGTTATATATCTGTAACGTAATGCAATGTTGTAATGAATAAATAGGGAGGTATGATTATAATATGTAGTTGAAAAAATTAAGTAACTTATTAAATTTAAGTAAATTAAAGACAATTAAGTATACTTTTAAAAAGACTGAGAACTAGAAATTTACAACATAAGCTACATATCATCATTATTCCACTGCTGAACATAGGCCGTCCTGTAGACCGCCATAAGGAATGGCAAGCAATATAAGTAAGTATATAATATAGTAAGGATGAATTGAGTAAAAAAAAATAATAAATATACATATAATTTATCCGAAAGATAAAAAAGTTTTCTAAAACCTTTAGCGTTGACACGAATAGGTAGATGTGTAATTATTTTAGTATTTCTTTGCTTCCGGATTTTAAAAACGATAACTCAGCGAAGCGTGTTTACAAATTTTTAATAATAGATGTGTTCAAACACATACATACACACTATTGTATATGACAGAACCATACAACATAATACTACACAGCAGTTTAAATTGATGGTATTTAGGGCACCGGAGCAGCGGCAACTTATTCACATCGGAAGAATCTATTTTTTATCTTGCCAATGGGTAATTATTAGAAATCCTTTAGCGCTACAAGACTATAAGAGATTGTGCAACATGAACTTTAATTTGGTGAAATCTGAAAGAATTTACAAATCCGTTGTAGATTTCTGAAGATTAAATTCTAAAGTCTTCTCTAATCCTAGTACAGTTGAAAAAATAACGAAAAAGTATGTATTGATTAAAGAAAAAAAAAACTATTTCTACGCGGGAAAACTATGCCTAGTGCGGAAAGGTGGAACGCAGAGAACTCCCTCGCTGCATGCGTCCGAAAATACGTTCACCACTAAATATAGACGTCGTAGGAAATGGGCTACGTTGCCGTCGGATTATCGCTTATTATCTAGTGTTAATTATAATGCACTTACCAGAATCGTGCGCTCGCATGCTAGTGTTGGCGAATGCGTGTTTATTTCACTGAAAATATTTTAGTTCGCGTCGCCGCTCGCGTGCGCAGATCCCGGTCGTGTGGCGCCCGCCCGGGCGGTGTGCCGACTGAGGCGGCCACGATGCGCGCGCGCACGCATACCCACTCGATCTTTCTATATTAACGACACTGTGTCTCGTGGTTGATACTGCGATTGCGTATCCAGTACACAGAACAGCACGCCAGATCACTGTGTTTGTGAAGAAAAACCGCAGCAACACAATTGGAGCTATTCAAGCATTGAGTCAACGCCTGCTCGCTCTACATCTTCGCTGCTCGGTAACTGGCTTTGTTAGTTAAGTGAAGGTCCATTTGATTCTTCGTCAGTGATGTTTGACTGATACTTACCTATTTTGATGCAACTGTCTGCCACAAAATGAGTTTTTTTTTTTATATCGGATCACATAAGGATCCATTTGTTGGGGAAAAGGGAAAGAAGTCATGTAGTTGATAAATGGTTGGAATTTGAAACGGTACAGATGATGAGAGATATATCATACGAAAACGGAAGGATGCAGGTATTAGGAGAGGCTTAGTCTGATTAATAATGATCAGATAGAGCATTTATTATATGGAGGAGAGGCACGAGTTTCGGAATTAATGTTGACGTATAATAAAAATGAAGAAAGTAGGTACCTAGATAAAACAAGGAAATCTGTGTTTAGATACCTATATATCTGTATATAACTTTGGTCCTAGCATTCTTTGTAAAGGTAAGGAGACCTGGCGTAGAAAAAAAGATAAATTGATCATATCAGATTGTTATATCGAATACTATTTGGGGATAACATCAAAATGTCTTAGAAATTGGAGTGCTAGCATAAATTATTTTAAAATAGTCAAATGAAATAAAGATCTGATAGTAAGGCTGAATAATATATAGCATTATCTATATGTTGTAGTTACAATATCTATACATAAATTAGCCCAATAACGGATATATTAGATATCGATTATCCAATATCTAATATCGAAAAAAAGAACCCGCTCGTAATGAAATAGATATCCGACCTGTATGGGCGATATCGCAATGGATTTTCATCAATGTTCAGAACTCAATATATATATATCGGATATTACGCATCTCTATCTATAAGACATTCTTTTATGTGTTGTCTATCCCGCAAGGGCCTCGGTATGAACACCTATAGATATTATAAGTACAAAAGTTTATAAGGATTGACGAATGTTTGTTACTCTCTCACGCAAAAACTACTGAACGAATTTGAATGAAATTTGGCATACGGGTATATTATACCTTAGTATATATCTTATATGTTAAGTTAGAATATAATCTATTTTATATAATATATTGATACATGTAGACAAAACCGCGGAATACACATAGTATTCACCATACATACACATAGTAGTCACCAGGGGGAGACTTTGTACAAAAGTCGATTGCTTGGGTACCTCTGTCCCATTCGTGTTTCCACCGTGAAGCAGTTGTGTTTGCATGGCTGTGTTTCGATTTGAAGGGTGGGATATGGCGTGAATTTACAGGGTACAGAGGAATAACCTCTGAGTCTTCAGGAATGGCAACGCATGTGGGGTATCATGGGCGAAACAGTATACTCTGTTATGTTCATGGTACTGCTCACGTCTATAGGCGACGGTTACCACTTTCCATCAGGTGGGCCGTCAGCTTGTTTGCCATTCTAAGTTGTATAAAAAAAGTATTGAATAGATCTAGATGTACAATATATACACACATATATTGACCAATTTGACATATATACATATATGTCTGTATAGTCAAATTGGTCGAGTTTTGTGCGTAACAACAGATTTAACGATTTATTTTTATTTATATAGATAACAATTGCATTATATATGAGCATTACATTCGAGTCAATATTAGCGTAGGCACATCTTGTTACTAAACTTTCTAAAGAACGTTCACCTACTACCATAATAATCCTCCACTAAATGTGGAGGCGTAGTTTTAGCTTATGCTTATAGAATATCTTCGAAATAACCGAAATCTTTTATCAGATGAATTAAAAAAATATATAATTTTTTTTTTTTGATATGGAGTAGTAAAAAATGCGGTGTCTAAAATATAGTGGTTAGGGGCTTATTAGAGGGTGTAGCGTATCACTAGCCAACATATGGTCATAGTCGTAGAATACTGACGGATCTTTATATGTAATATTTGTCAGATCCGTCAGTATTCTACGACTATGACGATATTTTGTTTTTTAATTTCTGTCATTGTCTTTTTATTTGCTATTGGAGTTATGATAAAAGAGAACTGCACTATCAAGTAATTACATTAGTCAATTCTTTTAATGTTATCATCTCCTACAAATAGTAGTATGCCCGTTATCTTTCTCACTTCAATACATTTACTACAATTTTGTTTCCTTTATTTTTATCAGGTAAATGACTAAGATACACTGTGTAATTGTCAATTTAGAGATAATATACACTTATTTCATAACATAAAGTGCAAATGAGCATGCGGCTCGCCAGATGGTAAGTGTAAAAGTACCGTCACCCATGAACAGTCCCGCAACACCAGAGAAACTGCAAGTGTGCTGCCGGCCATTTACAAAGGAATATACTCTCTTTTTAGATGATTTTTTTTTCATTTACGTATACGCAATATGACATACCATTGTTTTAATCATCTAAATATTATTGTCACTCCTTCGTGCTTAGAAAAAACTTTAATTTGTCGTCCGGTAAGCCACTTCAGAGCACTTCTGTCAGTGGCACATTTATCAGCAGGCTAAGTAGGCTGGAGATTTTAGGTGCAACAAATTTAGGCAAAAAAAAAATAGTCACAATATAATTGGCAAAAAATGTAATTAATATAATCGTGTACTGGACTATATTTTATTAGCCTATTAGCGGCAAATGTGTAAATCAGCTACTGCTTCGTGCACAACTAAAGCGACCTAGAAACAACATCAGAGGGCACCACCTTTACACGAGAATTAGTATTATATAATATATAGGGTATAAAATATAATAAAACAACTAATTCGGTGTTCGGAATGTATCTATTCTAAAACATAACTAAACAAATTATCTAGTTAATACAAAATATTTAATATATCATCAATAAATAAAAGACAGAACAAAACAGAAGTTTCTGCAACTTTGGTGGTATTGCTTCAATACAAAAACATATAATCTAATCGTCCAAACATTCGAAATGTAACGGAAAAACGTACATCACTATTGTATTATGATATTGTCTCACTTTATGTAAATGTTTTTATAATATTAACTTACAAATTTATCATTGTATACTTTACATTGTTAATATTTTTACAATACCAATAGGCGCCTATATAATTTATCGTACCACTATACGATATCGTATAATTTTTATACGATATAATAGAGTTATGATTGTATCGTTATGATATAATAGGGAAGTTGAATATATGCAATTATGGAGATACTTTTAATTTTCTACAAAGATATCGTGGACGTGCAAATTCTATATTTTTGCTCTCCTACTATATCGTAACGATAAAATCGTAAAATATCGTTGGATGCTACGATAAAATATACATGCGGTCAATAAGCTTATACCTAATTAAGGCGCTGCACAAAGTATAGACATTTTCGGACATTAGCAACAAAATTTCTTTTAAAATTTCCAAAGAGGATGTTACGTTTAAATTATTTTTTGTATGTACCGATACCAATTCCACCATAAATCACAAACGTTTAAATTAAACAATTCTCGTTCAGTGTAAAAAATATTAAAAAAAAAGAAAGGATATTTAAAATTGATTTTGACGTAATATACAAAAATAAAGACGAATTGAGTATCTTCTTAGAATGTATGTTTTGTTTTGGCAAGTGTCGCCATCTATTATCACTCTAAAGCACTAATTATGATGGTGTCCGTATTTCGACCAAATCGTCATAGTCGTAGAATACTGACGGATCTGAAAAATATTACATATAAAGATCCGTCAGTATTCTACGACTATGACGAAATAATCGTTCAATGTATTTAGTAATTATTATTCAACTTATGTACAAATACACCTATTATGTGTCACCAAAATGTCCTATTCCAACTGTACGGTCCACGTTTTCAACATTAAGATGTTCCTACTTTTGGAAGTCTCTAAAGTCTATGTTTGCACAGCGCCAAAATGTGAAACGAATATACATTTATATTTTTATTACATTCTCAGTTTTTACAGGCGTTGTCGTAACAAAAAGCAAGTCATAATAAACGCATTAACCTGCTATCTAATTCACTAATTTCAGACCCATTATCTCTTGTTTGCATTGCTTTATATAGTTCAAAGATACCGATTATACAGCGCATAGGCGACCTTCATTGTAATTACTGTGCAGTATTATGCCAGAAATAATTTATTATAAAATAGCATTGTTGGCGTATTTAAGATTACTCTCCAGGATGGGTGCGGGTGAGTGGGGACAACTCCAGAATGAGCGGGCTCTCCTCTCCCCTCTTTAAACACACCTATAAATAGCATTAATGATCTATAAAAGTTACTTTTATAATCTCATTTTTTTTTTTATATTTTTATCAATTTGCTCTAGGTTCATTTTTACATGTGTTCAATTAAACATATTAAATTTCTTTATTACATTAAGTAGTTACATTTTGTTAAACGAACAGGAATATTATTTAAAAAAAAAAAAAGCTATTATGTTACTGGTACGAAGCTTCGTCGAGTATTTCTAGTATACAAAAATATAATACCATAGAGATTATATCTAGCAGATAATTAAAAAAAAACTGACAGTCGGCGGTATCTATTAAATGCCTGTTAAACAAACGGCGCATTATTAAAATGCTACGAGCGATGAAATGGCAGGCTCTTAAAACTGGATATATGTAAAACTAACAATAACATAAAAATATTAAAAAAATAAATAAATAGGAATCATATTGAATTAATATTGCAATAATTGATTAACTAATACATTATCCAGGAGTCGTGAATGCGTGACAAAATTATAATGATATACCATACTTAACGTTTTGACCGCTCGACTTTGCAAGTTTCCGTGCCCATACCACTTATGTTACTTGCTGATATAAAGTAAATTTTTAAAGTCAGTTAAATAATTTGTAAGTTAAGTAATTGACTTTAACTCTTACAAAAAAAAAAAAAAAACAAATGTTACACATTCCTCTTTATTAGTTTAGGCTTGATTTTATTTCTTCAACTGACTTAAAAAAAAAGGAGGTTCTAAATTTAAAATTTTCAAAGTTGTATTTTTAATATTTATTACTTCATAACTCCTTCCAGTTGTAAAATGATTTGAAAAATTCTTTTTTTTACATAAAAGGATATACTTTTAGTCATCCGTGATTTCATGACTGGGATATGTATTAGACATCGTCATGAGACACATGTCCTAGCGGTCCTATATAATATCCTTAATGATCCCAATTCTCCTTCCTACCTTCGTTCCCGGTTCCAATTATTACCTCCTCCTTCCAGACCTAGACGTCTTTGTCTGAACCAGTCCAGGGTACTGAAGCTTCCCAACTGTAAAACCCATTTTATGGGTAACTCATTTGCATATCGTGCTGTACAGCTGTGGAATAAACTTCCCGTGAACATTCAGAATAGCCCGTCTAGCAGTTCCTTCAAAAAAAGATTAAAATCATTTTATCTTTCCAATTTAATTTAAATATAAAAATGATTAGAAGACTGTCATCATTGTGTTCTCTTGTATCTGATATTTATATGTTGTATTTAACGTGTGTATGTATGTGTGTATATGTATGTGTATATGTATATATATGTGTATGTGTATGTATGTATATATGTGAATGTATGTGTGTATATATATAATTATTTATAATTTATGTAAATATTTATTTAAATTTCTGTCTTGCACTACTACTGCCCACTCACTACTTCCTATGCCACTGCGTTAGGTTGACTGGAAGAAATCTCTTTTAGAGATAAGTCCGCCTTTGCTAACATTGTTATTAACTTATTGTTGTTACTGTATGTTTTTGTGCAATAAAGAATATATATATGTTTATTGACTGGGATAAAATGTATCATACATTCTTCTCTATTCCGTATATTTATACAATCTTTCACAGTGATTGGGAAAACCATTACGGTGCTATAAAGTAACAAATAAACTCACTTTCACATTAGTAAGGATTTGCAATAAAAAGTTTTCAAGTATTTCTATCGCTTGTCCAATAGCTACAGTACAAGCTCTGCTTAGGTTCGGACTAGATGGCGCTGTCACAGTATTAACTAGAGGTTTTCGGACAATAGAGGGCACGAAAACATTTACAGTTAAGTAACTATAAAAATAATAATCTATATATATAAAAATTAATGCCACTTTTCGTTATAATTTTATAACTCAAGAACGGGCTCACTTATCCAAACCAAATGTTTCGACTTTGTTTAGACTATTTAGTAGATGGTTTATGTGAAGTTTGCACAAAACCGGTCGAGCGGTTCTTCATTTATAAAATTTTTTTGTAACAAATGAATTCAATGAATGGCGGATCATTTTCTTAATGGGGATTTTTGTATCAAATTCAAACTTTTTTTAAGATAGGGAGTGTGCTGTTAAATTGAAACTTTTTTCAGTGTTGACAGTACAAGCATGTTGTTATGTCATTCATCATCAGTCATTTCATTTTGGACGTGCTTCGATTAAAGCAAATTGTCAGCGATAATTATTGCTTTGTGTTTATATTTTTAAACATATTGTTAAGTGCATTCATCCAAACGGTAGATTGTTCAAATGTATACTATGTATCACATATACATGCGTGTACTTTTCTCAGTTTTTTAGCGAGTCGTCGGTGTTTCATATCGTTTACAGACGTTATTTAATTGAAAATTGTCAAACAACGGTAGGTTTTGAACTGTTGTAGTGAATTACATACATAATTTTTTTTTATTATTTCACGTTATACGTACCGAAGCACGTACACTACATATATATATATATATATATATATATATATATATATATATATATATATATATATATATATATATATATATATATATATATATATATATATATATATATATATATATATTATTTATTTATTAATTTACAATTTATTTATCATTTTAATCGAAACAAAATTTCCTGTACCTTTCCTGCATTAGATTATCCACTAATTATTTTCTCTCTCAATTCACTGGGTTGGGTTAAAGAAATTAGAGATAAGCCCACCCTTGTTAACAAGTTGTTAAACTAATCACTGTATATTTTTTTAAGTGCAATATAGAATACATAATATAAATAATTTTCGCCATCTTGTTCTTTAAGCGTGGCGGTAGCATAAACGTACCTATAGATAAACTGGTTCGCCATTAGTCGTTGAAACAACTGTTTGGAGATTCAGATACGGTATTGGGCGAATATTTGAGAAAATATTCTGTAATATAAAGCTAATTTATTGTAATTCTTTTTACTTGTGTTGTAACTGTGAATCGATTCTGAGGCGCTATTTCTCTAAATTTATCTTTAAAATAAAAAAAAAAAACTTATATCACTGAAAATCTTTATTCCAAGCACCAACCACCAGAGGAAGGCTTTGTACAAAAGTCGTTTGCTTGTGTACCTCTGACCCATTCGTGTTTCAACCGTGAAGCAGTTATGTTTGCATGGCTGTGTTTCAGTTTGAAAGGTGGGATATGGTAGTGAAATTACAGGGTACAGAGACAACACCTTAGTCGTCAAGAATGGCAACCAATGGGGTGTATCATGGGCGAAACAGTATACTCTGTTATGTCCATGGTACTGCTTATGTCTACAGGCGACGGTTACCGCTTTCCACCAAGTGGGCCGTCAGCTTGTTTGCCATTCAACTTGCATTAAAAAAAATCTAATAGATTTAAATCGAAATTATTATGAATTTAATTCATGGGAATTCATAAAACAGCGAAATTATCATATTAAAATATTATAAATAATAAATTAAGTGTTAAATTTGAAGAAATAGCGCCTCTGAACCTTATCTATTAATGAATGTTATCAACATTGACACCATACTGTGCAATGGTTGAATAACACAACATAATACACATCACACCACGGCCACTAGCACAGATGTTGGGTGAAAATTAATTGCACAAACATTTGTCCACATATCACTTCCACTAAGTGTATACAAGTCCACTAACAAACGTTGGTCACAAATGTCACTAGTCTATAGTGACGACGTCGTTGGCCAACAATCATTTGTTGGATGACGTCAGTCCAAGAGCGACTGACAGCAGACGCACCACGTTCTTTTGTTCCGTTGGCTCGTTTTCTGTAATATAATGATTGATTATAATAAATTTCGATATAAAGAAAGCTAGTACAAAAAGTGTCCGAGGCAGAATTGCGTTTCGCATCTTAGAAAAGAAAAAATATAACTATTTCATGTGTATATGAATTTTATGCACTTTATACAGGGTGTGAGTGACAGGTTGGCAAAACCTGAAATAGTGAATTCAAATAATTTTTCTGAACTGAAAACCAATAGAAAATTTCAATTCTTTTTCCTGTTTTCTTTTATTTCATTTAAAATAATGTAATCTATAACATTATGTCATAATATTAATAATATGCTACATACATAAACAGGCAAACCAACAAAAAAAAATCCCAATTTGAAACGGTACATACCGTCCGCGGCCGTGACGTGTTTCTCTAGATTGAGTTTCTCCTGTGCGACCTGGTAGATGCCCTCCTCAATGGTGCCGGAGCTCAGCAGCCGGTAAATTGTGACCGGCCGCGTTTGACCCATCCGGTGGCATCTGTACAAACATAGACATATTTTTAAAAGGACTAAATATATCCCGATAATACAACCTCTGCTTAATCTGACACTAGATGGCGCTAAACACAAGTAGATTATATTTCACAAAAAAATCATGAATTAGTTGCACAGACAAGAGGGAACTCTTAAATGAAGAGAAGATATCCTAGCAGGTCGACCTCCATGTAGTTCCCCCTGGAAATCATCGCAGTAAAGTACCGGATGAATCAAATTGACTGCTTCATTCTCACCTATCATTCCTCACTGGTACACCAGCGTACACCGATAACTCAGGCGGGGTTAACATTCCATTATTGGAGGGAAAAGGGATTGTTAGTAATGGAGACTAAGAATCCCATTGCTAGCAATATACCCAACCAGGTCGACCTCCTCGCGGTTCCCCCTGGAAACTATCATGATTAATTCCTGATGAATTCATCATGACGGACTGACTGGCCTGTTTTCATCCTCATCAATCACCCTTCACTGGTGCCCCGCCAGCGTATCCCATTAGCGCAGGCGGGGTTGCCACTCCATTTTCATCCAATAAAAAAAAACATTCCATTATCACCTATTGAAAAAAAAAAAGCCATTCAATTATCATCAATTTAAAGAAGTGTCATTTACCTGTCCTCGGCCTGCTTGTCGTTGTACGGATTGAAGTCGATGTCATGTATGACGACCGTGTCGGCCGCAGTCAGGTTGATGCCGAGCCCGCCGGCGCGCGTCGACAGCAGGAACACGAAGATGTCCTCCGCGTTGTACTGGTCTATTAACTCTTGTCTGTATACGACACAATGTGTATTCATACAGTAACTATTAAGTTACATATCGAAGTTCGCGAGTATGACGAGTCAAGTCATACTCGGGAACAATACGTTGCTGTAGTCATATACTAAAGGTTTGTGGGACGTCATATTCCCGGGAGCAATCTACTCGTAGTTATTTTTTTTTTTATTTAAATGAATTTTTTTTTATAAATATAATAACTATTACTTTTTATTATTAGCCATTATTGTTCACTGCTGAACATGAGCCTTCACTACAAGTGTTTGCCAGTAATTGCCACACTTGGCAAGCAGGTTGACAATCACAGTTAGATTTTGGTAATGCTTTAAGAGAGATACGGCCGCCCATCTCTCGACGAGAAAGGAACGAGTGGCCTATTCTATGGTGGAACCACACGGAACAAATATAACAATAGATAGAATTAAAGATACATTAAGGGACATTATGTAATTGTAATGGGTATTAAAGTATTTAACCATCTTCCCTTAAACATTAAATGTCAGGACAAGCATACCATATGTTTAAAATTAAACTCAAAGCCTGGCTTTTTGATAACGTTTTTTATAATTTAAATGAATACTTTAATCTTAAAACTCATTAAATTAATAATAATTGACATGTAAGCGAAATTATGTTTATTTTATTTTAATTCGGTTATAATTATTCTTTGTCTTGTTATTTGTATTGTCAAATATTTCATATTTATTTGTAATCGAGTAATGGTAATAGTATTGAATGTTTCGATGTTAATATAATTACCTGTTCTTAAATTGTTGCATGCCCGATAGGGTATAACTGTTGATACTGATGTCAAATTCAAAGCAATGGTTACTGCTATATGTATGTACATAGCTAGCAATAAAATTCTATTCTATTCTATTCTATGTAATAACAATATTTGTACGCCGCAATAAAATAATGTTATTAGTGGCAGAGATCTTACCTATCATTCACAGCTGTGCTACCGTCGAGCCGGAGGTATCGATGCCTCCTGGCCTCCAGGTACGGCTCCAGGATGTCAAGCATCATGGTGAACTGGCTGAACACGAGCACCCGGTGCCCGTCTTCTTTCAACTGAGGTAGCATTTCATCCAGCTTTTGGAACTTCCCCGAGTCGAGGATCAGGTGCTCCGGAACTGAGAATGAGCTAATACACTGCGGAGTAATGTATATGGGCACATTTAGTCTATAAAGTTGATGACTTATTTCGCAAGATATGTGCACATAATTGTCAACTTTAAATAACTTTTTGGAAGGTTCAAATTTAATTATCACTTAAGAGTATTCATATGTACCCTCCTATTCATTAAAACATCAAACATCTCAAAGTTTTATTAGCTATTTAAGTACTGTCGTTTTTTTTTTTCTTTTGTGCCAACATCTCAATATGAAAGTGACACAACACACTTCTTTTTTTTTAAATGGCATCCACTTAGAAAAAACGGTGGTTTCCTGCCAACGTAAAAGGGTTAGAGAAGACTCCATGTAATTTATATCATGTAAATCATTCAGTTGAGTTCTCTGGAATTAAGGACAACACAAGATATGCTTACACTATATACTTGGAAAAGGCAAGTAAATTTTTATATAACATGTATATACATATGAATGTAATATAGCAAGAACAATATGTGGAAGGAATGAAAAACGAGAAGTGTATAGAGAAACATATATTTTAAATTTTTCTATTATTGGAACATATAAATTTGGACCAAACCTTAACGTGAGGAGAGTGGACTAAAGTAAGTAGGAATAGAATATTTACGGGATGTGGAAGGCTACGAGGCAACAGGTCATAGAGGAAAAGCGTCAATTTGGGACATTAAAAAAATAGATGCTCCAAAGTTCAGGTAAGCCACATTTGCATATAGAGTGATTAATCTATACTTATAATAAATCTGTAGAGATTCTGTACATGAAATATATTTCCAAAATAACTATCAGCGGGTGATTAGTGATCGATACTGATGCCAAAAATGCAACCAGTAAAATTTTTGTCTGTCTGTCTGTATGTTCGTTATAGAAACAAAAACTACTAGACGGATTTTAACGAAAGTTGGTACAATTATTCCTCATACTCCTGGGCTGGTTATAGTATACTTTTCATCACTCTACGATCAATAGGAGCAGAGCAGTGAAGGGAAATGTTAAAAATATCCACCCGTGCGACACCGGGACGGGCCGCTAGTAATAATAACAACATGACACTCAAACAGTTAAAAAAGGTTGATAGGTTTCATTTTTCATGAATAATAACTACCCGTATTTGAGAAAAGGAGGACATAGGTTACGTTTTACTCTCATCGATCAACACAAGTCATCATGTTTAAAAACTAACTCTATATATTATGTTCATGATGATAAATATGTTACATTGCCACTTACATTATGAACCAGAGTCAACTGGTGTATTTGGAAGTCAGACATGCACATGAGGTCTTCATAGACGTACTGTTCATTTTTCTCTTTGTACGTCGGATCTCTGGCCAGTCGCGCGGCCATCTTGCGAACCTGGAAACGCGGATAAGAGTGTAATCAGGTAAGCGCCAATAAGATCCCATAACATGTTTAAGTGAGTTCACAACAAGGTATGATGGCAACATCGCAAATTGTAAAACAATTGAACATTTAGCAATGAAAATTTATTAATGACACAAAAAATTTATTTGAAAAATTACGAAGTAAAATATGATATAGGCGCCAAGTTTTCAATGGTGTAATTATATGATTAATCAATCAGAAATATTGAAAATAGTTTTTTTTTGTGGCAATACCAGTTATTTTGATTTAAAAACTAAACTACTGAACCGATTTTGATAGTTTTTTTATGGGACCAATCTGAAAGTATAATTGTTTATAAATAATGAAACTCTGATGTAACATAAAAAAATTGAGAAACCTCCTCCTTTTTCGAAGTCACTCTATTAGTTTTCAATCGATATAAAAAAGGAGTTTTGCCACACATACATATTTATTACTATTTATATCTTCACCAAATGTGAATTAATTTCGATGCTGTTTTATTCAATTGATAGGGTTTACACTTATGTTGGTTCCATACTAGTTTTGTAAAGTTTTAAAACAGTTTTTAGAGAACAAAATATTAGATTAACATTAAATAAAAAAAGCGATGACCCTATAAACATGTAACATAGCAAACAGAACCAGTCCTTGAAACCCCTTATTTCCTCATCTTTGAACGATGCCAATTCTAAAATATTGTGTTAACTTTCCATGTACTACTTTCTTATTTTGTAACAAGTGAACATATAAACAATCACAACCTATTTCTTTTCTCTTCAATTCACAAACACTTCGACATTACCTGGTCGTCCTGATAGTGGTACCGCAACAGTAGCGGGTGGTTGGCGAGCTTCCGCATGTCCATCATCATAGAGATACCACTCTGCTCCGTTGTTGCGTGCACCTATTATGGTATTAATTATTAAAATAGTTGCGTCTTATTATTTTACTGAAATTAATATAGAATGAATTTTTTTTATGCAACAGAATGGTAAACAAGCCGACAGGCTACTCGATGGAAAGTGGTAACTGTCGCTATAGATCTGAACATAACAGAGTATACTGTTTCGCCCTTGATATTCCTCATGCGTTGCCATTCCTGAGGACTCAGGAATGAATCAAATTAACTGCTTCATGCTCACCTATCATTCCTCACTGGTACACCGATAACTCAGGAGGAGTTAACATTCCATTATTGGAGGGAAAAGGGATTGTTAGTAATGGAGACTAAGAATCCCATTGCTAGCAATATACCCAACCAGGTCGACCTCCTCGCGGTTCCCCCTTGATACTCCCCATGTGTTGTTATTCCTGAGGACTGAGGTGTTATGCCTCTGTGATATATGAGAGTGGAAGAGTCAATGAATTGCATGTGTTCAGAGATCCATCTATTATTAGATTTTAAATTTCATGAATATGAGGGTGAAATTAGAAATTATTTATTTATTTATTTATATTAAAAAACCAACAGCGGTTTACAAATAAAATTAACAAACATTTCATCATAACAAAGTAGTATGGCCAATAACAGGTTTTTCTAAATTAATTTCGTAGGTTATGTAGTTGACCATTGTTGAATTTAAACAATTAATTTCATTGTAACACTTACCAAGCCATCCTTAGCAGAGAATCCAGTTACGAGCTGCTTGTACAGACTTTGTTGCCTCTCAGACATGGGACAGAGCTCCGTGTGGTTGGTCTTCTTGGGTAAGTCCTGCAGCACGTCTCTCTTCAGTCTTCTCAACACAAACGGCTTCATTATCCTCTTGGCTTGAGTTATCTGACTCTGTTCGAATGCTGGTACATCGTCCTCCTGGTTGCCGTCAGTTTTCTTCGTCGCTTTTGATTTCTGAAAAATGCAAGGAACTTCTTTAAGTACAAAAGAAAAATAATAATAAAAATATATAACAATAATATATTGGAAAACCAGATATTTTGATTTAAAAACTAATTTACTGAAGTGATTTTAATAAAATTCCTATAAGATCAATCTGTAAGTATATACCTGTGGATAAAAAAGAAATTTTCAAAATTCGTTTATAACTGACAGACTATGATATGAGTGACTTACCTCATAGGTAATAAACATAAAAAAATACAACCAAATTGAGAAACTCCCTCCTTCTTTTTGGAGTCAGTTTAAAAAGAATTTAGCTCAAATTCACCAGCCCTAAAAATTGCCTACCTAGACTACAGCCTACTCAACCTGCTAGTAACTCCACCATTGGGATCATAATCATCATCATATTAGCCGTTTAATGACCACCGCTGAACACAAGCCTCCCCCTAGGGGGGTTTTGGCGGTAGTTGTCACGCTTGACAGGTGGATTAGTAACGGTAGTTAGACTTAAAAGATATTAAAGGAGGATTGCTACTGCTCATCCCTCACCCTCCCTTAATCACCTCTTACGACACCCACGGGAAAGAAAGGGATAGCCTATTCTATGCCGGGACCACACAGGAATACCACCACCACTGACATACAACGGCAAAATTTATTTAAGATAAGATATATTTATTTTATTTATTTTTTTAATTCGCGGCAAAATACAGTCAACGTTAAAAGCGGCTACTAGAATTTAAACATCTAAACAAGAGTATATGATACAGCACTTACAGAATTCTTCTGGAAGAGACTCTTGAGGTCCTCCGTTTTCCCCGAGAACATGTGCGGCATCACGAAGCACAGCAGCGACATCAGCTCCAGCAGATTGTTCTGTAGCGGCGTGCCGGTCAGTAGCAGGCGGTGTCTTGACTAATAAGAAAAAATATTTTTAAATTAAGAATTTAACCCGAAAATAACAAAATAATAGCTAAAATTACGCACTTTCTACCATCGTACTGCTCGCCATCGACAGGGAGTTCATCCTCATATCCTACAGCATGGATGGTCGCGTACAGCGCGGTTTTAGAGATGTTTCCTCCCACGAACACTCAGGTTATGGGAATGAGCTCCCTGCCATAGTTTTCCCAAGAGACTACAGCATGTGGTTCTTCAAAAGGGCGGTAAAGAGGTTTCTTCAGGATCGGCAACGCGCGCGAAATACCCCTGCTATACACTGTCGGGACACCAGTAATAGATGACTAATGACAATAAAAGCAGGTCAGTTAGCCCATCCTGATAACCCACGATGGCTTCGATGATGAGGAAGCTATTTAACCCCATTACTAACAATCCCCCCCCCCCCGCCAATAATATTGAGTTTAAACGCATACAATAGTAATATTATTAATCACTCCACACTGACACCACATTGTTTCTAAATTATACCCGTGCGAAGCCGAGGCGGGTCGCTAGTTTATAATATTAATAAGGATAGTTGATGACGATACCTTAATCTTGAGCAGGTTGTCGTATCTCTGCGTGGACATGTTCTTGAGCATGTGCGCCTCGTCGTATATGACGTAGTGCATGGGCGTGATCCGGAACATCTTGCGCTCCTCCGGGCAACTGCTCACCATTGTGTAACTGCAACACCATTAATAATAATAAATAAATACTACTGATTATATAAAAAAAGGCGTGTGCCGATACTATGTGGTCCCGGGAAAGAATAGGCCACCCCTTCTGGACAAGGCGAAAAGCGGAAATTATGCGTACCTTCAACAACTGCAACTTACTCAACCCGCCTGTCAAGCGTAACTACTGGAAAACTTCACCAATAGAGGGAAGCTTATGTTCAACGGTGGACAATTAACAGCTAATATGGTATGGTATATAAAACAGTACTAATTAATCCCAAACAAAGCACAGAACTGATAAAAATACTTATATTTTTACCACAATCATAATAGAGTATACTGTGTCGCCTATGATGCCATTTATGCATTTCCATTCCTGAGGATTATGCCTCTGTACCCTGTAATTTCTGACTTTCTTTTTTATACAACTTAGAATGGCTACAAGCTGACGGCTCATCTGATGTAAAGTGGTAACCGTCGCCTATAGACATGAGCAGTACCATGGACATAACAGAGTATACTGTTTCGCCCATGATACCCCCCTGCGTTGCCATTCCTGAGGACTCAGGTGTTATTCTTCTGTACCTAGTAAATTCACGCCATATATCACCCTTCAAACCGAAACATAGCCATGCAAACACAACTGCTTCACGGTTGAAACACGGGACAGAGGTACCCAAGCAATCGACTTTTCTACAAAGTCTCCCTCTGATTATACGACGGTAGTAGCAGATAAAAGTTAGTAAAATTCTAATGAGTACATACGTAGTAAGAACGACGTCATAATTACTGAGATGCTTGGCGTATTCTATCCGCAATTGTCTTCGCTCTTCGGGAGGTCCGTAGTATTTGCTAACACGAAGGGAGGGACACCAGCGTGCTAATTCGCCGCTCCAATTGTCTGAAATGTTATGAATTATTACTCATCTTCATCTGAAGATTTGATTGTTTGTAATGGATAAATTAAAAAAAATTAAACGATTTTAATAATTACATTATCAAAGACTAACTTGGGAAGTCGAAATAAAAAAAAAAGTGTATCGCCGGGGAAGGTAGCTGTGCTACTTATATACCGGCGCATCCCCCTAGTGGTAGGGTGAGCACGCCATCCACCCTATCTTGAGAGAGGAGACTTGCTCTTACCATCTGGGGGCAGGTCGCTGCTGTCGGAGATGTGGTAAGTGCGAAAGCGAACCCATGTCTCCGACATATGGTATCTTGAGGGTATATTGTCTGGTTTTTGGTGGGTACACCCCCACCTTACGGGGGGATTCCCACAGTACCCATTCACCTCCCACAAGGTGTATGGTTCTGCATTAAGCATTTTCCAGACGTTAAAAAAAAGGTAGCTGTGCTACCTGCACCAGGATCAAGTAGGAGTGGGTGTAATGGACCACTTGTATGCGTATGTATTAAAAAAATAATGGCCGGCAACACACTGATGATGCAGGTGTCTATGAGCAGCTGTAATCATTTACAATCAGGTGAGCATCATGCTTGTCTGCCCCTACTCGTGTTATATAAAAAAAAAATAGGTTGCTATAAACATCTGCTTACCTAGTGTAGATGCGGGTACTACAATCAAATGCGTGCCCCTCGCCTGGCCCGTCTCCTTCAAATGCGCGAGGAAGGCTATCACCTGCACCGTCTTGCCGAGCCCCATCTCGTCAGCCAGTATACCCGACACGGCCTGCTTGTGAAGCACCGCCAGCCAGTTGAGCCCCACCAATTGGTACGGGGCGAGTTTTAAACTGGAACACAAGGTTTTAGTAAATCATTACATTTCATACAATTGACAGAACATACTGTCATCATATCGTATAAGCCTTTAAGTGTCCACTGCTGAACATAAGTTTTCTCCTTGGGGGGGGTTTTGCCTAGTAGTTGCCACGTTTGGCAGGCGAATGCAGTAACCGCAGTCAGGGTTTAGAGATGTTTTAAGAGGAACGCTGTTGCCCATTTCTTGACCTCCCTTAATCGCCCCTTACGACACCCATGAAAAAGGAAGGAGTGGCCTATACTATGTCGGGACCACACGGCCAAAAACATACACTGGCCTGTAATTACTGTATTTTACCAGAGGGAGACTTTGTGCAAAAGTCGATTGTTTGGGTACCTCTGTCCCATTCGTGTTTCAACCATGAAGCAGTTGTGTTTGCATGGCTGTGTTTCGGTTTGAAGGGTGGGATATGGCGTGAATTTACTGGGTACAGAGGAATACCACCTGAGTCCTCAGGAATGGCAACGCATGGGGGGTATCATGGGTGAAACAGTATAATCTGTTATGTCCATGGTACTGCTCATGTCTATAGGCGACGGTTACCACTTTCCATCAGGTGGGCCGTCAGCTTGTTTGCCATTCTAAGTTGTATAAAAAAAAAAGTCGTGGGTGAAAGCTATTACTGTCATAATACAGTGTTCTAGACATGCAACATAAAGTTTCATCTAAGTCCATTCAAATTTTACTGAAGGTCTAACATACATAATGTAAACAACAGAAAAGTTTAAAATTAACTGATAAATACTAGACTGTAGATAACGGCATACGTTTACAACATATTTATCAGTTAATTTTAACTTTTTTGTTGTACACACACTTGTATTTAAATTCGTGATCGGGACGCGACGCGATAACAGGTAAATAATAATTAATGTTATCTAAAACAAATAAGTATGGAAATAAGGCGAGTTTTATTTTTTTTATACCACGATTGTGGCAAACAAGCATGATGGTAAACGGTCACTTTAGTCTACGGACGCCTTTAACATTAGGGGTGTCACGTGAACTTTACCAACCCTGTTGAAAATTAATTAATTAATTATTTTTTTGGAAAACGTACAGCTGAATTACAGTCAATACATAATCAAATATATATATATATATATATATGTTAAGCCATGAATCGTTTTCACATTTGCGTAATGACACAAATGATCGGTTTTTATATATGCAAAATATATACATACATATATATACAAACACACGCATATATACACACATATATAATGATTAAAAAGTTATAAATTTTGATGAGACTCCTTTTAGCTTAATATATAATAACAAAAAGCAATATAAAGCAAAACAACATTACTAATATAGTCAATTAGGTGCAGCAGGGCGAGACCCAAAGAATGATTTTGCCACTTGCAATTCAACTGCATACGGTTTTGTGTGAAACAGATCAATATCAGGGTCAAACAATAAATTAATACAATAAATAATTAATACACCCATGAAGAACCCCATATTGTCTTCGCCGTGCATATATAATAAGATAGCATCGCCGTGTGGCCCTGGCGTAGAATAAGCCACTCCCTTTCCCGCGGATGTCGTATAAGGTGAGTAAGGACACTTAAGCGGCCCTCAAAAAATATCGCCAAAAGCCTAACTGCAGTTGCCAACTCGCCTGCCAAGAGTGGCAACTACTGTTGGTCGATCTTTTGTAATACAATAGGCCTTTCAACTGACGTATACTCTGAAATGGGACAATTCTCAATTCTGTAGATTCGAGAATATAACTAAAAATCGCTTTATCTTTCTTCATCGTTGACGTACTCACCTAGTATCTAAAATGCCCGGTTGTTTCAACCTGCTCGCGCCGGCCGCTACCGCCCCCTCGAGCTGTTGTGCCAGCCCTACGCATTTCCTCATCAGCCGCTGTATATTGCTCCTTGTGGACAGCAGCTCTTGGGTTGAGTTTAGCAAGTCAGTGCTTAACATTTTGTTGCTATTGAATTTTTCTACCTGTGAAATATAATACAGATCATGACAATTTGTATGTTGTATAGGAAACTATATAAAAAAAATCCAATTAACTGTATTCATAACGGCTGTTAGTACACAGTAATGAATTGTATGTTATCAGATAATGTCAGTATTTTATAAATTCCCAATACAGAACAATGATCATGTGTTTTTACTCGAAAATATATAAATATAATTAATTCTGTATTTCTGTTGAGACTTCTTGATAGAACTTTATTATATACAGGGTGGAATTGACAGGTTGGCGAAAACGAAAACATTTGATTCAGATGATCTGAATCAGATGGCAGATTATTTTACCATCGGAAATGCACCACAGTTATGTCATTAAGGGTTCTTAGTTTTGATGCCGCGCAATGTATTTGAAATTTTACGATCCACACGACGCAAGATACCTACAGCGTCCGGTCAATGAAGCTTCTTCGTAGGTAGTTTTCGTACGCTTATGACGCTGACCTAAAACAGCTGATTCCGCGCGTTGCAGCAGGATTTTACATTGCTGTTGCTTGTAGTATTTTACTATAAAATATTATTATTTCTTTATATTATGACATATCATAAATTACATGATTTTAAATGAAAAAAAAAAAAAGAAAGAAATTTAAAATTTGCCGCAAAGAATGTCCAGTGGTTTTCAATTCAGAATAATAGTCGCAATTCAGTGTTTCAGTTTTTGCCAACTTGTCCGAAACATATAAGTATAAAATTATATTCTTACTAATATAATAAATGGGAAAGTGAGTGTGTGTTTGTTAACTTATAGCGCCTTAACGGTTTAACCAATCACTATGAAGATTGCTATATGCGTACTATATGAGATACAGAAGGATATAGGTTACTTTTTATCACGGTCAGTAAACATATCATGTCACGCGGACGAAGCCGCGGGTAAAAGTCATTAGTCAAAAAAAAAAAAAAAGAAAAATAATTCTTATAAATTTCATTTGAATTATTCACTTGTCATTGTATATTTTTATTTATGATGCAATAAAGAGTTAAATAAATAAATAAAAATAACAAACCATATCTAGCCAGCCTTTGAAGGGTCTTAGGGCGATGATCGCCTCAGCCTTTTTCTGTGAGCACCCACTCAGAAGCGAGAGCTCGTTGAGGTTACTATTGTTGAGGAACTCGAACACCTTCTTCTTATCACCCATGAGCTCGTCCGAGATCTCATTATCAGAATCATCACTGAAATATTGTTTGTGATTATTTTTTTTAATAGATAATAATGGAACGGTAGCCGCATCTGCGCTAACGTATACGCTAGCGGGGCACCAGTGAGAAATGATAGGCGAGAATGAAAAGGCATGTTATCGTGATGAATACACTTGGAATTTAGCACGATGGTTTACAGGGAGAACTATGGGTAAGTCAAGCGGACAAAGTATACTGCTAGCAATGGAACGACATTCACAGGAAAGGAAAATGTGGCCCATTCTATGCCGAAACCAAGCGGCAAGTTTCTAAAACAGCAGAGGATTATTATTGTTACAATAACTTACCTATCATATACCCTGTCATCTTTCCCTTTCTTAACACCATAGTCTTCATCCTCACTTCCACTACTACCCTGTCGACCTCTGCCGCCCTTGTCGGACAAAGGTTTCTTCATAACCACACTAATTCTGGGCTTGGAAGGAGTGGCCGAACTAGTCACCCTCACAATGCTCATGTTCCCATTAGACTTCAAACCTGAGATACCAGGCTTGGGGAAAAAGTTGGACGTGCCAGTTCCCCGATCGTTACTCTCAGGGTCATACTTCAGGAGCTCGTCCCGCGACCTCTCTTCATTCCAGCCGTGTTTCACTAGTATATCTTTTACAAACTGGAAACAGGTAAAAAAAAATAGTGTTACATGATTTTTTTTAATATAACAGACATGGGACCACCAGTGGCGTAACAATAGAGTGGCAGGGCTGGCAAAATGCCAAGGGCCCCCGACCCAAAGGGCCCCGGCTCAAGAGGCCGCGAGCTCAGAATTTTTTTTACCTTGTACCTGAGTATTTTATTTTACTTGAAAATTAATGATAGGGCCCAATCAAAAGAATTTGCCACAGACTCCAAATGGTATAGTTACGCCACTGGAGACAACACTATTTTAAGCAAAAACAGAGACACTATGGTCCATAAATATGATCGACTAAAAAGAGGATTATTTACTCTCAACGGTTGACCGCAATATGCCGGCTTACTAAGTGCTTTTTCACACTATGTTCGAGGGATCCGAAGTTATAGGACAAAGGAAACACGTCACGGCAAAGGCCATTCCCCGTTGTTACGGTACGGTCCACAAAGAGTTGGCAAACTTATTCCGACAGCATACATACTAATGCATAACAATGCATAGCATACTAATGCACCAAATTGGATCTGCCTTTCACAGTTGTGTTCCTAAAGGTCTTCAATTATTTAATTAATTAAATTAAATAATATTATTACAATTAATAATTAATTAAAAATTAATGGATCTAGAGTGAGAGGGCCTAATTCCATTATATACATATAAACGAGTAGTGTTCTAACCAACAACTAGGTTTTGGAGAGAGGCTACAGTATGTAATTCTTCAAAAAGGCCATAATAAATGTTTTTAAAGGTCAGCAATACCTGAGTGATACCACTGGTGTTTAAAATATAGACTATGGTAACCGTTTACCATTACACTTTTTTTTTTATACAACTTAGAATGGCAAACAAGCTGACGGCCCACCTGATGGAAAATGGTAACCGTAACACTTTTTTCAATAGCAACGCATGGGGGTATCATGGGCGAAACAGTACACTCTGTTATGTCCATGGTACTGCTCATGTCTTTAGGCGACGGTTATCACTTTCCATCAGGTGGGCCTTCAGCTTGTTTGCCATTCTAAGTTGTATAAAAAAAAGGATAAAACTAAAATGGTAGCCCCGTCCTCGCTATCGGTATATGCTGGCATCATAGATGATAGGTATTATTATTGTATTGTAAAATCTTTACTGTACATAATTTACATTGGATTTATTAAAAGATTTCATATACAATGCCGTATTTATCCCATAGAGGGATCTCTTACAGTCAACCTATGAGAAGTTGAAAGAAAACTACAATGTTCAAGGGTAAAAACTGTACAGCTATAGATGTGGATGAATACAAATCAGTTGCACCATCATGGCAAATTCAATAGGAATTAACCATGATCTTGTCCACAAAGAACCGCATGGAGATCAACCTAATAGAATATTTTATTTTATATATGGAGCTTATTATTAACAATTCCTTTATTTCTGATTTGAAAGTTTGTTTGCCACTATTAATATAAAAAATAATCTATAGGTACGTATTTGAATACATATGAAATAGAAGTCCTTAGCATTTAAAAGAAAAAAAAATCTAAAAACAATTACTAATTAAATCTTACCAAGGGATCAATTTCAGGGAATATTTGCATCATGTTTTTGAAGCGTCTCTCCCTTACGGCTGTAGAAAGTTCAGTTTCAACTGCTGGCTTCTTGGTCGGAGTGGCTGACTCGTCAGAGTCGGAGTCCTGGATCCTGATGCGTTTGTATACCACCAAGCCGTTTTTATTTCCAGAATTCGGTGCAGGCATTCTAACTATTGTGTCTACAAATAACAAAAAATGGATGAGAATACATTTTTGTATATATAATAAACATTACGAGGTTTGTCCGGAAAGTACGTATAAAAGTTTTTTAAAAATTTTATTTTACAATTATTCAGGTAAATCAATTTTATCCCCTTCAAAGTACTCCCCCTGTGACATAATGCACTTGTGCCAACGCCGTTTCCACTGTGAGAAGGCTCCTTGAAAGTCCTCTGGTTGTAGGTTTCTCAGCTGCCCCGTCGTAGCTTTTTTTATCTCATTTATGTCCCCCAAATGCCGCCCCCGAAGTACCAATTTGGTTTTTGGGAACAAGAAGAAGTCACACGGGGCCAAATCCGGCGAATAGGGGGTGTTCGGTCACCGTAATGGAATTTTTACTCAAAAACTCACGGACAACAAGAGAGGTGTGGGCAGGGGCATTGTCGTGGTGAAGAATCCAACGCCCCTCTCGCGCCAATTCTGGACGAACTCGTGCCACACGAGCTTTGAGGCGTCTGAGCACATCGACGTAGAATTTTCCATCAACTGTCTGGCCTGGAGGGACGAATTCTTGATGGACAATCCCCCGAACATCGAAAAAAACAATCAACATTGTCTTGACATTTGAGCGGGATTTTCTTGATTTTTTTGTTCGTGGTTCCCCGGATGTCTTCCACTCTTTGCTTTCACGGCCATTCTTGCCGAGTTTCGAGAGAAACTTGATTACGACGCGCTGCTCTTCAACGGAAGCGGGCTCCATGCCGACGGGGTTTCGTTAAGAGGTAACTTCACAGATGGCGTGACAAGCCAGTTCGCACCGCACGGCGGTCAGACCAGAACTGAAGCATTGTTAGGGACATAAGGAAGGGGTCCTGCGCTTACCTGGCCTCCCCACTCCTCTTTCTCGCATTCCAGAACACTTTTATACGAACTTTCCGGACAGACCTCGTATTACATTTAAAAAGAATACTTTTTAAAAATAATATAGAATTAAAATATTATGAAAATATAAGTAAAAGAACACAATTAAAATTCATTAGTACATATATAGTCGAAGCCTAACTACAGTTGCGCCTGCCAAGCACGGAACTACTGGCAAAACTCCTCTTATGGGGGAGGAATCATGGCTTTACACCATGTCACATGCATCCAACTTTTTATTTCAATGTATGTAACCTTATACAAACATGAGTATTCTACTTATATTTGTGAGGAAACATCTTTAGTAGCGGTATAGCCAGAGAACATTATATTCCTTATTTGAAATCTTGTAAATATTTATATACACTACTAGCGGCTTGTCCTAGCTTCGCACGGATGGACATTTTTAAACAATGACAAAAAAAAAATGCAATTGAAATCGTTAAAAATGTTCAATATCGGTTACGTCCACTGCGTAGGGAGCCGACCGCACGAGTAAGCCGCGCGGCGGCTACCTATATCATAAATGTGCCCGCCCCCACCTGCCCCTTTTCCGCACCGCTACAATGCCCGGCTAGCTAGCCACGCGGCCGACACGGCGCGGGCGGCGGACGGCGCCTTTTCTATATCTGAGTTTTTAACATATCTTTGGAATGGAATATACCTACGATTTGAAAAATTCAAAAGTTATCTGCAGGTATTGAAACAATTTTAAATACAAAATAATTTATTTGGATAAGGATTTATAAATAAGTATAAATAACATGAACAACGCGATAGCGTTATTTTTTCTATTTCTATGACTTATTATATTCGTAATATCTATTGAATGGCATAGCCGATTTGAACAATTCAAAAAGTAATCTACAAAAATTTAAAAAGTTTTGAAAACAATATGATTTATTTGGATAAGAATTTAAACAGAAGTGTGAATAACATTATGTAATTTTGGTCGGTATTTCTATCAACATTTAAAATGTAAAAAGTGGTTATTGTGACATTACGATAATAGTTGGACATATAGTATCGCAAAGTTTTTATATAATAATAATATATATTGTAGAACATACTTTTGTTCTACCACCAATGGTTTCCGCAGCGCACGCGGCGAAAGATATTTTATAGCATTTTTTTACACTTTGAGTTACATTACTAAAGTTTTAGTAAGGATCCCTAATCTTTTGTAACAATAAATATAGCCTATGTTACTCAGGGCAAATGTAGTTTTCTAATGGTGAAAGAATTTCTGAAATTGGCAAAGTAGTTTTTGAGTTTATTCATTATAAACATACATACACACAAAAATACAAATCTTTCCTCTTTATAATATTAGTGTAGATGTATAGTAGTAGTGTAGGGACTTAGTGCAATGAAAAACTTTGCAGGTAAATAGTACCTACATACCTAATTCTTTATAACTGACATTTGAATGTGGATTTCAGTGACTTTTCAATCAATCCTGTATTATAGATAAAATATGTGTAAACAATGTGTAAGTTTTAAATTAACTATCTTGTAAATATTTTTACTTATTTTTTATTTTTTCGATTTTAGAGGGATTCCTATAGGGAAATGTAGAAAATAATTTCTCAGAAAATGCCAATATCATAAAATTATTATCAGTGCTATATTATTCAAAATAATCAAGATGCAGCAGTTCAGACTGTGTAAGGTCTGTCAACAAGTCTTTATATCATATAAATTTATGACATTAGAGAAAGGAATTTTTTAAGTGATTCCAATAAATGCATATAACTGAGACATTGTAAGAAATACTTAACCAAGTGCTCAATAGTGTTAAGTAGCAAATAGTTCAAAGAGCATTTTCACCACATTTGCTATCCATAATTTGAGCTTGAATAGTTGTTAATACTTTTGTTATACATTCTAACAAAAAAACTTCATATACATGAACATTAAAATTTTTTGACATCAAAATATGATTTATACTAACTTTTGTCTATGTAACAGAAACTTATTTTGGTCAGATAACACCTTTGTCCACTTTAAAACTCTACTAGTTTAATACTTAATTCTTCTTAAAAACTTTATATCGTCTGAAGATATACTTCATCATTATCATCACAGCCATTATCCGTCCACTGCTGGACATAGGCCTCATCCATAAACTGCCATAAGGAATAGTCCTAAGCAACCTGCATCCATGCCTCCCTGCAGTGCATTTGAGTTTGTCACTCCATCTAGTGATATACTTACTAAGCTACAAAAAGTATATCATATGAAGAGGATAAATGAATTTTAAGGTATATAACCTTAAAATTGATTTATCCTTTTCTTCATGTTTACAAAGTGATATTGTTTGTTCGTTTTGGCACCATAATGGCACAATCAATCATCTTGAGATTTATAAAAGTCATATACATAATATTTAATAGAGAAGAATATAGGCTATTTTAATCCAGGTCAATTAATATTCCTTCATGCTTAACATATTGAATACTGATAAGGAAATATTTGGTAAAAATATTTCTATTACCTGTTTACAAACATTTAGAGAATAAAATAAATAATTTACAGAAAAGAGTACAAATATTTTATATTAATCAATGTCCACTGCTCAATATGAGAATAGATACATATGAACAGAATAATATTATTAAAATATCTCATATATAACTAAACCATAGGAAAATTTATATAATTTTCTTATACTAATTTTTAACTTATAAGGTATCTTTATGCTTCTCTTATTAGTTTGTCATAACAGATAGAAATTGATGCTGATTGTTACGAATTGGCGTGAAATCCCCTAAGACTAAGTGTTTATTCACTGACCAGCATCTCTCTTAATCTATTTCGATAATTAAAATTTGATATCACAGCAATATCTTTATTATAAAAACCAATACAAACTAATTTTCTAATAAATTTAAGTCAGAATTTTTATCATTTTAATTTACGGTGGTTCATAAAACAATAATTTGCGAAATCATCAAATTAAAATATTAGGTTAACAGAGGTTTAGAGATGGCATTACAGAATCGGCCCCATCGTAATTATGGTGTAATTGTTAATTTACATATTATCATCCCTTTAACAATCCATGATTTTAACGGTGTTCAAATTAAACAATAGAATAAAATGCAATGATCAGAAAACTCTATCAAATATTTAAAATTCAGAACTATTACAGGCAGGGATAAAAAACAAAACCTTGAAAAATGGGGATCACTGAACATACTAGCAAATCCTCGTGGCAGTAGGAAACACGTGTCAGTGGCAAATTACTACTATGATTTAATAAACATTCGACTTTACTTACGAGAGCTTGACGGCGAGGACGTAACCGTAACAGGCATGGTGGTCCCTGCCGCATTTGGTTTTCTCTGAAACCTATACTGCCTCAAATAGCTTATCACGTTTGAGCTGTTACTATCCGACATCTTGTCACTGGGCGTAAGAAAACAACAAAATTGTTTTAAAAGCTATAAATTAAAAAAGTTCTTGTATTACTAATTAAGTTTTATTTACGAGAATATTAATCATAAAAAGGAGCAATGCATGAAATCAACAGTACAGCCATTTTTATCCGCGAGACTGCAAGAATAAAAGTAAAAGCCAATCATAGACTGTGTCAAGTTTGACATCAGCTGTTTGACCAATAGAAATGTAACGGCAATATTTATTCGTCAATAGTAAATTATATAAAGAATGACACCAATAAAAAGAACTTTTACAGAAAATCTTGTTTTTTGCCAAAGATTGTTCTTAGTTTTTTGGCTTACAGTAGTGATGTCTTTGTAGGTATTAAAATATTTTATAGAAAATGTTGTTTGTTGCCAAAGATTGTTCTTAGTTTTTGGCTTACAGTAGTGATGTATTTGTAGGTATTAAAATATTTTACAGAAAATGTTGTTTGTTGCCAAAAATTGTTTTTAGTTTTTGGCTTACAGTAGTGATGTGTTTGTAGGTATTAAAATATATTATTGTTCATCGTCTTCATCGTTACTTTACTTACCTTTTGTATTTACACAAAAACTGTAAATAAATATAGATACAACTTTCTTAAATATATTACTCTCTAGTAATTAACCATAACAATATCAAAGTAATTATTCTCGAGATCAACAGTTTCGATAAACAGGATAAAAACTTATTTCCTTGTTCATAAAAACTAAACTAAAACGTCCCAAATACCTATTTTAATCATTATTGTTTTGCCACTGTATTTTAAATTGAGAAATTCGCACAAAGGAGAAAAATTAAACACTCAAATAGCTAAAATAAGTTTGTAATAGCTTCCATAGATGGTCTACATATGAAGCAAGTATACATCTATTAACACAGGAGAGAGACAAAGCGACCTTTTCATCACAAACGGTAATAATTACCCACATAGCACAAGATTCAAGAAGACGGTTAAGAATAGGTGGATCACATTGAGGTACATATATTACAGTATCAAATATACCCGTATGATGTTGTTACTATTAGGATTTATTTAATTTGATTGTATAAATATAAAGCTAAAATATAAAGTTGTCAGTTTCTTCAAATAACACTTTAAATTTTGTTGGATGGAAGAATTAAGAGAGTTTCATTATATTATATTTAGAAAACAAAATTTTGTTTGCATATTTTTTTAATGGACGACAATAAAATGGTGGCATTGCCCGCTCTAACGGTATACACTGGCAGGACACCAGTGAAGGATGAAAGGTTAAGATAAAAACATGCCTGTTAGTCTATCGTGATGAATAATCAACTTCGTTATGAACGGTGGCCCGTATGGGGCCTATTTTTATAGGTAACTATCGCCGTTGGCCATCGAATCGGCGGCAAACTAGTATCCTCGCCCCTTCTGACTGTTTTATTTTACTTCCCTTATACTATTACAATTTCAACCTAAGATTTACTATTATAGGTGGACATACTTATAGATAACCCTTTTTTCATGCGTTGTGCGCTGCGCGGCGTGCGGTTTGCAATTGCTGTTTTTCCCATTTTCAGGGAAGGCTATGCTATTTCTATCTATTTCGTGCCCATTTGGCACCTATTTAGACTATTATAGGCCCTATTATGGCCTATTAAAACTGTCAACTATTTTCCCGTTTTTCACGTGAATTTGCCCCATTTGGGACCTATTAGCTGTACCATCCTACGTCCTATTAATACAGTCATAGGTATTCTATAAGATTTTATGTCCTACCTAACTATTTTTGCTATTTTATAGAACAGTAAAACATGGCAAGAGAAAAACCTTTATTTCTCCCAACCTAAGCTATTCTTATGCTATAAACTATTACTATTATGTACTATTTACTGTCTATTTTCTATATCTTATACATTTTTAATTGTATTTATTTAATTGCCATATGAAAAACATAATTAAAACTCTATACTATAAATTTTGTGCCTATCTGAACCACTGTGCCCAACCTGTTACTATACAACGTTGGGTCGATAGTAAATTACTATTCCTCTTTATTGTCTATATTATTTTTGCTATCTCTATGACTATTTCTGTATAACAATTCTTAGGAGAAAAACGATAAACTATTCGGAACTAAATATATATTCGGAAATAAGACTTACTATATAAACATAAAAACTGTTACTATTGAAACATTGTAAATTATTCGAAAACTATTCCTATTAATCTATTCCTATCAAGATATTATAGAACTATTAAAATATTATGAACTATTTACAATTTCTATCGGTGGGAGCGGCTATCTGAAACAATTACGCTAAATGCCAGATTATCATCACATTATCAATATTTATGTAATAGATTTACTGCATTTTAAGAAATTCTAAGTATTATTATGAATGTATTTTTTTCTAATTTTAAACTTATTAATATATTTAAGCACACTTGTCTAAAATAAGCTTAAGCACGTCTCTAATTCCCTAAAATGTAATTATTGCAACACTGCTGCGCAGCTGTCAGATTAATAGGTGCGGCCATGTTGATCTGTAGTGAATAAAACTGAGTTAATTTGCTTTTAGGGAATTATAATTGACACAATATGCCCAAATGCGACCTCAAAACGAGATACATCCCAGCGACATTCGCCTGGACATTACTATTGGGCACGACATCTCTGTTTTTTTATTTTCCGTAAGTATATTATTATCATAAATTGACTACAAATTCATAATTTTCGTTTGACAACTTTCACGCGATATTGTAGGTTTGTTTCTATTAATATCTCGGGACTGTACCTTTGCCCTTCATTGTAATGTATAAGTTTAATGCCTTGATGAATTGTATTACAAATAAAATGCACAACATCGGTGTTCTATTGGACACGATTTTATCACATTTGTTACACATCATAAGCAATAAGTAATAGACCAACAGAAGCTTTACCCTGTCAGAAACATCAATTATTTGCCCTTGGCTAAGCCCCATAATTGCTAGTAGTACTAGTAATTAAAAAATAATTGTATATCATTTAGTATCATATATATTAGAATATCACTATCCTGGATTTCAAAGTTAATCTGTTTTAGATCTAATTGTTATTTGATAGAGTACTAATCAAGGTACCATAAAACAGTGAATGTTGTTATATTTTAGATACCAAATACAATCAAATTACCATTGGCCTGTTTAAAATTTAAAATAAAGGATACAACATCTGTAAAATTACCCTTAATAGATTTCATTAAGTCAACAGAATGTATATTCACTAACTTTCACAGAGTAAGATTGGTTTGTTTATTGTTCAATACAAAAGTTATGTATCTTAATATTGATGGTTCTGGTATTCATACAAAATATCATAGATTGCATGAATGTAAATAAATATTTCAGTATATATTATAATGAAAATATTATGTTTAGGAAACCTAATTAGGAAATTATATCTGGTACCAGTTTAATTTATGTGAATTTTATGTAGAGGAAAATAAATATATTTGTTATTTTAACAATAAAATGTATTTAACATTATCTAAAATAATCTTTTTAATGTACAAAAAACTAAATATTTTTCAGAGTAGAGCATAAATGGGCAGAGCACTTGGGCTTTACATTCATACAAGAGTTTTATTGACTGAGTTTGTTTGTTCAGTAAACAGTGGTTGTATATATAATAAACATAATTTATATAATGTTTTTTGTTATGAATATTATGTAAAAGGTGTTCATTCTAGAATTCTCACCTTACCAAGCAATGATATCATAATAAAAAGATAAAAGGTAAATAGTTTATAAATGTGCTTAATAAAAATAAAAGTGATAGAAGTTTTACAAATGTCAAAAAGAAAATAAACCTGGAAATGATGCGAAATAGCATTATTATTTGTTTTATTGGCATATACTTCTACATAAATGTCTATGGAGCTATTTTTCAGTTATTTTTTGAATATACAACATATATTCTTTAAAAAAAAAATATTTTTAGCGAATGTATAGTGATACATTAAGTAAACAGACATTAAAATAAAATATATTTATTTGACCAAAGTTAACATAAAAAGCATTAAGGACAATTAACAGTTTACATCATAATATTAGTATTTATATATTCAGAGGCAAAAGATTCTTTCAAAATATTCATATATTCTGTACCAGAATGAAAATCAGTTGCAAACCATGTCCTAAAGTTTGTGATAAGATGGAATTCAGCAAATTTTATAATAATGTTTATTGCCAAACAAATTATGATGTGAGTAATTCACTTGAAATCTATTGTTTGGATGTTCATGGAATTATTAGTCATGTTATACTGAATTAGGCAAGTGCTGCCATTGGCTTACACTAAATATGTATTGTTTACACAGTATTTAAACTATACATAACACATGTATTTATTTGAACATTATTTTTGCCTTTATAGCATTATAAATTTATTTATATATTTATTAAACTTTAATACATTTAGAAAGTGTAAATAACAGACTTAACACCATATCATCTATAAATATATTTTTCTGTCAAATAGTATATCATTTACATTATGTGTTTTCATATATATATTTAAAATATCTAGAAGAAAAATTCTTGAGTGGCAACCTTGTATTGGCAAACACAGTGTAGGATGACCCCCCACTAGATGAAGACGATCTGAAATGCATTGCAGAGTGTCAGTGGTTGCAAGTAACTCCGAACCCTTCTTTATGGTAGTCTATATTCAAAAAGATATCCAACCCATATGGTTGTGATCAAAATGAATGAAGACTTTTTTTCTACTATAAATCCATCCATCCAGTGGAACCCAATATATAGATATTGGATTAGTACCCATGCCTAATAATAATACATAATATAGAGCATATATGTTATTATATTAAATGTTGCTGGCTCCTATTAACGTAAAAAATAATTCTAAACATAAAATGTACCTCTTTGTTTCTTATTAGTCATACTTACCTATAATATTCTATGGTACATATACCATATGGGTGCAGCTGATATGATTACGTTTAAGGAGATATATTTTACTGAATTTGTTGCAGTGATAAGGTATTTGTACTTAACTAGTCAAACATTTACTTATGTTATGTTAAATAATTTTAAGTACATCTATAACAACGTGTTATAATGTCTTTTGTACTTATAAATTTTAATGAAAAAGTGTCAAATTTTCTGACTAAACTGAAGAATTAGTTTTATTTAATTAAAATTTAAAAATAAGAACACTTCAAGAATTATCACCTATACAGGTACATGTATGGGCGATACAGGAACATGTAGTAATTTTTACCTACAAAACACAAAGTACTCTATTTTTAATAAAAGTTTTAGCCAAAAAATGACAGCCTAAGGTCCATCCTGTATGGCACCTCTCATGCATTGTCACTCCTGAGAACTAATAGTGTGCTTCCATATCCTGTTATTCCGCTTCTATATACTATTTTTCAAACCATAGCACACATGCAAGCATGGTCACAGATGCTTCATAGCAGAAACTCGAATGGGATAGAGTTATTCAAACAAACAACTTTTCTGCATTCTCCCTTTGTTTTTTTTTATACCACTGAGGTGGCAAACAAGCATACGGCCCACCTGATGGTAAGCGGCTACCGTAGCATATGAACGCCTGCAATACCAGAGGTATTAAGCGCGCGTTGCCGACCCTGATGAAACCTCTTTACTCCCCTTTTGAAGAACCCCTTGGTAATAGTTCACTTGGTTTCAATCCACTAAAAAAATTACTATAGAATTAAATAGATATGTAATGTTTGTTACAGGTGTCAATACTACCTCCACAAGCACCCATGGGTACCTGCATATCAAGGTGTCATAACGTTTTTTGTTTTGGCCAATTTTACACTGGCCACTTTCATGGACCCGGGCGTTATACCAAAAGGTTAGTGGATTACGTAGAAATTAAGGAGAGTTTATTATACGTTTATAAGACTTAAAAGAAAGAATTCTCAAATTACTTGATTATCATAGGCGTCTTTTCGTCATGCGGTCCCGGCACTGATTAGGCCACTTCTTTTCCGTAGGTGTCGTAAGAGGGAACTAAGAGAACTTAAAGCAATTAGTACTCGTAAATAAGTTAGTAATAAAATTGAAGTCGCTGTTTTTTTATTTTTATATCTATCGTAGTAAAAAACTGTTTGTCGCGAAGCAAACTCTATTCCAAATTTTCACGTAAGAAACAGTAGTACGTTGATGTGTTTTATTATCATAGGTCTCTTCCATGGGGGGGATCGATGATAACCCTGTCTCCGTTAACGCTGGCGAGCACTAGTGAGGGATGATAGGTGAGAATGAAAAAGCAGGTCAATTAGCTCCATCGTGATGAATACACCTGGAATTCAGTACGATGGTTTTCAAGGGGGACCATGGGAAGGTCGATCTGATAAGGTATATTGCTAGCATGGGGATCGGTAGTAAGCACTATTAATAAAATTGGGAGATATTGCCTAGTTGCCACTCTTGGTAAGTGCGTTCGTAACCGCAGTTACAATTCTTTTTTTTTATACAATTTACTTACATGTTTTATTTTTAAACAATATACTTAGAATGGCAAACGAGCTGACGGCCACCTGATGGAAAGTGGTAACCGTCCCCTATACACACGAGCAGTACCATGGACATAACAGAGTATGCTGTTTCGCCCATGATACCCCCCATACGTTGCCATTCCTGAGGACTCAGGTGTTATTCCTCTGTACCCAGTAAAGTACCATTTTGTGCCGAGACCACACGGCGAGGTATGTTTTATTACTATAGGTATATTTTTATGGAGTAAATTATAATTAATGGGGAACAAGATATATTTGCTGCAGAGTAAAATATGTATACTTGTAGCGGAGCAAAATCTTGATTTCTTATATTGTTACGTTTACTTATGTACCTACACATAGGTACCTATGTCGTGAACATAGAATATCCGTCCCCTTATCATTTATCTGTGATAAAATAATTTTATGTCCACGAACTGATAACGCATTTGTGCAACTACTAATTACTGATGTCTTATTGTTTGTTGACAAACAAGGTCTCGTGGCTTATTAAACATTAGATATGGCATTCTATTTCTATATCATTATCTATGTATTATATAATCGGTGATAGCTCAGTGGCAGAATGTTTGACTGCGGTTTGGTGATTCCAAAATTGAACCTGTAGTCTCCTAAGTTTAGAGGCTTTTTTTCAATGGATGATAATGGAATTGTAGCCCGCGCTGACGGTATACGTCGGTGGAGTACCAGTGAGGAATGATAGGTGAGAATGAAAGGACAGGTCAGTTAGCCCATTGTGATGAATATACCTGGAATTGAGCACGATGGTTCCTAAAGGAGACTGTGTGGAGGTCGACCCGACAGGATGAGTTTAGAGTTAGGTTATATGACAACAATAAATTGTTAATAAATAACGAATGTTTTTTAATTCTGTCACGTTTATGTGAAAGATAATGGACGGTCAGTTACCGGAGGAGACCTAGACTAACCTATTATGATTCAATACATCCTATCAGGTCGACCTCCAAATGGTTCCCTCTGGAAACTATCGTGACTAATTTATCGTTGAATTAGTCACGATGGGATAACTGACCTGCCTTTTCATCCTCACCTATTACCTCTCACTGGTACCCAGCCAGTGTATATCGATAGCGTAGCTGAGGTTACCATGCCATTTTCACCTATTAAAAAAAACCTATTATGATCAGATACACCGGATTCTATCTAAGGAAGGAGTCTAGAGTCTTCAGAACCGGCGTGCATATCCGAGATGAATTATGAAAGTGAATAAAGTCTGACATTCAATTCTCTATGCCTACTCCGCAAGTGTGTCCTTAACGAAAATATAACTAGACAGACTCGCGTTCACTTGCTTTGAATGATTTACAAATAGATATTTCCAATTTGCCTGTTATTTTCTATGCATAAATAATTTTAATGTGGAATTTTATAATTTAAAATTTTTTGACATATACCTATATACATTGTTATGTATTGAAAAAACATTACCCTTATCTTCTGTAGTCGGGTAGAAACTCTTATTATAGAAATGATCGTTGAATTTGTTTTATAACTAGGGATACGCTCCGAATTCGCACGGGTAGACAGATAGAAAGATTAATTCTTTTTTTCATATATCAACTTGAATAGGCAAATTTTTTATTACGTTATTGTAATTTTCGTAGGGGTGTTTAAATTTTTTTTTTTAAATAAACAAGTAAACAAATAAAATCTTTCATGTTTACAATATTAGTATAGATGCCTAAATGTTGATTTTTTGTTATTTCAAAGTTGTTTACTTTAAATGACTCACCATTCGCAATGGGCAGTGATTATCATTCGTACAAAATGTGATCGAAAATAGCATATTATTATCAATAAATATTGGAAGGTTATTGACATTGATGTTTCATAGAATCACAATGAATGTATACCTATTTTATTTTTTGACGATCGATTATGATCAGATAATATATATATATATATATATATATATATATATATATATATATATATATATATATATATATATATATATATATATATATATATATATATATCTCAGAGAGAGACTCGCGTCACCGGAATCGGTGTGCTCGCGTGAGACGAGTTATGAAAAGTGGATGAAGCAAACGTATGTTAGAACAGAGATACTTGGCTCTCTGCCTACTTTGTTCTACGTAGGGGGCGTCGACCTGGCGTGATGATAGATAGTGCACATCAAGAGCAAGTAAATTTTGCTCCGCAAATACTATTTCTCTGGAGCAAAACACCGATGGACGTCAAAATGTTCGGTAGACGCATTAGATTAAAAATATTTGAATTTAGAACGCGAAATCGTGTCTACAAATAAACTAATGACTAAGAACTTGTACATTTTGTTTCGCAACAAACAGTTTTTTGCTCCGTAAAACGGCAGCTTCAATCATAATAAATATGAGACCAAAATGAAAATAAACCGTAGTACTAATTGTAAAAAAGAATTAAAATAGGTTTGGAATTAGCGATGTAATCAAATAATTGGCTCGAAGGACCAAAAATAGTTGAGGTGGGAGGGGGTGTTTAGTAACACACTTTAGTGATATTGCTGACTGATAATGATAAAAAGTTGTTTTAATCAATAAAACCACCCGGAGTGCTGCTCGTATATTGATTTATTGGTATTAAAATTAATGTTAAGAGAGGTAAAGTGCATGTGTTTTTTTATGCAACTTAGAATGGCAAACAAGGTGACGGCCCACCTGATGGAAAATGGTAACCGTCGCCTGTACACATGAGCAGTACCATGGATATTACCGTGTAAATTCACTGGCATATCTCACCCTTCAAACCGAAACACAGCCATGCAAACACAACTGCTTCACGGTAGAAACACGAATGGGGCAGAGGTGCCCAAGCAAACGACTTTTGTACACAGTCTCTCTCTGGTATGTGTACAAATAATATAGCATATATATTAAGACGAATTGAAAAGGTCCATTTTTTGGTTATAAAAAAAATGAATTCATTACCTTATTTATACGAAATGGACCACGTCACCACTGCGCTACGTAGACAGTTGTTTTCAATGCTACAATAAACAACAAACTCAAGTTAATTTTACCGCACAACAGTTGGGAAGCTAGTATTAATTGCTTCTAAGAAATTGGCGGTCAGTTGGACAGGACAGTTCGCAAATAAAACAGACCTTGACCGTTGTTTAATAAATCCAACTTTGTCGAGAGTTCAGTGAGATTGATTTAAACTATTAATAGAATACTGATAATGTAATATTGTACTAGTGGGGGAAAGGGATTGTTAGCAATGGAGTTCGATATTGCTAGCAATACCAGGTCGACCTCCACGTGGTTCCCCCTGGAAACCGTCGTGAACAATTCTTGTTGAATTCGTCACGATGGGCTAATTGGCCTGCTTTATCCTCATGATGATAGATCCCTCACTGGTGCCCCGCCGGTGTACATTAAAAAAAATATATATATTGTACTAGTAAATACGAGTAAGAATTAAAGATGCTTGAGGCATTCGAAATGTGGAATGTGAAGGAAAATTGAAAGGATACGCTGGATAGAAAATGTAACGAATGAGGTTGTCTTGAAATGGGTGAAGGAGAAACGAACATTAATAAAAACAATAGAGAATAGAAGAGGCAAAATGCTAGGCCATCTTATACGGCACGATGATTTTTTAAAGAATATAGTAGAAGGAAAAATAGAAGGCAAAAGAGGAAACGGAAGACTGAGGAATAACTACATGGGACTGATAAAAGAAACATAGGGAAGAACAAAGAAATATAAAGAAATATAGGTGTCATGTCGTATAGGGAGGTCAAGTATACGGCCTGGGATAGAGCTGGCTGGAAAATGTATGAATTAATTGCACCGACAAGAGGAAAGTCTTAAATAAAAAAAAAAAAAAGCGAGTACTATAATAGTATTTTTGGTCTTATCTAATGGTAGGCAATATTTAATTTTTTCTTCTGGCTTGCCGAAAAGAAAAAAAAACTTTAATCGTGGCAAAACAAGGTTAACGTATGGCGGGATTTATGTGTTTACTAGAAACGAACTGTCTTACCGATACAATCAATGTCAATACATATAATAAAATCGTAACTGGTCGCTGTCTGAACATGGAAGATATATAAGAAAAACTATTATAGGGGGGTTTATAAACAATATAAGGGCAATAGAACTCAAAACTACGATTTTTAGAATTTTTGTCTGTTTGTCTGTATGTTTGTGCACGCTAATCTCAGAAATGGCTTAAACGATTTGAATGCGATGTTCACTAATGCATTGCAGATTGTTTTACTTAACATTTAGTGTTTGTTTTATTTCAATCGGTTCATAGATAAAAAAGTTATATCAATCTAAAGAATCTTATATAAAATGTTATAAAATAAAATTGGCTAATACTTTATGAAGGTATTAGGTACTAAATACCGGATTAATGAAGAGTTCCAATGGGAGTGATAGACGGGAACTACATAGTTATAAGCGGGCATCGCCGCGGGAAATGGCTAGTTTTAAATACATTTATAAAATTTTACTTTTTGTTTCCAACAGTGTGATGTGTGAACAAGTATAATCAAGCACACTCACCCGATGTCAATGTTTAATAGACATAGTGCGTTAAAAATAGTAATTTAAATTTAGAACGCCGAACCGTGTCGCTCTTGGTGAATGAACAAGATATTTTTTTTTATAACACTAAGGTGGCAAACATATATACGCATTCAGGACCAAATCACCATACTGATTAATAGCTAGCGCAAATCGATTGAGCTTTTTATTGTGTATACCATAAGCAACACCTAAAAAAAAATACGCTGAACTGTGTGTCTATGATTTTGCTTCTCGACAGTTATTTACTTTGCAAAAGAATAATAGCATAATATAAAACTAACACGAGAATAAACCTAATAGATTTGCCGAAATCAATTCAGAATTGATAACGTAGTCGTGTGAGCATATGGTGAAGGCCGGACGGGAAGGGAATGTTAATAATGCAGACTATCAGTCCCGTTGCTGGCAATATACCTTATCAGGTCGGCCTCCACGTGGTCCGCCCTAAAAACCATCGTGCTGAATTCTAGGTATATTCATCAGGATGGATTGACTGACATGCCTTTTCGTTCACACTTATCATGTCTCACCGGTGCCCAGACTGCCTATACCCTTAATGCAAGCGGGGTTGCCATATTATTATCATCCATTAACAATATATATGATATTGGTCTGTAGTGTCGACTCTCATATTTGTATAATATTCGCTGCTCACCATCAAGTGGAAAGTTTTCACTTTGATCAGCTATTTAAAAAAAAAAAAACAAAGAAATTCCTTTTTTCGTAAATCGCTTAAAAAAACTTTTCAATAATAAATTACAAGACATTTATTCTAACAGAATATGACAGGTCCGTACGAGCAAATCCGTGTGTGATAGCTAGCTAATGCATGAAAGTATTGCTCTGGCTAGTTCAAATCCTATTAGAAGTTGACAATAATATCAATTTCAATTAGGATGGTGTCCGCAGTCAAGTTTTAATAAGGTTATCGAGTCCCTGAAACTGGTGCGGACATTTGATTACATTACGCGCGTGTCAGGACTACTTTCCAAGTTGGCTCGCATCAACATTCGTAATAAAAAACCGGCCAAGTGCCAGTCGGACTCGCGAACCGAGGATTTCCTGTATCTAAATTGAAAAAAAAAATGTAGTTGATAGTACTACAAAAGTGATAAGGCTGCCTTTTGTATCATTTCTCATTAAAATTTACTATATTTATTATTTTTAATTGGTGCAATAAAGTGTAAATTAATAAATAATAAAAAAAAAAACAATTTTCCGACATTATTTCTTACCAAATTTTATGATTTTAGGTCAATGGGAAGAACCCTATATTATAGGCTTTGATTTCCTTGCAAAATGCCAAAATATAATACGTATATATACATATATATATACCTATGTGTATATATATATATATATATATATATACCTATGTATCATTCAGAAATCCAGTGTTAATATTTATGAAATTTATATAATGTGGTCAATAGCCCACCAGAGTATACTGTAAAAGCAGGCGAGGTGACCATTCCATTGTCACCCATTGAAAAAAAAAATGTCTTCGTCCTCACGAATCTATTTCTATATAAAACTGGCAACTAATATGAAGAAAGTCGACTAAAACTAATAATACATAATTAAATTTTAATATTTTTATATTATGTAAAGGGTTTTACATACGTCATTTACACTATATGATATAAAAAAATTACGACCTATAAAGATAATGGATTACGTAATGCCTATTTACCCAATTACCATTTCTAAATCGGTAATTAAAGGCGTGAAGAAACCAAATCAGATAATCGAATATTCAGTTAATCGAGATTCTACTATATACCATAATAATGTATACTTATAATAAATCTGTAGAGAGGTCAATTCTGTACATGAAATATATTTCCAAAATAACTATCAGGAGGTGATTAGTGATCGATACTGATGCCAAAAATGCAATCAGTAAAATTTTTGTCTGTCTGTCTGTCTGTATAATCGTTATAGAAACAAAAACTACTCGACGGATTTTAACGAAACGAAACTTGGTACAATTATTCTTCATACTCCTGGGCAGGTATACTTTTCATCACGCTATGATCAATAGGAGCTGAGAAGTGAAGGGAAATGTTGGGAAAACGGGAGAAGTTACTCAATTTTTAAGCTTCCGTCGCGTGTGCAGCCTTAATGGCCATTTTCTTAAATGTAAAAATGTCCACTCGTGCGAAACTGGGACAGGCCGCTAGTGTCTAATAAATATATACCATAAATGTATATTTATGAGACGATCTGACCTATAACCTACTATTTATATGTAAATATTATATCATATGTGCTTACACTACATCCCATAGACTCGATGGAAACGTTTAGTTTACTCTGAGGGAGTTACGGATGAATGAATTCTGATTAGAAACCAGGAGTTTGCGTTGTCCGTTGAATATATTAGTAGAAACGTATGTGATGGATTTGTTTGCTCTACATCTTTTAATTGATTTTGTTTATGACTCGACTTTGCAGCTTTGTTTTTTAATAAATGTATCACAAAAAAAAAGACTTCAGTTGTGACAAAACCAGTTATTTTGTTCTAAAAATTAAACTATTAAACCGATTTTGATAAAGTTTCTATGTAATCAGTTTGTAAGTTAATCCTTCCAGATAAAAAAAAATACAAGTCGATTTAGAACTGACGGAGTTATAACAAACCTATTCATTATTCAAACAAACTTATTCATTGATATACATACATACTAAAATATATAAATAAATAACAAATATACTTACACATATATAAGATATACTATATTTTACACGAAGATGAAAATAATAATAGATAATACTGCTCGAATAAAGTATAAAAGTGAACATAAACGTTTAAAAAAAATGCAACCGAATTGAGTACCTTCTTTTATTTTTTTATTTATTCATTAGTACAAATATATGTACACGGCGAACTTAATGCTAAAAGAATTCTTTCCCAGTCAACCATAGGGAAGTGTCAGAATACTCGAATGCGGTACTACTAATTATTGATATACATACATACTAAAATTACATATATAAACGAATAAATATATATAAATAACAAATATACTTATACATATATGACATATACTATATTATTACACGAAATTGAAAATAATATAAAGCACTTACTGCTCGGATAAAGTAAAAAAGTGAGCGTGAACTTTTTTTTTGTAAGTTTTAAAATGGCTGGAAAAGAAAAATCTCGTTCATTTCAGTACATCATGTTTAGGAGTCTCGACGCCACATACCACTTCCTTTATTTAACGTGCGGATGTAAAAAAAATATTTATGAGGTTATACTATTTATTTATATTGAACAAATTTCAGGCACTAAAGTATTGAAGGAAAATAAATGAATGTGTAAACTTCGTGTAATCCCAGTTGTGCCTTCATTATGCTTTCATGAGACGGTGCGATTTAAAAGGGATTAAGTTATTCGTTCTCATTTGTAGCCTCTAAATATCAAGACTGTCAGTGCGTTGAACCTTTGGGAATATCAGCTAATGATTTTTTGGTTTCCTCATGCTGTTATCGGGACGAGAGGATTGGTAGTAACAAACACTAGAGGCCTTATTTTTGTCTGATAGGTGAAAATAGGGAATGATATCCCCTACCTTGCGCTAAGGGTATATGTTGGCGAGGCACCAGTGATGATCGGAGAAAATTAAAGTATGTCATTTATCCCATTGTGACAAATACAATAAAAAGTAACCACGATGTTCCCCATTGGAGATTTTTTTTTAATGGCTGATAATGGAATGGTAACCCTGCCTGCGCTATCGGTATATATTGGCGGGGTACCAGTGAGAGGTGATTGGTGAGGATGAAAAGGCAGGTCAGTTAGCCCATTGTGACGAAATCAACGATAAATTAGTCACGATAGTTTCCAAAGGAAACCGCGTGGAGGTCGACCTGATAGGGTATATTGATAGCAATAGGGACTAAATTCCCCATTACTAACAATCTCTTTCCCTCTCCCCGTTGGCGGGTTTCGCCAGTAGTTGCTGCGCTTGGCAGGCGGCCTAAGCTGCCTTAGTCGCCTCTTACGACATCCACAGGATAGGAATGGGTGGCCTATTCTATGTCGGGACCACACGGCAAACAAATAATATGAAACAGAATTTATTGGGTTGTCCATGTGGTGATTTTCGTACATGGTGATTTTTTTTGTTTCCAGCTCCACCTGACGAGGACCGTGAGGATGACTTCAGGGCGCCTCTGTACCGCAGCGTGGACATTAACGGCATCACGGTGCGGATGAAGTGGTGCGTCACGTGCAAGTTCTACCGGCCGCCGCGGTGCAGCCATTGTTCTGTGTGCAATCACTGCATAGAGGTAAAACTGCACACTATCCACGTGCGCTTGTCTTTTTACGCGATTGCTCAAAAAAGGAGTGTCATGTTTTCTAAATTCACGTATGTATTTGACTTCCTTTATTCCATCGTAAGTTTTAAATGCCTGAACAAATTTGCATGTATGAGATATCGTTAGAATGATTGCATCATAATGCCAAATGACACTGGCTATATTTTTTAAATGATTAATTTCTTTTGGCAGAGCAGTCGCATTTTATAATTTGTGCAGTAAACTGTACTTGTTTTTATGGTTGAAATCGGAATGGTAACCTTGCCTGCGTTAGTGGTATACGTTGAGGTATAACTAGGGATAATAGGGGACGATATAGCCAGCTCAATTGGCCCATCGTTACTTATTCACCAAGAATTAACCACAATGGTTTCGAGAAAATAATGCATGGAGGTTATAAGACCTAGAGTCTCTAATATGATTGATAGTCCTTTGGTCCCGTGTTTTTGTCCTGACAACATCTATATCGCAGTGTCAAGTCGCTTTGTTTGTTGAAATTTTGGTTTCCATTTTGGGTCGGATCAATTAAAGGAACGACATCTTCTGAATGACCATTTGCACTTGGTGTGGTTCCTCTGGGTGTTTTCTCCGTATCTACAGGAGTGATTTTTTATAAAACATTAAACACTAGCGACCCGCCCTGGCGTCGCACGGGTGCAATGCTGTTACTAAATAGCGCCGCCGGCCCCCATTACATTACCTCATTACGAGTACATTAGAAACCTCTAAAATTATCAGTGTTTTTCTACTATATTATATATTATTATAATATATATTATATATATAAACCTTCCTCTTAAATCACTATCTATTAAAAAAATCGCATGGAAATCCGTTGAGTAGTTTTAAAGATCTAAGCATACATAGGGACTCGACAAATAGGAATCGACTTTGTTTTATACTATGTAGTGATTATTTATCATAAAATATTTCTATATTCTTATTTATTATCTATTTCTTAGTTCATCATTCCATCTATATATGAAAAAAGAAGATGATTGACTATTTTAAAGTACGTGCAAAATTAGTCTTTTCTCCTAAATATATTGATTGCTCATTTATTGTTATTCGAAATCGTTAATTCGATCCGGAACACAACATAAGCAACGCCTGATTATAATCATACCAATCCATTATTGTCTGACCTCCGCGAGGAGGAAATAAGTCTATTAATATCTGTTATATTATTTCGTATCTCTTTCTCTTGCATTGGTATATTCAGCTTTGTTTCCATAGTGCTCATTGGGGTATTTAAAATTATTTTCCTGGAGGGTCTGGTCTCTTAAAAAAGGTGAGCGGCGGCTCTGCGGCTTTCTCTAAGTGCATTTATGATATGTATATAACAATGTATCACCACAATACATTGTATTCTTGCTCCGTCCTCATGGAATTAACAATATTAGTCACGATGTGCTACTTCACCCTCACCTGTTATCAGTCATTTGGGAACTAAAGTCAAACATTTGGGAAATAAATTCAGTTTGAAAAGCAATATGAGGCAGTGAAATTACGTGATACGGAGGTATAACCCTACCCTATAGTCCTCGGGAATGGCAACACATAAAGTTACCACAAGCATCATGTTGGAGACGGTTACCATTTTCCATCGCATGGGCTGTTAACTTGTTTGGTATACCAAGTATCATAAAAATTGAATTGTAACGTATAATACTAATAAAATACATTGTTTTATTCCAGACTTTCGACCACCACTGTCCATGGGTGAATAATTGTATAGGACGACGAAACTACAGATTCTTCTTCTTCTTCCTCATATCTTTGTCAATACACATGCTGAGCATATTTGGTCTTAGTCTGTATTACATAATGAACAATAACAAGACATTGACGCAAGTGGAGCCTATTGTGTCGTATCCTTTTTTTATATAGTATTTATTGATTAAATATTGTATGATATCTACCTCAACTAGTCGTTAAAAAGTATAAGATGAGGCGAAATAAAAAAAAATTACTGCGTTTTTTTACATCACTCATACGCTATTTTACTCTCGTCTCCCATATTCCATCAAAAAAAAAAAATTAATATACCACAAGATTAATTTTATATGAATTTTATACGTCCTGCTGGCTACAATGATAATGACTGCTAACTCTAAACTTTGCAGTAGTTATACAGATAATACTGGCATACACACAACCTTGCGGCGTACGCACGTAAAATGTGATATATGTCACATTTTATTTCTACCTGGATATTTATGGTACGGTAACCGCTTACCATCAGGTGGGCCGTATGCTTGTTTGCCACCTTAGTGGTATAAAAAACAATTCAATCATGCTTTAATTTATGAACAGATCTGTATAAAATTTAGTATATTGATGAAATATTCCAATAAAGGCTGTTTTAAGCGGGTTGTCGACTCTCAATAAGTATCCGGTAATATCAGTCATATCTGACCCATCAAACTATCGATTTATAGAAGCCCTTAACTAATAACAGAATGGTAATAATGGGTATAATCGCACTACTAGCGATTCCAATATTCGGTCTGACCGGCTTCCACATGGTGCTGGTGTCGAGGGGGCGCACCACCAACGAACAGGTCACCGGCAAGTTCACTGGTGGCTACAACCCGTTCTCCAAGGGATGCTGGTACAACTGTTGTTATACGCAGTTCGGACCGCAGTATCCGAGGTAGGTGACAAAATTTTCAAATAATTCATTTTATTTTACTAATATAATTATGTTTGGGCATTCAAATGTTGTTTGGAGGTTTGATGCCATAAACAAATTAAATAAATAAATATACATTATTTTTAGGGCAAAGCAAAAAGCTGAGTTGTGGCAATTTTGTATTACTGTGGCACACGCATGAAGAAAAAAAATTTTTATTATGCATTCTGATTTTGGTTTTGGTTTTTTTTTTAAATCTTTTGTACATGTATCTTTTTTTTATCTTTTTTTCACTTTGCTTTTGTATCTTTTGCTGTTTGTGTGCTGTAAGTGATGCAAATAAATTATCTATCTATCTATCTATCTATTATACTGACGATGATTAGCGTCTGCGGCCGCCGAGCGTGCATGCTCACGTAATTAGATACAAGCGCCAGCTGTTGATTGTCATCCTAATACAAGTAATAATTCAAGCAAATAAAATCACAGGATACACCTATTAATATAGTTAGGTTTTGTGTTTATTTAAAAGCTTACTTCCTATTACATAAACATGTGAATCATGTGTATACAACAAAATCGACTATTGAAATACTCGCTTGTTCTTTTTACAGATACTTACGAGTAGTGTAATTTATTAATTGCAACGATAATAGCAAATGAATAGTCAGCATGCTAAATGATAAATGTGTGTATTTCCCCAGCCTGGTGCGGCCGTCCAAGTACATATATAAAGGCGGCAAGAAACGGCGCGAGGCGCTGCCGCCGGGCGCACTGTCCGCGTCCGCCATCTCGACCATCGCCACCGACACGCAGCACCAGGTAAAGACGTACACGGCGGACAACGGCAACGCGCTACGGCCCGCCGGCCCCCACGCACACTACAACAAGGTGAGAGCCAGACGCGACGTCACGCGCACGCTACTTTACTCCTGCCTCCCATGTGCCACCAAAATTTTTGTAATATACAACAAGATTGATTTGAAAATTTTAACATCATAAAACGAATTAACCGAGATGGTTCTATTATACATAGTATATATTGCCTAAAACCAACCAAAATATATTTTTATGTAACTTCTTCTTCAATAGGACTGTTGATAATTTTAAGTGGAAGTACGTAATACAATCTTGTTTTATAAAGTTTTGCTACCACCTCATTCCAGTCTTTCCCGTCACCCGCATCATGCTATCCGCTACCCACCCATCGTTGTCCGCTACCGCTTAATAGTGTCGCGTGTTATAGCAATTTCTATTTATCATTTTGATTGCAAAATAATTAAAAAGTATACATATTGTGTACCAGCAGGCAGCATCCCAATAATTTATCTATGAATATCTAGCCTCTTAATATCTATAATTACCATTATAGGACACAATTCTAAAAATTATTACATACAGTATCCTTGTTTTTTTTTTTTTATCATAGATATACTATTGGGAATGACTACTATTGACTGAAATAATTAACTTACTTTGTTTTTTTTTTATTTAAAAAATTTTGTATGATTGAAAATGGAATGGAATATGGTTTATGCTGGCCGGGTACTAATGAAGAGTCACAAGTGTTCATAAAATCGGACTAATTGTCATGTTATGACGAATTCACTAGGATTAATCCGTAATGGTTTCCAGATGGTATGGAATTATATGGAAAATAAACCTAATTGTCAGGAATATAGGTATCATGATAGTATATTTATATTGTTAGCAATGGAAACACTTCTATTTGTAAATCCCATTTATTTGACTAGATCCCATTTCGCTTGCGTTATCGGTATACACCGGCGGGGCACCAGTGAGAGATGATAGGTGAGAATGAAGCAGGCCAATTGGCTCATCTTAACGAATTATATAACATAATATATAACCAGGATGATTTAGGATCTGATAGAGTACAAGGCAATTGGACCCCATTAATAACAATTCCTTTTCTCCCTATCGGGCTTATTTATTTTTCCATTACACGCTCTATATGAAGTTTATGATAGGAATTTTAAAATAGTAATTAAGTGACGATAAAAGTCATTGGTGGCATTGTTAACACGATTTAAACGAAGCCATATTGGTATAAACGATGATAGTCCTATAGTCGATTCTCGGTCAGACCAATTTGATAAATGGTCAAACCTTTCGAGTATAGGTGTCTTGTGCTTTTAAATTTCTCATGTCAAGATTTATAGTTACTATGGTCTCATAATATGTTAGGAAGTTTCTTAAACTTAGTCAGAAAGTTTTTTTTTTTTTTTAATAATATTCGTATTGGCTAGGCTGGCTTCTGATTTAACGATATATTAATAAAGTAGTATCATGTAGTTTTATTCACAGTTGGTACAGAATAATTCAATATGGCTGACCTTAATTTAAGCCATTTGAATTATATTGTGCTTGTTTAGAATTCAAAATCGCATAACACCACTCATGAGCTGTAGAACGCTGTATGAAAACATTTAGTTATCATGCTTTTAGAGCGAACGAATACATACCTTCAATTCACGATCGTAAGTTCTATTTTTGCACTTGCACAATTTTATTTATATCGATCTTATTATGTGAATTGAAGACATGATTATGTCTGGCTCTCTAACTATACTTACTTTCTTACACTTTATATGTATTATGGATTTCAGGTTGAATTATTCTTATTTCCTTTCAAATATAATAATTTACGTATTTTATAATAAATATTGTTTAATATTCCGATATATTATATATACATACATATTTATTATATTAATAATTAATAATTATTATTATATTGAAACTGCACTTAGTTATTTGTTATCTCTTTTTTATACTTGGCTTATTTAGTATGCAATATTGGCATATATTTTTATCGGAATTAATTATTTAAAAATTAGAGATACAATAATAGTAATTATAGAGTAATATTTAATTAATATAAAACCCTTGACTCTAGATATTTATTTTAAGCACGGTTAATTTTATTAATTTAATAAAAAACAGTCCATAACTTTATTAAATATAGTGGATATAAAAAAAAAAAAACAAGGTCAACATTATGTAGGACCATAAATACCAGTATCGTATTTTTGTAAATTATTAAAAAAAAGTTTCTTATTTGACATAAATCTCGTATAAAAATACTATACCCAAAGACAAGAGATACACTAATAGATAGATACGTTGTCGTTAGAAAGAATAAGATACAGTATGTTGCTGTCTCCTTTTATCCTTTACATATAACAGCGAATACGTATCTATCGTTATATTCGTTTATTACTTGTCTAAGGGGAGGCTAGATAAATTTCTATAATTTGATAGCAATGAAATATATGTATATGTAATTTAATACTAAAAAAAACATATTTCATTATCAAAATCTGCTAGTAATCAGCACCGGAGTACTATGTATTAAAAAGAAATTGTTAAAATCTATTAACAAGTGATGAAGATATCATGCAACCTTTTTAAAGTCGGATAAAAGATGAAAAATATGTCTAGAATAATCTGGATAGCCTAGGTATTAATATAAATATACACTTACATATTTTTACTGTTATTTAATATATATTTTTTTTAATTAGATTCATTTAATAAATCATATTAATTACTAAAAATTGATTCATATTTCACAACGCTACTCTCTGATGGGGTTTTATGTATCATTCTTTCATAATAATTTAACGCATAATTAAACATTTCTAATCTTGCATTTCATTTATAGCATTGTTTCTCAACCTTATTTTGCCCACTTTGCTATGTTTTTTTTTCTAGATTTTTTTAATTTTACTTACCAATTGTCGTAAATTTAAATAAATTATTATCAATTCCAATTATATTTAAACACGTAATATCGTATACGTGAATGATAAGGAACGGGACAGTTCTTTATGGCAGTTTACCATTGGTGGGGATTTTGCCAGTAGTTGCTACGTTTGTCAGGTGGGTTAACAACCGCAGTTAGGTTTTCGGTGATATTTTAAAAGAGATGCTGCTGCCCATCCCTCGACCATTCCATTAGTCGCCCTTTACATCAACGGGAAAGGAATAAGTGGGAACCACAGCAGAGTACCCTATTCAGACAGTTTTTATACAAAGTCTCCTTCTGATATCTTGACAGATTAAAAATAAATTCCATTTTTGTGATTATATTAAATTTCGTATGTCAACTATTAATATACTTGTATTAAAAGGGGCACTAATTGAAGTCGGATTGTTTTACGTTTTTATTTATAAAAATATTAAAAGTAGAAAAGACATGATTTATCAATTAAAGTTTATAGTTTACATCTTTTTAGTTGATTATTTGTTAACCCTTCTTTGCGTCCTGGTGGTAATTTCCATCATAACATTGAATGCCCAAAAATTATATAATAGAACAATTTCATTTTAAGTTGATCGTATCTGGATACCTTTTTAATGTCCATTGCAGAAAAAAAAACTATAGCTGTCAAATTTATTTTTTTAACCATTTTTCCTTTAATTTTGAACATGAATTACATCAACTTGATTTATTTCATCAATAAAAAAAATCATGCTAATTAATAAAATAAAGTGATAAAAATACCAATATTTGGGTCTAGGTAGAGGTAACCCGGAGGTCGTGCTTTCATATATTCATTGCTTGGTTCCTCACAATACAGGGTATCCTGGCTTGAGGTCAGGCGGTTGACATGATTGTGTGGCACTTATTATTAATATTTGAAGGTAGTTTGTAGGTTTTAGTTTTTATGAATAAGAAGACAAGATTTATAATCCAGTCCTAAAAGGATCGATAGAAGTGTTTTTATTAGTGACAGATCGAAGGTTCACTTGAAAGATCGAAGGTCGGAGGGTCGAGGGTCGGAATTTGGTGTCTTATAAGTACTACTTTATTTAAAACTAGCTGTTCTCCGCGACTTCGTCTGCGTTTCCGTCGTTTTTCGTAAAATAAGTAGCCTATGTCCTTCCTCACGGTTCAGTGGTTTTGATGTAACAGACACATTTCCCTTCACTGCTCTGCTCCTATTGATCGTAGCGTGATGAAAAGTATACTATAACCTGCCCAGGAGTATGAAGAATAATTGTACCAAGTTTCGTTAAAATTCGTCGAGTAGTTTTTAGTAGTTGTACTGTAGTGAACATACAGACAGATACACAAAAATTTTACTGATTGCATTTTTGGCATCAGTATCGATCACTAATCACCCCCTGATAGTTATTTTGGAAATATATTTCATATACAGAATTGACCTCTCTACAGATTTATTATAAGTATAGACAAAAAAAGCAAATTTCTGTATCAAAAAGTGTCAGTCTTATTTTTGCACTTCGCTCTAATTATTTGTTTTATCAAAGGCCGTTAGTTTTGTTTGTCAGATCTTAGTGGGCAGCGAGAAAATAGGTCAAAGAGGCCGCAACTATATAAAATTGAATTGTACATATATTATGTATTATATATATTATTACAGTTTTGTAATATGAATATATCGATTATTACAAAAATCTAATCGAATCACAGGCAATCGATTAAATCGGTATTCCATAGTTTTCACAAATTTATAGTAACCTATAGAATGTTTGAATGAAAGTTTTCCCCGAAAATATTTCGAATTACCACGACCAATACAATTGGATCGATTGGCATAACGGATTCGGCGGGTAACACGATGTAATGTCAACTGGGCAGCTGTCGCCCGGGCGCGAGGAGCACGAGGCGGAGCTGGAGGGCCCGGGCGCGTCGCAGAGCGCGGACTGCGAGCCGACGCCGCCGCCCGCGCAGCGCCGCGGCTCCTCCGCCAACCTGTTCCCGCCCGCCGAGCCGCACCACCACGTGCCCGCGCACCAGCGCGCGCACCACTACCCCAGGCTCAGTCCACTCTCCAGAAATACCAGGTGCCACCGACAACCAAATTATAGTGTTGGTTTTTTTTTTACAACACACAATAAACAAGAAACAATGACACAGCATATAGCATGCATAGTTGTATTTAAAGAAGAGCCAACTTAGAATTATCTCCACCTCAGGAAATACCAAAGACATGTTTGAAAGTTCATGTATTAATTAGGGGCTAGAGATCCCTGGAAAATAAACTTAAATACGCCTATGATGACAGTTTCCATGCGGACGGAACTTTTTTTTTTACAACACGGGGCAAACGAGCGTGCGGCTCACCTGATGGTAAGTGACTACCGCCGCCCATAATCACCCACAACACTAGAGGCATTGCAGGTGTGCTGCCGGCCTTTTAAAAAGGAATATACTCTTTGTCTTGAAGGTTATGTTGTCGTATCGGTTCGGAAATACTGCTGCTGGAAGTTGATTCCAAAGAGTGGTTGTGCGTGGATGAAAGTGCCTTGAAAAACGCACGGTGGAACAGCGCCACTCGTCCAGATGATTGGGATGAAACTTTAGTTTGTGGCGGGTTGTACGGTGGTGAAAATTAGCAGCAGGTATCAATCCGAACAATGCCTCAGAACACTCAGTCCTGTCTCAATATTATTTTCTTTTCTTCTTCTTTGTAATGTTTTGTATTATAAAGAGGAAACATTTGATTTTTTGTATGTTTGTAATAGATATACTTAAATTTTATTAAATATGAGGGTAGTTGTATAAACTTATATATAGTAATTTTGTGCGTAACTGTCCCAGCTAATTCTATATACGCAATTGTTAAGTGTTTGTTAGAAATACTTTATTTCGGTATATACACAGCCACGGAGGTACAACGACCTCCGGCTACCGGGTCGTGATCGAGCCACTGCGATATGACACCGGCGCCAACGGCGGCGCTCGACCCTCGCCCACCATGCAGCAGCGGATAAAGGCGCTAGGGGTGCCCACCCCGCTCGCCGTCAGCAGCCCCGTGCGGAGGTACGTGCGCCCGGGGGACAGAGATGGGAATGGGGACAAAATTGAAACGTAATCCACGCATTTCTCAGAAATAAATAAAACTGTGTATTGGTTACTTCAGCATGACTGCAATGACAGTTTAAGAGGTTTTAAGACTTATATCGAAATTTCCTAATATTTTTTTATTGTAATTTTACATAAGCATTAAGACCTACTCTAATAAATAAGGAATATTTACTATAATCATTATGAGGGTAACTTAAAAATTTGATTCAAAATATAAAATAAGAATGATTTCTTATTTGATTTTTCCTGCATATAATTTTAGCATAAGACTATATTGTGATATATTACGTAAAAAAAAAAAAAAAACAAAAAAATAAATGATAATATATTTTATTACCGAGGATTACATTTCAATTTTGATCATAAGTATAAATTCATTTACAAAATTATTGTTAAAAATTAGTAAATGTTGGATGTCCACACTTTAAACTTTACACAATTTGCTTAATGTTATTAGCTCGAATATTATGTAAAGGACCAATTGGCGATATTTTAATGAAGAATTTATCCATACATAATATAGGTATTTATATAATTTCCCATTGTATCATGGCCTGTTCCCATCATGTGACTAACTAAACTATTGTTGACAACTAAAATGTCCCTCTCCAAACACGACTGCATCGCTTATATGTTTTACTTTAATGGAGTGTTTATTTGCATGTAAATTGGTTTGCGTATTCACAAAATGTTTAGCGGTAACAATTCAACGGTAACTTCCTGTCGGTATATGACGTCATTGTTGTTATTGCTTTTGTATGAGATTTGCTTACATTCAATACATTATTAATTTCAAACTGTTAAATTTAAACTCTTATAATGATTCCACCACGATTGGAATGTAAGCAAATCCAAAGAGTCTATAGCAGAGGTGTTTGGTTGTAATTAATGTACATAAAAATAACTGTATTATTCAAAACACTAAACCACTATAGAGGAACTGAATACTCTAAGGAGAAGCTATTTATAGGGCATGTTTAAACGTAGCAACGTCAAGTTGCCTAGTGTAGAACAATTTTTATTATGTTCTCTTACCTTCTCCTCTAGACAAGTGGCAAATAAATCTATTCATAGCTATGTTTGCACTATCGCACGCTTGAGAAAGAATAAGATGGCGGACTTCACTGTCTCGTTTTATCTTATGAGTGCGGCAGCGCTTGATAACATCGTCTGATTGGTCTATGTATGAAAATTTTAAAATTTAAGTAAATTGTATTCAGTTCTATTAAAAATGTATTGACTGTTTTAATGCTTACCCAATTAAACATCTCTCATTCATTCTATCTCGTACATTGAGTACCGTAAATTAATATTGGCCCTGTTGTTTAGCATCCATTGTCGGTCTATAAAAGACCTTTTAAAATAGTGGACATTTTAACTCATAACATTCGAATCATCAATCATTAACATATGTGTAGCTGTTAATTCAGATTGCTTCAAATGCAGTTTTAGGGGACCGACGAAGGACGCAGTACAGTACGACTACAAATAAGTAGTTATTGTATCGATGTTACCATTGGAGTTAACTAAAGCATATTAACAATGAAAGATTCTGTATTGGTTTTATTATTCTTTGATTTCCTCTAAATCTTCTGAAGTATTTTGGATTTATTAAATTAATTATTACAATATAATATAATTATTTTACCTTGATGATATGACATATAATTGCGTTACATTAAAAATACTGGCAACTTTTTAGAAAGTATATTTGAGAATATTATAATAAATTAAATAAGTGTAGTTCTTTTCTGCAGATCACTTATACCCATTAATCGTGTGAATATTTATTTTCGAAATTTAATTTTAATATTATTTAGAGTAGGTTAATTACTCTCTTTTTTTTATTTTAAATCGTACAGTGTTTCCATATTCTAAAACATATTACAATGGCCATTATCATTTTGTTCTTAACTAATTAACGAAGCGAAAATTTAACGGTATCCCCTATTTAATTCTGCTTATGAATGTAGTCGCACTGTACAAACGTAATACAAAGTATAAAATGTGACCGTTTACCGCTTACCACGCGGCAGGTGGACCTAACGCATAGGGACGACGTGTCGACGGTAACTCGTAATAACATTGTTGTGTTTGGTTTTGTGTGTTTATTGTGGTTCTTGGTTGAATTGGTGGAATTTTGACAGTTGAATCTATTATTTCGTTTTGTTACAATACCCCTTTAACATTATGCTGTATTGTTTTAACATGTCAGATTGGATATAAAAAAAAAATTGGTCAATGACATTATGAAAAAAAAAAATTTATTAGTACGGTTATAATTTCTGTTTAAATCAATAAGAAATTGTCATTTTTCCTTACTTTTTTCAAAGTAAAGTTATAGACAAAATTAGTAGACTAAAATCTACTTATTTTGTCTTTGTTTAGAACTTTCTAGTTAAAAGTAATTTATTAATTTATTTTCGCAATATATAAATTCCACTAATTCTTTTGTAAATACAATTTGAGTCATGTGGCTGCATCTTTGAGTTGATTTGCTAAAATGATATCCTGCAATACCTATTGGACAGGTTGTAAAGAATACAGAAATTTTAAAATCCCTAGTTGTTTAAACTTTTTAATTCGAATACTTTTAAATTTATTATAAATGCTTTTTGTGCTTATTTTTTTTATTATTAGATATATATTTTTTTTTTCAGAAGTACAAACAGCATTGTTCTTTTTTTTTTTGTTTATGCAATATTTAGCATGTTTGGTTAAACACATATTTTGTTGGGACTGTTTTGAGTGATACATTTTTTTTTTTTAGAATTTATCCTTTACCAATATATCAACACAAAAAATTGTTTTACATTTTTTTTTTATTTGCAAGCTGTTGTCACAAAACGGACCGAAGGCGTATCGCGACCCACTATACAATGGCGGGTAACGGCTATCAACCGTTGTCTATGGTCGATATATGATCACAGATTATAAATGATCACAGAATATAATGGTAAAATAATGTCAGTTCAATGTGTTTCAACCCGAATCATAATCATTTTCCTATGCTTTTGCGGGCAATGTTTCTTGTTTTTTTTTTTTTTTATATAATGTGTATTTTATCGTTATGTATATATAATATTATTTGAATTACGAAATTTGTTTTTTTTTTATCTTCAAGCACTTTTAATTACAATTGCTAGAGTTTATTATCAACGAAGCACTGAAGTAATAGAATAGAATAGAATAGAATAGAAATCATTTATTCAAATAAACTTACATTGAAGCACTTTTGAAAAGTCATTACATTTTTTTTAATTTACCGCTCGTTCGGAAAGCTGTCTCATCACAAGAAGAACGTTGTTGACGAGAATGTAGTTATTGCTATTTAATGTATTTATGGGTGTTCAATAATGTAAGTTACGTTTATTAAGACTTGTCCTAAGTCCGTAATTAATTTAATACAGCCATTGTAAAGGTCGCGCTATGTTTTTCGGTAATATCTGTTTTCTGATGTGATAAATTTACAATTTTCTTTTACAATACAATTAAAATACTAATAGGAATGACTCCGCCATGTTGTGACGTCTAAATTGTCAAAATGAAATATGTAAAAGTTGTAATTTTTGTTAAGATAATATAATTTTCCTTGGAAACTAATACCGTTCTTTTGAAGTAATAGTAATAGTTCACAGGACAGGGTCATTGTCATTCCTATTCTTACTTCTTTTATATTTTAATGAGAATTTTATAATAACTATATTTGCATTCGGTTGAGATCATCTATTATTGTCACATCAGAAATCTGTATGAAGCTTGCTGTAGTTGGTAGTGTGTATTATAGTGTAACATATTGTAAATTTGAGGCATGTGGCGTTGGCATGCTCCCCGCAACCGTAGCAGGCGGCCGCCGCCGACGGACCTAGTTTGCAATACGTTCAGAACTAGGTCTCCACGATGACCTGTCGCGGCATTGTATCTACATAATTTAGTTCTTTTTATCATCCAAGTAGCGTAGATTTTCCTTTAATTTTCCTATCGATAAAAATTACTTTTATCTAATATGTAAAATCGTCGAGTTCTGAACAAACGAGTCCGAGGGCGGCGGCGCCGGTGGCGCGATCGCACGTGCAAACGCTTCGCCCCGCAGCTCCCTTCTCCTTCTGTCCGTAGGCCGTACGATAACGATAGCGAGGGCTCGGACGAGCTCGCGCGATTAAACCCCTGACGTGAGCGCCGCGCACAGGTCCAACCCGGGCACGCCGACGCAGCCGCGCCGGCCCGACTTCATCGGCGTCGGCGGCCGCGCCTCGCCGCAGCGCCGCTTCCTGTCCGAGGGCGAGCTGCTGCGCGCCGAGCCGCCGCCGGCGCCGCACCGGCCCACCGCCGACGACATCCGCGAGCTGGCCGCCTCGCCGCAGCGCGGCAACTACCTGTGGGCCGAGCGGCCGCACCCGCACCCGCACCCGCACCCGCACCCGCACCCGCCGCGCGGCGGCGTGCCCGTGTTCCCGCCCGCGCCGCCCGCGCCGCCCGCCGGCGCGCCGTCGCCGCTGGCCCGGCGCCGCGCCGGCGCGCCGCCGCCGCCGCAGCCGGCGCCGCGGCCCGCGCGCCCGCTGTCGTTCGTACGCGCGCTCGAGGTGCAGGACCAGCTGGAGGCTCGCGCCGCGCCCGCAGAGCCGCCCGACCGCGCCTCCGTCTACGACTGCAACTACGAGATCTCGGTGTGAAGCCCCCTCGGCAGTATTACGGCCCGCCCGCGGCCGGGGATCGATTTTAGTTCGCCTGCACGCTGCGGCCGCCGGCCCGGTGTTCCGACGGCGAGTCTCGGCTGCCTATATGCACGATAGGCGAGTTGACCGCGTCGGCGGCGGTCGGCCGCGGACCGCTCGGGTAGTTCGCCCCGCGCGCCGACTGTCGCTCTCCGACTTGTTCGTATCGAATGACGTTGACGTTTCCGACGACGACCGGATCACGCGTGTTTCCAAAGACTTTGTTAAGTAAGTTGTGACGCACAATTATTATTGGGAAGGCGAGATGTACGACTGAACCGTGTGATCTATCCGATACCGTGTAAATTATGAATATATGAGTATTTATGTAATTGTGTGCGAGACTAGCATTTTATATCATGCCATAAAGTGTGAGTGTGTGCGCAGCGTTCGAGTGTTCGAGCGACACTCGGGTATTACTCGTAAGTTGTAATTAGAGTTTTTATATGTATGTATATTTGTGAACAGTTTTTATCGTTGATTATATTTAACTGTGAATTGTTTGAGAGTGTACATAGTCCCCCAGTGTTGTGATTCCGAGATGACATAATAATTATAGAATATTATTTATTACAAAATGTATCAACACTCGCGTATCTCAACTAGAATAATGTAAAAAGTATATATATTTATAAAAGTTCTCTCGAAGCTATTGTAATTTTTTTCAGTAAGTATATAGATTTGTAATAACGCAATATCTGTGGAATTGCCTTATATGTTGTTCTCTTTTATTTTAATGGTGAATAAGCACTGAGTATCTATGACTTCAGAACGCAATAGTTCACTTTTACTTCTCAATAACATGTCCGTAATCTAAATAGTAAAAATACGGACTAAAGTAAACAGTGACTGCTTAAGAAAATGTGCCAAATATTGTGTAGACACAATATAGTGTAACGATTTATTTGATTTCAGTTCCTATATAACGTAAAATTATTTTTCATAGTGACCAAATTTGAATTTTATTTACACTTGCTATTAGGTATATTATTTGATTGTATCAGTCATAGAATGTTATCCCGCTGAATTTGAAGCATACGACGCAGTAACGTAATCCGTCCTCGTCCTTATTCATACGACCATTATACTAATATTAGTATTTCCTCAAACATTGACAATGAAAAGACTAATCCCTCTTATTCATAAGAACTAAAACGTCCTACAAACAAAGGAATGGCAACGCATGGCGGGTGGGGGGTATCATGGGCGAAACAGTATACTCTGTTGTGTCCATGGTACTGCTCATGTCTAAAGACGGTTACCACTTTCCATCAGTTTGGCCGTCAGCTTGTTTACCATTTTAAGTTGCATAAAAAAACTTATTTTGAAAAACACCAAGTAGTGTTTTTCAAATTGAGAAATTAGCGCTAAAGAAAAAGACAAAACACTTGAATAGCTAAAACAGGTTTATTTCAGGTTTGGCGTTTTTATGAATAAGGGGGTAAACTGTTGACATCTTGAGATTCATGATATATAAAAAAGAGATTATAAAATAAAATAGTTTCATAGTATTGGTTAAGCCAATATGGGCTCGTACTAATAGTGTTTCGGCCGAGCATTTCGTTGGTGCCAATTCTGTTTTCAACTTCGATTTATTTCATATATTTAAATTCTTGTCGTCCTTTTCATCTTACTATCGTTAGACAGAGAAAACATAAAGAGACTTATGTGTTTGGATCGACCTAATTAATATCGTTATTTTAAAAAAAGAATCATTTTCATAGTGAATTTTGCTACTGATTATCTATGGTCTGTTAAGTTCCCTCGAAATTAATACCTGTATAGAAAAAATATCGACGTTCGATTTTTAAATTTGAATTTTTAAAAGTATACTTGTCTGTGGTGATCCTAATTTTATACAGTACAAAACGTGACTCTAAAAAATGACGTATTATTTTGATAATTGACGATATATTGATACAAGTATGTAGTTTTGTTTTGTATTGAATTGGCATAAGCTAATTTGAAATTAGCTTCAATAATTAATACCCCCAGATATGGAATTAAATAGATGTAATTATAAGTAATTTTCATGTCAATTTTTGGTCCTAAATTTGGCTCAAAAAGCGCTTATTTGACTGCAACCAAATTTCGTTTAATTGTTCCTTTATAAAATTTATATAGAAAAAAGACTTGACAAACACCAGTATGGACGGTATTTTAGAAAGCGCTTGTTACACCGTTTGCTATAATAACAAATCTTGTGACATAGCTACAAGTTATTCGGTAACATTTAGCTTTCATAACACTTCGTGTACCTCTGTATGTATGTCAGTAATCCCATACAGTCGGTAATGAAGTAAGTTTGTTTATTAAACGATGATATATGGAACAATGACATCGTCTAGGCTATCAATATACGATGGCGGGACACCATTGAGGGATGATAGGTGAAATTTAGCAGATTGGTTAACCCATCGTGACGGATTTCATAAGAATTAACCACTATAGTTTCCAGGGACTGGAGGCTTTCTAGCTATGGGGCCGCTAGTCCCCATTACTAACAATCTTTTCTCCCCTCTAACGGAGTGTATGATCTCATCGGTTTCCATTAAATTATTTTGATAGTCTACCCGTAACGTAATAGACTCGCATACGAATTTATAGAAAATAAATAGTAAAGAGTTTTAATGTAGCATTTAATAAAACCTAAAAACAAGTTGTCGCATATATTGTGGAAACTATTGAACCCTTGAAATTTCTAAAAAAAATATTTTTTATAAAAAAAAATGGGATGGCTTTAAGATCTCACAGACACAAGCGACGGGGATTTAAAAATGTTTGAATGAAAAAAAAATCATAACATTAATATTTTTATAAATAACAATAATACCTCTCCCTCTCTGTTTCACTACGGGATAGTTACCAATAGTCAACTTAATAATGTTAATATTAAGGATCGATTTTAAAGATCAATAGAAAATTTTGTACAATGCCCTCTAGCAGTTATTATCCGAACTAATGTTTGTCAAATAAATACAGTAGTATCTCATATATATCAATAATCAAATATATTCACACTCGTCTTATCTAAATGATTTTCTAAAATTTACCGTGTGACAAGGACATACTTATTTAGACAGAAACATTAGACAAGGATCGCGATAGCTAAAAGAACACCACTCGAGCGTATCTTTAAAAAACTGTGAACACACCTGCAATTCCTCCAGTGTAGCGGGAGCTCATCATCATCGTTTACCATCAAGTGAGCCGTATGGTTGTTTGCCCCCTGTGTTATAGAAAAAACCTGCTAATTTAGGTGTTGTTTTTGTACCTTATCGGGACGATATAACTACTGCTCGTGTGAGGGTGGCGCCCTCTGGTGTCACTTTCTAAACTGTATTCGTTGCACTCGAAAACCTCTGACTTGGTGTACCTGACAACGGCTTTACGTGCCCCCATCGAAGCACGAAATGAATGACAACAATTTTAAATTAACCAAACATGAATTTGTAAATTTTTGAGGTTTATTCTAATATTCGACCTTAGTATCTCCGGACCGCTGTCCAGCGTTGACCGACTGAGCTAACACCTTACTAATTTCGACGATGATTTTTGATGACGAAGAATATTTATATTTCTCATTCTGAAGGTTACGACATTTCTAATAACTTCTTCAATTACTAACAAGACGTACTCTGTTATTTTGTTAGTATCCTACTTGTTTACCGCAGTTCCGTCCGCACGGAAACTGTCATCATAGGCGTATTTAAGTTTATTTTCCAGGGATCTCTAGCCCATAATTAATACATGAACTTTCAAACATGTCTTTGCACATAGTTGAGCTCCGCTTGTATCCTGAGGTGTGCACCAGACAATTCTAAGTTGGTCACCCACCTAGCTCTTTTTTAAATACACCTATGCATGCTATATGCTGTGTCATTGTTTCAATGCCTTTTTTTTTTTTTGCAAAATGCCTTCCGAATGAATGTCCACGTCATGAAAAGATACTGTATGCAATATTTGACATTAAAACAAGTCCTCTTTCTCTGATTTAGTGCATTGCTAAATTAATCGGGATGAGTATGAGTATTTTGTATGTGTACATTTAAATAGAAGATAATTGACTAATCTCGGCATAATATTGGCTAATACAACTGACATACCATTTTGGATAACAATAGCATACTTTTTTTTTCTATTTATATCATATTTGGGTTGTGACAATTTAGGTAAAATGAGTTTTCGATAGATTTGATTATTTTATTCATTGAATCATGAGAAATCGAATAACAAAGGCTCTTTGCTGATTGATGTTGATTGATTCTGTAATGGGGTTGTTAGTTGATGTTAAAAATTAACATTTATAGGTTGTGTATGGTTTATTTTGATGGATAATGCGAACAAGAGAGGAATATAATTATTTGACCAGCAGATTTTAGGATTTATAGATTTGTTTTGCACTATATTTAATTATCGAAAATTTATTAGAAAAACCAAAATAGGTACAATCGAATTTAAATTCTATTATTTTAAGACATTTGGAAGAAAAAAACAATTTAGTGTAACTCAATAAAAAAAATAAATACTAATTTAATACAAACAATTCACAAAACCTGTTTTAATTGTTGATCTAATTTAAAGTAGTTATAAAATTTATAATTTAGTATGTTTGATCATTGAATTTCGTCAGTCACGATACATATTTTAAATACTCATACGCTATCAGGGCTTACGCGACGCAGTTGCAGGTAACCAGTAGCTACATACTTAATTTTTATTGCCGTTGTGTCAAAGTGGATAGCATCGCCTCGTGGTCACGACAGGACTGAAATAAGCGACATCTTGCAGCCTTCGCAGTTTCTTCAACTACCCTCATATTGTCTAGATCCATGTTACCACATTCAAGGTATCCACACTGCATTTAAGTGTATTAATCAACGGGTTACATGCTGTTGAAAGTCTGTATCCATCGATATACCTATAAATCTGCAATTATGTCTCGTCAAGTCCTGACAGCGTATTTAAAATAAGTGACGGCACATTCATTGCGTGTGCAATTAATTTGAATTTATTAGTTTATTTATTAATTTATCGTGGATGGGCTAGTGGTTTAAGTGCTAGTTCGGGATTTAGTGGTCACTGATTCGAATGCTAAAATTACTAAAAACTATGTTCCTTATTTTTTTTTTTTTATTTTGAAACGAGGCAATGTTAATTTTGTGGGGAAATCCAATATATTTGCTACCAGATATTCGTTGTCTCATTTCTGAAGACGTAATTATCCTAGTTAGAGGACCAAATAATTGATGTAATTTTTCTGCTACTTTTTTGAGTTGCTCAGTTTTTTTATTTGCTCGAAAACTTTAAATACAATGTCAAATACCCTATTATTATATTTACATATATTTAATAATTGTATTGTGCAATTCGGTATTGGCTTTTCCCAATGATAAAAAGATTTATAGATTAACCTATTCGAAGAAGGTTAATAAATTTTCTTCCTATTGTGATACAGATTTATTATATTTCTTTATCTTTATATATACAGATCTCTGAACATCAGTACTTAGTTTATCACAACATTGTGTATCTTCAACTAAGTATGTTACACTTCAAAATAAAAATGTGTATATACATACATATACAAAGTGTAAATTAGGGTATAACAAGCCAAAATCCATCAAAAGGATTTCTAAAAGTGAATATAAGACTAGTTATCCCAAATAGCGTAGCCAAAATTTAAAAATAAGTTAAAATACTTTATAAAAAGATGCTTTTTATTAATATGGATTGTTAAAGCTAAACAGCAGAATATAAAAATAAAATAAAGTGCATTCAATATTATTAATTAATGATTTGCTGAGGCCCTGTTTTTTTTTTCTCACAATTTTAAATATCTCTTAAAAATCTAATTTTTCACTTTTTTTCCTTCTTACAATACATTTCAGTCCTCGTGAATTTTGTATTTCTTATACTTTATACATTTCTCTGTAGTATAATACCATCTGTCAGAAACAAAATAATCGTAGTGTTAACAAACTAGATGGCATTGTAAATATAAAAAGACATACGACACTATAATAAATGGAATGGACTAAATTCCAATTTCAAAAAAAGCATATAAAAAATATTTTCATACTTCTACCATGTTAGAGAAACATAGATGGAGGATAGTTACCTGCAGGAGACTGTTGGCTTTCACGAATTATTGTTGAATTTTGGCTTGTCATGCACTATTCTCGCACCATATTATTATATTAAAACTATAAAAATGTCACTTAGGAATGCAGCAGTCGAGATTATAATTGTATATAAATAGTTATTTATACATTTGTAACAATTGCAACAACTATTATATAAACACAAGCATTCTCTAAGACAAAGCTCTACTAAAACACTATATCTCATAATTATGACGCTCATTTTAATGATTAGCTATCGGTAAAGTTTGTAAATATTCGATTGTCGCGTACAGAGGGCGCTAGTGTTGATTTAGTCGTTGTTAATACGTTAGTTATAAAACATATCAAGCGATGAATAAGAAGCGCTGTGCAGTACTCTACTATTTGCTGTTTTGCAATTGCAAATTTGTAATTTTGTGTAAAGTCAAATAAGATAATGGTAAATTGTTAAAAAGTATAATATTAAAATAAAATAGTTATATTTACGTGACATAAACACACACACATCCATACATACACCTAACACACGCAAATTAGGGCCGAATCTAAGGGCCATTTCTCTAAATTTATTCTCTTAACCTAATATTTTAATTTGATAATTTCGCGAAATTACTCTTTTATGGGCTATCATAAACTAAAATTCTAATAATTTAGCTTTGACTCTATTAGAAAAATAAGTTCATATCGGTCTTTGCGATAAAAATTTTGTTGTATGTTCACGTACTGGCCACTAATAATATTGTAAGTACTGGCCGGTAACAATCTGTTTCGATTATTCATTAAAAGAATATACTACAGATTTCGCTGTCATATCAAATATAGGTTTAAAGAAATGGCGTCTCAGAATCGATCCCAGTGTTCCTAATTGTAAAATTTTTCAAAAAAGACAATAAATTAGACGAGGCGCCATCTGCGTCGAGTTTTAACATTCCTATTGTATTACGCTCTCTACTGATGACTGTTAACAAACTTTGAATAAATATGTGAAATATTAGCGTATAAGGCTAAACAAGGTTTTACTATGCACTTACTGTTCTGTTTATAACTTGATATGTTTTATTGGAGTCTATTCTGAAGTTTTATTTTCTAAAGTGATCTCTAAAATTTTTTTTCCATATTTTAGCTAAAGTGTTATGTACAAAGAACTAAATTCAGAATAATTCTAACTCTTAATCTTGTATCATAAATTTATAGTTTTAACTCTTGTCTTTTATATATTTTGTCTATACTGGTCCCAAGTGTGATGATTTCGCTATAATGTGAAATTTAAATTTTAGAGATGAAGTACTATAGCACTTCAGAATTGAAACCATTTGTATAGAAATACAATCGTTATTTATTAAGGTTAAGTATGTAAATATCAAAGAGAATGTAAAACTAAAATGTGTAAAAATAAATAAATAAAAATAAGATGAATTTTTGTATAGAATGTGTAATAATAGTATTATATTTCGTTGTGAATGTATAATATTTTGTTTCCAATTATTTATTTTAGTCACTATATCTATAGGCAATTGCTGTTTCACAGGACACAGGCTACATATTGGGGAAGTATATATTGTCCATTATGTTTAGTTATATAAAAGGTTGAGCGGCCTATTGTTGAGATGTTGTTACATTATATCAAATTTATTTCATTCTACGTCTGTTCACATTCCGTTATCCAAGACTTTCGTCATTAAATTATTTTTAGGACAAAATCATCGGCACATTGGAGTCGATTCTGAAGCATTATTTCACTAAACCTATATTTAAATTTAAAATTTTAATTCTATATTACAGTGAAATTCTAAGGACCAATAAGAACTACATTTCTAATAAATTTATGTCAAAAATATTATAAATTTAGTTTATGATGGCCCATAAAACGGTGATTTCGCGACATTATCAAATTAAAATATTAGGTTAAGAAATAGGTTTAGAAAAATGATGCCTCAGAACTGGCTACATTGTCGTGTGTACTTAATGTTGGTTTGCATACGAGCCTGTCTTGTTGTGTGGGGAACATTAATCTCTTATAATTAATAATATACCCACGACTATAATTCCTAACGAGGTAGTCAGAGGTATTAATTAACTGTTGCCATTGTGGTGAACGTAAACATCGACATCCCCATATTTCGTTGACCATAATAGAATCAAAAAGCTCCAGCTCCAGCTTACTGTCGACATTCGGAATAAGTAATAATTATTAAAAAGAATAATCTATGTCCAACTGCTCAGGCTTAGACATGCGGTAAATGGCAATAACAAATATGGAGATTAAACTTTGGACAGTTTATTTATAATTTGTACCGACTCTAAGCATATGGAATTGGGTTCGAAATTCAACGATAATATTTATAAAGTTGAACAAATCTGTCAAAGAATAAGGGTCGAAAAGCAATATATTTTCTTCCATGTTCGATGAAGAAATATTGCTGTATTTTGCATAGAAAGAGTATAACAGATATTTTTTGTAATATTACATAGTAATGAAAATAGGTAATGCCTCAAATTCACATAAAGACAGGCTCCAATGTATGACCACTGTTTGGAGTTAGACATACACTAATAAAGTATATAAATATTTACCTCAAAATTATAATATATTTATTAATATCTACTTAAATCAAAATTTGTGCTAACATTAATGAACTTGTACATTGAGAATATTAATATTTATTGGATTTTTTCTCATTATATTCTTTGTGTATGGCCAATGTTACGTGCATTGAGTGAGTGTTATTTTTTTTTTTGTATGTCCTTCAATAACTGTTTAGACCAGTTACTGGTACACTTGTCGAGACCTATGTACCCATGTTTCGTACCCCTCTCAAGTTGTTAATGTATGTACCTATGTGACAGTGTTTTATTTTTGTATTTTGATAAAATTTGTGTAAATATTTTTTCTTATTTTATTGATATTAAACTCAATTAATCAATATTGGAATTTATTTTGTTAACCTCTGCGATTTTGGATTATAATTTCACTATGGTGAAGTATTGATATTATAAGTATTGTTTCTGCCAGACTATGATATGTTTCTGCCTACTCTAATGGGAGACAGATATGTATGTATGTATGATGAGTTACACCGCGTACCAGTGTTAATGGATGATAATGGTAACTGTGAGTTATTAATATAAGCTGTGATGGATTAATATAAATAAAATTAGGTTTCAAAGGAAGCAGGTGAAGAAAAATAATAGATGATGAGTACAGAAAATTTATAATACGTTATGTATGTTTAAAAATAGAATGTCAAGAAAAGTTCAAATTATTTGTCATTGACAGAAAAATAATATATTAAAATATAAAGAGGTTTCACAACAGTAACCTTGCTATCGGTATATGCTGGAGGGGTACCAGTGAGGGCTGATAGGAGAGAATGAAAGCAGGTCAATTGGTCCGTTGTGGCGAGTTCAACAATAATTAAGATGGTTCCCACGGGTTTTTAAAAGATAATAATGGTAACCCCGCCTGCGTTAACGATATTCGCTGGCGAAGCACCAGTGAGAGAAGATAGGTAAGAACGAAGTCAGGTCAATTGACCCATCGCGACAATTTTGATAATAATTAATCACGATGGTTTCCGAGGGGAGAAATTGGTTGATAATTATATGGTAACCACGCCTGCGCTATTGGTTTATATTGGCAGGGTATCGGTGAGAGGTGACAGATGAGGATTTTATCCTCATCTGTCATCTCTCACTGATACCCCGTCAGGTCAGGTGCAGGTCAGTTTTTAAAATATTAGTATTGAGGGTTCGAAGGGCGCATATATTATTTATAATCGCAATCAGCACAGAAAATAAAACACCAGCTCTTTGAGCTTTCCAATAACAACTCTATATTTTAAATTATCTACATTCTAATAGTTTACAGATGGCCAGTTCGAAGTTTAACATTCTCCATACGGCAAGAAAAAAAAATTAGCAAAATTAACTTTTAAAGAAATAATAATTCTATTATAATGACCGTGTAAAGTTATTACTCTTAACTCTTTATTCTATATCTAGGCAGTTAACCAATAGTACATTTATTGTGATGTACTCATTAAAGTTTAGACTGCAAGTCCCCCCGCTCCTGCCACTCCTCTGGGTGACGTCCGGGCGGGTGGTCGTGTGAGTCGCATTGTGATATATTATTGTTTATTATTTCCTACACCTACCTACCATACCAGGAGGACAGCACAAAATTGGCGACGAGGTGAAAATTTGTAAGTAAAAAAAAATATATATATGTCATACGACTACAAAATTACCTGTTCTAATCAGTCCAAAGAGTGTGTAACTATCGCGTTGTTATTTTAATGTAACTTGACACGAATAACATTAAACTGTTAAATTTCTAAATTCACAAGGAAGAGAGAAGATAATTTATTAATTCTCAATCAATTTATTAAATATAGAAAAGACTAAAAGCAATTTCAAAAAGAAATAAAGACTTGATTCTATAAATGGTATAGAGAAAGCAAAATATTGATAAAACATATTACGGTGCATAGTACGTTTTGTAATTTAGCGACACACTGTGACTGATTTTAACGCGTTTGCGCATCGTAGTCGTACAATAACTTGCTATACATGCCTAAACAAATGGTCGGCGTTTGTTGATGTCTAGGTATACCGTACCGCAAGCTTTCTGTTTATATTTACATCACAAGTATAAGTGATTATAACAGTTGAATTCTTAAGATAAGTGGTACGGGGATACCAGCGAATACTGACTTTACATACAACAAAATGTACCTGCATGTATTAGCCGAGTCGGAGTAATTATTCTGACAAATAAAATACACCGTACAATCCGAATGAGCAAAGCCCATCAAATACATAATTCAACATAAACTGTAATCTATTTAGATACAAGTTTATGCAATTGGTGGTTCCGATTATAGAGGTTGCTTCCATAATAAATAGATTTGTATGTAGGTATAAACCTAATACAAATGTAATTATCATAAGATAATTATGATATATTCAAACACTTCACATTAACTTCATTATTTGACAGATATTTGGTAAGAGTTGAGGTTACGATTTTGTTTTTCTTACAAGGAACCAGCAGGCTATTAGCGTTGCCGGTAGTTCTCTGCTTAATTCTGAGTTGGTTACCCTTTCGCCGTTGGGGCACATAAATTTACCTACGTATTTATGTTGGTTTATAAGTTCAAAAGGCTGTGTTTGTAACTGAGAATAATCCATTTATCCACCTGTACAACAAGTACAAGTATTCGCATTTACAATATTGTTGCCTACAATTATAATAGCATACATTATTACGGTAGTATGGTATAATCATTTAATAAAAAATAAAATAAAAATAGCCTTTATTCCTGAATTACAGATTCTTTTTTTTAAATTGTAAATATGTGTAAATAATTAATGTTGACATCAGCAACATCTTATTTTTCAGGTTGTTTTAGAACAACCATTTTAGTATAATCATTTATAAACACAAAATTCTCGAAAAAAATATAATAATAATAACTTATAATATTTTATTTAGATTCAATCCTTGACGGGGTAGTCCGACGCATTTGTTGACTACGATATACGGTTAATATATTTATTAATAATAGTAACATAATTGGTTATTTGTCAATTATCATTAGTTGACAGTATTTATATAAATACGTATAAATAATGTACCACCCATAAAATTCCCGTTTTGCAAATTGTCTTATTATGACATCTAAATTGTCAAATCGTAGAAAATGCAGTTCCTCAGAACTTAAGCTAAAAGATAATTCTACTAAAATATAAATAAATATTGTGGAAGCAATTCAATAGAGACTGATGAAAGATCAGTAAAAGGACACCAAAGAAACCAAATCTTGTAAAGAGATTTCAAACGGAAAAAATATACGGTGTATGAAATGCGAGAGTACATATCAAAATAGTTATGATGCACAATGTGTTGCAAGAAATAACTTCTGCTAAAAGTGTGGATTTATAAGCCATTTAGGTCAAAAGCAATATCGCACTAATCGAAATAAGTGCATGAATGTGCTAGCGCTAGTTATATGATGAAATAAATAGTATAAACCAAATAATCCATCAAGTAAAAAATAAATAAAGTTACCAAACAATCATTCAACTCTCCTATAACTACATTCATACTGAATGTTGAACATACTCTATTCCACTATTAAAATATCTTGCCAAAATGGTGGAACCAAATATTAACTATACTCTATTCCACTATAAAATATCTTGCCAAAATAGTGGAACTAAATGTTAACCATACTCTATTCCATTATAAAATATCTTGCCAAAATTGTGGAACTAAATGTTAACCATCCTCTATTCCATTATAAAATATCTTGCCAAAATTGTGGAACTAAGTGTAACTCTATTCTATTATAAAATATCTTGTCAAAATGGTGGAACTAAATGTTAACCATCCTCTATTCCACTATAAAATATATATCTTGCCAAAGTGATGGAGTTACATTAAACATACCCATTGATTTGGGTACTAAACTAGTATACCCATAAATTCGGTTACAAAACTAACATACCCATCAATTCGGGTACAAAACTAACATAATAATTGACATAATATTATATACCCATCAATTCGGGTACAAAACTAACATACCCATCAATTCGGGTACAAAACTAACATACCCATCAATTTGGGTACAAAACTAACATACCCATCAATTCGGGTACAAAAGTAACATACCCATCAATTCGGGTACAAAACTAACATACCCATCAATTCGGGTACAAAACTAACATAGTAATTGACATAATATTATATACCCATCAATTCGGGTACAAAAGTAACAATAATAATAATAGTCGACAAAACCTAGGACTACTTAAAAAAAAAAAAAACTAACCAAGAAAATCTGACAAAATTCTAGGACATATAGTCCTAAAGACTCGCTGATGTACTGGGCCCATTTAAAATGTCAGTATTGGTTGGATCTGGAAGAAGTAGAGAAAAATTGTACTTGCAGCTTATTGTGTACCTAAGAGACTGCTATGATTCTTTATATATTACAATTAAGTTGTATATTTATTTACTAAACACAAAACAATCTAAATGAACATCAGTTAGATATTGATCATAAAATCAAGTATTTAGTAAAATAAAATAGAATAGCTCAAATAAACAGAAAATATAATCGAACTTGTAGACAAAGCTGCGAATTGAGTTTCTCTAGTCATACTTATTTTAAAGAATAGAAAAAAGGAATATAAATCTGTCTGTCAAGGGAAAAGTCCTAAACAAAAAATGTGCATGCTAATCTTGGTAAAAAACATGTTACAATTACTACATAATTAAAATACCTAATATGTATTACTATATAATATGTATGCACACACACAACAAGATAAATTTATTTGTTTATGCAAATAAATTTATCTTTATCTAAACCTGGCTTAAAAGATGCTTTTTATCAAATTGAGATTAGAATGTACTTAACTTTTTTATAACAAGCAAGTGGTTATTTCGTTTCGATTACGATCCTACTACAATAAATAATTAAAACTGTTTATTTAAACAGTATTTAACAAATCTCTGTTTAAAGTGACTAAATATTATATTATTTAGTCTGTCAATGGTACTTGTAATTTAACGTGTCAAAATCTATAAATTATATAAATATAATTTATTACTTTAAGTATCTTTATTTTTAATAACAGAGACTTACCTTAGTTTAAACATAAACAAATATTGGTCACGGTTTTGTAGCAAGACATGAAAACCACCACCAGGTATATTAATAATATACACATGAATGTTTTAAATTTAACAATTGGAAATAATCCCAAATAAAGGAAATGAATAAGACACCTAAACATGTATTGAATATCTTACACAAGATTAACTGTTTGTTTCTTAATATTTTAATTTCGAACAAATGATGTCCTACATCTATTTAAATTCGCGATTCACAACGCGAAAGTTTAAAAATGTGTTTAACGTATTTTAACTTTGTAAGGCAAAATAATATACCTACATATCTGTACACGTAGGTTACAAATAATGTATTAATAAAGGATTTATGTTCATGTTTAATCAATCGTGAGTAGAATTTTTAGGGCATGAGCTAATCTCAGAAAATATTACTTGTAAGTCCCTAAAGACTATAGAATCACTTAGAAAACCAATTTTTTTTGGAAAATTTTAAAGTTATAAAACTAGTAACCTATTTTGAGAAATAAATATGATAATGTGGTATAATAATATTTAGATTTTATGCGTAAATATTTTAGATATATGTATATAACTGTATATTATCAATATCTTAAATTACAAGTTGTACACAGTCACACTTATCTATCTTTATCAATTTATTGGTACACAATAAAAGAAAATGGACTCAAAATTTGGCTACAATGACTGAACAAATACGTAAAATGTTAAGGCGTAAGCTCGCTAAATATACTGTGTTCAGAGTTCTGGAAAGAAAAGCAAACATTTACAGTAATTCGTAATTTCAAAGCAAAAAGAGTTAGTAAATTGTGGATACTAAGTTTTATAAGCCATGCAATTAGTAGTTAGATGCTCCCAGGAAAACTGAACCTTAAAGTCAATCATTACAAACTCTTTAAATACGAATTCTGAGTCCTTTATTAATGATTTTCTATTTTTATTTCATTTGAGATAGCGTAAACGAGCATTTGCTACGACTCATGATAATTATTCTGGCACCCCGACACTGTTGCCATAAACAGTAGATTATGTATCAAGGTACAAAGGATTGATATCAGTTTTGGTACATATAATAGATGTTGTAATCAATGTTCATGAAGAAATAAAATTTTGTCTACATAACATCTGATCTAAAACAATATATTATGTAACATTCCTAAAATTTATCGATGTCTAAATTATATTAAATGTGACGTACTTATGTAAATATTGAGATTATAAATAGTAACGTCTCTAATATTGTCAGTATATGTATTGTAGGAATTATTAATTGGAATTCTGATATACTTAGTATAAGACCATAAATCTTCTTAAAAGTACATAAATAAAAGAAATTTTACAAGACTTGACACTTTATTCAGCACAACATTGGATAACTGCTTAGAATTTGGTATTAAACTATACCATTCGACACCATATTGACCGCAGTAGAACGAAGCAAGTAGAATACAAAAATGTGACATTATAATACGTGTACAAATAAATTAAAACCTAAAATCTGACTGGAGGGATAAACTCCTGCTATACCTCATAAGTTACAATATCATGCCACATTATTGATTTGTCATTAGAGATAAAATCTCTTCTATTGTAAATGCTAAGAATAATGAGATTTATTTAGAATGGCAGAGACAAATCAATAAAAGAGCATTTTAAAATTGGAAGGGAAAGATATAGTGACATAGATATTGAAAATAGGAGAAAGTGTATTCGGAATATAATTAAAGAAAATATATATGCGATACTTCAATCCCTGTATACATATACTTATTGGCGCTATATCTATAAGAAATTATGGCACTAGACAAGAAATGAGATGAAATATACACAATAATATACTTAAGAAGATGGAAGGTCAGTAAGAAATTATAAGGATGATGAAAAGAAAGATCTCGATGGACTTCGAGAGGAAATAGTCATATACTTATTTTTATATAAACCAGTCTTATTATATTTAGTTGCCTAAGTTATATTTTGTAACATAATATATATGGTAATATCATGATATTATTTTAGTTACCTATGACTGTAATGTAAAACTATATTGTTGTAGTTGTAAATTTGTGAGTAATTGTATCCTTTCACATTTTGTTGTAAACTCAACTTTGTTTGAAAAAAGCAACAGCTAAGTTTCTTGCCCGTTCTTCTTAGCTGAAATTGCATTCCGAATGGGCGGTAGATTTATAAAAAAAATGACTATTCAAAAATGCTTAAAAAATAATAATTAAGTTTCCTAGATTAAAAATATTCATATTCTATTATTAATTTAAAATATTTTGAAAAGGGAGAGATGTGATGTACTCATTAAAGTTTAGACTGCAAGTCCCCCCGCTCCTGCCACTCCTCTGGGTGACGTCCGGGCGGGTGGTCGTGTGAGTCGCATTGTGATATATTATTGTTTATTATTTCCTACACCTACCTACCATACCAGGAGGACAGCACATTTATCATTTATAGAAGATAGTGAATAAGTACCTAAACAGTAAATTCCTAAGACAATTTATTTGTCTAAATTATAATTAAATGCAAAAAAAATATAACTAAAAAATATCACAAAAATTACATACCTACATTAACCCTTACTTTTTACAATGCTAGCAGCACATAAATATACTAAACAAACAAATTAATGTTCGACTTAAGTATAATATTGTATTGTAACACATTTATTTTTAATGTACGTAAAATAATATGTAATATATAAATGCCAGCAAACAAAAAATAGTAAAAATTTCATTTTTAAGCTATTCCTCTTTTAAACTTGATAAATCTTTAATTTGCTAGGTATTTTCGAAATTCGGCCACTACGTGTTATACCAGAGGGAGACTTTGTACAAAAGTCGATTGCTTGGGTACCTCTGTCCCATTCGTGTTTCAACCGTGAAGCAGTTGTGTTTGCATAACTGTGTTTCGGTTTGAAGGATGGGATATGGCGTGAATTTACTGGGTACAGAGGAATAACACCTGAGTCCTCAGGAATGGCAACGCATGGGGGGTATCATGGGCGAAACAGTATACTCTATTATGTCCATGGTACTGCTCATGTCTATAGGCGACGGTTACTACTTTCCATCAGGTGGGCCGTCAGCTTGTTTGCCATTCTAAGTAGTATAAAAAAAAAAAAAAAAAAAAAAAAGTTGCTTATCCTATATTCTAATAGTTTACAAATGGCCAGTTTGACGTTTAACAAGTTAGTCCATCCTAACGAATACGACTAGAATTAATCACGATAGTTTCCAGGGGGAACCACGTGGAGGTCGACCTGATAATATATCCTGTTTTACTATAAATAGGGTAGTTAGACTCCATTACAAATAGTCCCTTTCCTCCCAGTACGCGCCTTTGGAATTATTCTTGTAATTTTATAAGAATAAATATTATTTAATAAAGGTCCAAGGTCTAATTGCAGTTTACAAAGGGTACAAGTTTAATGTATTTTCAAATCTTTATTTTTTTTCATACTTTCATATTATCATTTTAATCTCTTTTTACCAAATAGTTTAAACTACAAAATTATTTTCTTAGCGACATTACATGATTGAAAAATAAACAAAATTATCTATCTAAGTTTACTTGCTTTACATTTATTTAAAGAAGGTTAGAAAATATTTGCTTATTAGTCTGAATGTACAAAATAAGCTACCAGTCAATTTGTAAAATTAGATAATTAACTTTTATAATAGGTTGTTGTTTTTATTTATTGAATTTATAGAATGTAATTGTATAAACTAGAATTTTTATTGGATTACAAAATGTCTATAATGACAGCTGTCAAATGTGACAAATGAAATTTTACTTTGCGAGCAACACTGTTATCTTGTGTCTTTTTTGTGTCGACAGGTAAATGAGAATGTGAGTTTTGTGAAATATTACAGAAATATCCAAATAAATCTGTGTTAAAATCTATTGAAAATTTCATATATTTTCATCAGTATAAAGTTTATGAGTCACAGGATCCAAAATTCCCAATATTTTCTACACGGATGAGAATTTAAACTAGAAAATATTTAACAAACTCTGTGGTGTTCGCACAGTTATTCACTGTATTTCTATGAAATTGCATCCGAATACTCTTGATAATATTTAATTCCACATTATTACAATACTGTCACTAGTAAATCTTTTGGAGTACATTTTCATCGCAATTACAAACCAAAATATTATTTTGAAGGTTAGTTTTGTTGTTCTCAGATCCATCAGAGATGGGTAAAATTATGAAACCGGGGAAAGTAGTGCTGGTCCTCAGCGGCCGGTACGCTGGGCGAAAAGCGATCGTAGTCAAAAACTACGACGAGGGCACATCAGACAAGCCATACGGTCACGCTTTCGTCGCCGGCATTGACAGATATCCACGTAAAGTGCACAAGAGGATGGGTAAAAACAAAATCCACAAGCGATCCAAGATAAAGCCTTTCGTGAAGGTGAGTTTGACTACCATACTATTTTAAGTATTTGTTTTATCTTTTTTACCATAAAACCAGAATAAACAAGCACATCATAAACCACATAGGTTTGTCTGGTATCCCATATATTCTGCTTACAACAAAATGTTAAAAAATGTATTGTGGTTATAAAACCGTTGAAACTAAATTGTATTAAATAATTTTATACTTGATTCTTTATATTTAAGGTATTAGCTCTTTATGTTTAACATTTATTGTATTGTATTTCAGACATTTTCTGTCATTAAAGTTTAAGTTTAAAAACATAAAAACAAAATTTATAATTAATATTTTACTAAAAAACTTGTAAAAATGTAAAATGGCCAACATGCTTTAGTCAACTTCTTTTCTCATACCTTGGCAGGAATATAGAATAAGCGATTGAGAAATCAAATTATTTTCACTCTTATAGAGATAATAAAAAATATTTATCTACTGTTTTTATTTATTGCTAACTACTGTTTGTATTTATTGCAAATAGAGAACTTTCTTTTCTTTACACTTTATAGGAATAAATTATTACATTAATTTAAGAAAAAAAACTATAAATGTATAGAACTGTAAAATACATATTATCAACCTATGTAGGTACTTTAAAATGAAGACTACTTTTAATGTAGTTTGAATAGATATGGAGGTCCCCAGTTTGACAGTGTTAGTATGCGAACTTTGTTAGTCTGGAACAATTTTGATGATTTTTTCTACATTAAAATTAATATTTGTTTTTATGGCTTTTACCCTGTTATTTTTAAGAATATATTCATATACTAGACATATTTAGTAATACAAGCATGCATTTTTATTCAATTTTAAAATATACCCCTTTATTTTATATGTTTTATGTAATATACATATTTGTTATTCAAATTATTTATTTACTTTTACCATTATTTTAAACAAATATACATGCCAAGATTGTTTACTAATTGTGCCAAGTATAGAAAAGCAAATTCATTATCATTCATTTCATGATGATGACCTTGACATAGATCACATTGTGGATCGATATTAAAGATAATTTTAATATTAATTAAAATATCTCGTACAGGGTTAAAAGTAGCTTTTGCTCATATTTACATGCACATGTATTTTGAAAGTAAATTCCTACTTCTGTATAGTGTATCAAAACAAACCATACAATGGATTTTAAATTACATCTATTTATTTATTCTTTATTGCCCAATAGAACTTTGTATAAGTGGTGAGCTTAATGACATGTGGTATTCTTTACCAGCTAAGTATTAGGTAAAAACAGAAAGCATACAAGGGCAGATGTGGTGCAAAATAGGTGACATAATGACCTATTGATCTTATTAAGATTAATAATCGTTTAATATACTAATAAAGTCATTAATAACACTGATCTAACTAACTAACTGACACTGGACAATACACTTAATTTTTATATTTAAAAATTGTATTCATTATTTTTAAATTTATTAAAATTTTATGTCACTTCTTATACTCAGTACTATAAAATAGCTAGCAGAAATTCATAGTAACAGTTTAACAAACTATATGAATATAAAAAAATCAGTGGTAATATTTATCATTGCAGCTGGTAAACTACAATCACCTGATGCCCACCCGTTACTCGGTAGACTTCAGCTTTGAGAAATTCAGTGTTAAAGACCTGAGAGACCCGGCCAAGCGCAAGAAGTTGAGGTTCAACACACGAGTCCGCTTTGAAGAGAGATACAAGAGCGGGAAGAACAAGTGGTTCTTCCAAAAGCTTAGGTTCTAAGGTGTACATTTAAAAATAAACATTACTTATGTAATGTACCATTGTTTTATTTTTTGTAATCTCTTTTCTATAGTTATAATGAAACCGATATAATTTCTTGATAGGAAGCACTTATTGAAAGGAGCCCATTCTTTACTATTGTGAATATGTCATGGATTAATATCATTCTCTGAGGCTTCTGTCTATGCATCATCCGTTGTTCATAGCATGCATGACAGTATAGACAACCCGAAGGATAAGCAAGTGGAAGTAACAATGGACTGGTCAAATAGCTCGAAATACTGACAACCGATGGGAAAGACAGATTCTTGAGTTGCGGGCCCGTGCAGGCAAACGCAGTGTAAGATTATCCTCCACTGGATAGAGTGACTATCTCAAATGCATTGTAGGAGTCGGTAGATAATGACCCATATGATTTTGGTCTAGAAAAATAATTGTAAAATGCTAACAAATTTTTGTTCATAACTTCGCGTAAAATAGTACATTACTGCAGCGGCCAGCAACTGAGGCATTGATGGACGAACGTGCAAATATGGGCCGAGGCCTAGCCGAGGCACACACGTGAGTCCATTGTTCGTTATTCGTCACTGAACTTAAAAAGTAAAACTGTGTTTTTAATTTCCGCGCATTGTTTGAGAAAAGGATTTCACTGTTTCGGATAAAAAGTAGTCTGTCTCAGATCCCATATAGTATGTTTATACTAAATTTAAATGATTGGTTCAGCCGTCCAGTCGTTAACAGGTAACAGACAAACTTACATTTATAATGGTAGTGAAGAAACTATCGAAGGAAGAAATAATTACGTTGTACAATAGAAAAAAGATATTTTGATTGTGAAAATAAATTACCAAATTGCATTTTTACCCATTAAATTTATGAAATTGTAAAAATTAAACAAAGAAAGATTATAATATAGCTTTATTTTAAAATAAATTATTTATAAGCAGTCTAACAATCTTGAGAATTAATTATAATAATAATGGTTATATTTCGTCTTATGAGAATTGAGGCATAAAAAATAATAACGGAATAAATTTTCTGGCACTATTTAAACATTTAGACCTGAATATAACTTATTTTTCATGACAGTGCCTATTACAATAATATTAAAATATGTCGTATTGTAACAATGCCATAGTTCTTTTTGAAATATTAAAAATTGTTAATTTCCTATAAACATTTGCTGCATAACAATCTCGTAGCATAGAACAAACCGGGAATAAAAACGAAATTAAAATGTTGTTACATAATTACGTAAAAATTTAATTATATTATTCAACATTTTATATTCATCACTTTCAAAAAGTGATTTTTAAATGAGAAAAAAAATGCAATTGTATATAAGGTCCACTTCATCAAGTCGTGAAGTTCCCTATAAATATATTACAAAATATGCAGCAAAATTCAATGCTATAAAATGTGCGACGCATGCTCCAATTTGGGCTTGTATAAAGAGGGATTAAGTTGCATAAAGGAAAGAGAAGGCAGAGCTATTTTATATCCCGTTTACAGAAGTGGCTAACGAATCCATCAATAGATACGTTTTCGTTAGGGTTCACATGAGAAAGAACAAAACGTCCAGCATCGCTATCTCGTTCCGTCTTATGCATGCAATAGCGATAACGTATTTATAGATGGATTCGTTAGTTACTTGTTTGGGGAGGAGAATACTATACAAACCGCGTTTTTAATAAATACCTACGTACGATTTTTCCCAATCGATTTGTATTTGTTAATATTCTCATGTTTTGCTGACTTGGTGAGGGGTAAATTTCACATTGTGCCACTAAGCCTTTATCATTTACATAACTTAATCCTCTTATCAGAGCATGCAGACTTTAAGTTCTTTGTCGAGGGATAATGGCTACAGCAAGCGACATCTATTGGTGACATCACGCCGCGACGAGTTTGGCGATTCTCTCGTCCAACTTCTTGATCTCCTTCTGTAGACTGTCCACGTTGTGCGCGAACACCTCTTGGACTCCCTGTAGGAGTTCCTTGTTATTTTGAACCCCACTAGCTATTGTGCTTTGCAGTGTTTCTAATTCGGTGAGTGATTTTCCGAAGTTGCTCGCTGAAATAAAAAAATTAGTTTCATAATCAGTGTAGTGGTCTATTGCATTATTAACTTAATAAGCGTGTAGAATAGACATGGGTAATATGGATACCGATCCGATATCTATATATTGGGTTTATCTGGAGATGACGGCGGGATAAAGGTCAACACCTATTTCGATATCGCCTATATCGGTCGGATATCTATTTTCTAATATGTTAAAAGTCTGTAACCCAATATAATTTTGTGGATAACAGACTGAACATATTCGTTATTGGACCAATATATAGACATTGTAACTTAAATACATAGATACTGCTATATATTACCCATCCCTAGTTGTAACTATAAAGCTAATATATACTGACAAATGTGTTTGTCAGTCGCGGCTGAACAGTGTGTACGGTTGTTTGATTGTCATTCTCTCTCCTCAGTCTATATCCAAATTATCAGAGGGCCTACCATTAAATATTTTCCGAAATTTCGGGGACGAACGAAATAGGAATTTGATGTTAAAATTACATGATATGTTAAGCTCTATTTACAGGGTCGATTTAGGTACGAACAAAAACACGAAATTGAGCCTCATGAATTGAGAAATGTTTCAAGGTCACGTCTGGACTTACAATGGTTAGTTTTGTATAGTATAATCTAAATATACTATTCAGATAGTGTCTGACTGTATCTTCTAGCCTTTATAATATGTAGAGCAATCTAATAAGTACATAAAGAGTTATTCTTAAATACTCAAATTCATATAACGAACGCAGACGTTGGATTTATCAGTAGAAGATAAAATTCTGTTGTTTCATTATTGGACATTACAATATTATTCAATGCGATGATTTGGTTCATCCGTCATACTCGTGAACGGGCGATTATTGTAGGAACTAGTCTGCTCTAGTTTCTGCGACTGACCTGCTTTGTCACTAAGCTATATCTAGATTTTTATGAATTTATGTTAATTGGTAGTTTGTATTTAATAATTGGTGGTCGCTATGCTATCATTCCTACCTTGATTATGTAAGGCTTCTAGTGCTTCCATCCGCTCCAAAATCTCAGAATGTGATACACCATCTATCTGCTGCAATAATTTGTACAGTTCGTTGACCTGAAAATGGTATGGTATTTTATTGTCAGAATTCTCATTTTCTTAAAAAGCTCTAAAGATGACGAAATGAATTTGATAGATAAATAGATAGAGAGATAATTTATTTACATTACTTACAGCACACGAATACAATACAATACAAACATTGCTATGAACTGTACTCATATATTATCTTAATATATAAAAATCCCATGTTTATTTATATTAATGTTAATTAACTTTAATTCGTCAAACTTAATGGTAGGACAGTAGTAGATAGATTTAATCTTATAAGATATAATTTAAAAATGCGTTCCACAGAAAAAATATCGATTCTTTTTTTTATTTTTAGATTTAAAGGATATTCTATATTGGATTATAAATAACGGATTTATGAGGTAAAAAACATAAATAAATACAATCGAATTGAGAACTGCCTTCTTTTTGGAAGCGTGACAAGGTATATTGCTAGTAATGGGACTAGAAGTCTGCATTAGTAACAATCCGTTGTCCTCTTGTAATTGGGGGGTGATGATGAAGAAAGGGTAGGTGACCAGAGGGAGACTGTACAAAAGTCGATTGCTTGGGTATCTCTGCCCCATTCATGTTTCTACCATGAAGCAGTTGTGTTTGCATGGCTGTGTTTCGGTTTGAAGGGTGGGATATGGCGTGAATTTACAAGGTACAGAGGAATAATACCCGAGTTCTCAGGAATGGCATCGCATGGAGGGGTATCATGGGCGAAACAGTATACTCTGTTATGTCCATGGCACTGCTCATGTCTATAGGCGACCGTTACCACTTTCCATCAGGTGGGCCGTCAGCTTGTTTGCCGTTCTAAGTTGTATATAAGAAAAAAGGTGGGCACCTTGGCGTCTTGGTCGGGGTCTGCGGGCCGCACGGCCGCCTTGAGCGAGTCGACGGCGGCGAGCAGCGCCGCGACGCGCGCCTCGGCCGCCGCCAGCTCGCCGCCGCGCAGCAGCGCCGCGCGCGCCGCCAGCGTCGCCGCCGCGCCCGTCACCGTCGCCTGCGGACGACCATGCTTAATTATTAACATTCAACAGTGTTTGGAAAACCACTGTTGTTGTTACTGTAATTTAAAAACTAAACTACTGAATCGATTTTAAAGGAATTTCTTTGGGACCAATTCGTACGTATATCTTTTCAGATAAGAAAAACAAAAATTGAGAACCTCCTTCTTTTGACGTCGGTTGTAAAATGTGTGGTACAAAAGCTATGTACCTGTCCCGTGACCGCCTGCAGTTTCCGGAATGCCTCTTCATCTCTCACGCCCGCTGCTTGTTCTAGTTTATGTAACCTAAAACAAAGGTAATCAAAATAAAAAACCATTGTTGAGAAGTAGTGCTCTACTAACTCCATGTAAACTTTTGGAGTTATTATTAATAGGACATTTTAAGTTATAGTAAGTTTTTTTTAATGGATGACAATGAAATGGTGATCCCGCCTGCATTATCAGTATACGCTGACAGGGCATCAGTGAGGAACGATAAGTGAAGATGAAGCAGGTCAATTAGCCCATCGTGACGAATTCAATAAGAATTGTTCACGATGGTTTCCAGGGGTCGTCCTACCTCGGCATATTGCTTAGCAATGGGGCTGTCAAAATTTCAACATTTTTAGTTATAGTCGGTTGTTGAATCATTATGTCCACTGCTGAACATAATATAGTTTTATTGTCACACTTTTAGCATTTCCATTTAAGCTTTTGCACTAATTGGTTGCGCTGTTGTCATCTCACTCATTACAATTGAAAATATAAACATTTGAAAAATATCATAAATCGCCTTGCAAAGGAAAGCCAATGTTTTATTCTATTAGTATATTAGTAGTAGATATAATTATTAAAACTAGATGTAGTATTAACTTAAATTATAGTTTTTTTTATTTAAATAGCTTTTTTTTTAATTTTTTTATTCTACTTACATTATAAAAAGAAAAATCTTTGTAAATAATAGGTAAACACAAAAAATACCTAATCAATTTTAAAAATCATTTCACCTTAGTAAGCTTCTTTAAAAGAAAATACATAGGTTGTATATTAATAAAAAATAACTGTGCAGAATCATTGCTAAAAATTAATTATTAACATATAAAATAATATACTATATTATAATTATTTACTATATTAATTTTTTATAAATTTTGGAGCTAAGGAATTTCTTGCAGAGAACATTAATAATAATACTTTGAAATGTCAGAACTGAAGATTTTAACATATAATAATGTTACCTGTGTTCAAGTTGAGCTATTCTAGTTGTCTGTGCCAGGTTCACTTGAGGTTTCAGTTTCAAATATGCGGTGACTACTTCTCCTTTCTTCTTGCCATTAGCCGCCAAATATTCTCTGAAAGGTTATACTCAGACTGACAAAGAGTAACACAAAAATTGGATGTTATAATACAAACACTCTCATAGTTGTAGCTTGTTGGTCACACCAAGTATCACAAAAAATATGTATTTGGACCTGAACTTGTTACTTGGTATTTTCTTATACAGATTTTAATAACTATAATACATATGGGAAGAAAGAGAATCTCTTACCTTATAAAATTATCGAATTTATAATTACTCATTTTGTCAAAATAAATATTATTTGATCGATTTTTAATTTTGAGAGTTCCAAAGCAAACTTGTCTATAACAAATCAACATAAATATGACATTTGAATACACATACATACATATTTGTCACCTGTCTCCTATTAGGATAGGCAGAAATAATGGAATGCCAAATGCTTTGATTCAAACAAACCTCTTTCGCTTCTTTCGTGAATACACATTCAGTAATAATTAATATTTAATTAAATTCTATAGATGACAATAAAAGGCTATAGATGACAATGACCATTTTCCATGAAGTGAGTCATCATCTTGTCATTACAAATGGCATATAAAAAAGAAAGACTAAAATAATTTCATATATGATTACACATACTTTAATTTCTCTGCTTTGGGATCTATTTGCTCTCCCTCCTCCAGTTTCAGTTCCTCAAGTAATTTCTTAGTTGAGTTGATTTGAGATGCCAGTTTTGTATACTCATCCTAAAAAAATTAATGAGAATTAAAATATGTATATTATATAATTAAATTTAATTACAAATTAAATTTAATTAAATTATATACAAATCAATATACAAATGAAATGTTGGATTCTAAACTAAAAGATAATATAGAAGTATAGAATCTAATTTGTAAATTGAAAGAACTTAAATGTGTACAACTTAGTCTTAAATTTGTACAATTTACTCTTAAATGTATAGACTCTAGTTTTACCTTCTCGCTCTCAGTAGCTTTATTCTGCTGTTCAGCCACTTCCTCTAATAACTCTGAGAACTCACAGCGGAGTCTGTTGTACTTCTCCAAGACTGTTTCAGGTTCTCCCTCAGCTGCCAGTTCCCATTCTCCAGCCCTATAAATGTAAATACCTAAAGGTATAGATCTATCTTCACCTATACATATGACGAGTTATCATATTAGACAAAGCAAGATTTGTACACATAGGACAGGCTGTTGACATTCAGTCTTAGGACTTGGAGTAAAAATAGATATCAAAAAAAAATACAATTGGTAAAAGTTCCATTAATATATTTAATGAATTAATGAAAAAAGTCACTTTTATTGAAATTATTACAAACAGGATAAACCTTTTGAGAAGACATTTTAACACTAAATAGCTATAATATAATAAATAGTAAATGTCTGAAAAGTATATTATATGATATAATATACTATTGATTGTACTACAAAGAAGAAACAGAAATGGGATTGAAGGATAAAACCTCAGAGGAGTAATACAAAGTAGTAGTAGCATAAAACCTTTTTAACTATTTTCGACTTTGTAGTGACTTTTTATAATGATATTACCTATACCCAATCCTCGTTTTCCGACTCAGACGATCCGAGAAATCGACGTTGCCAGTAAGAAATTTCCCTTTGAATTTGTTAAATGAATCTTTCACAGACAAATGAAGTTGTTCAATACATTCATTTTCTTCTTCCTCGGAGGGCTCCGGCTGATCAGCTTCTGGTAATTCACCGGTTTCATACACATCAGGCTGGTCGTATGCCTTAAAATTACCAAAAACTTATAAAACATCCCTGCTCATATAAAATCAATAAATTCACACAATACAAAAAGCAGACACTCACTATACCCGGTAGATTCTCGTATTTAGGATCAGCCATAATTATCGTGTTATTAATCGTTGTTTATTAGAAAATATTAGTGTGTAATTTAAATTATTTTACTCAGACAAAATGACGTCAGATTGAAATAGAAATAGGACAGGAATTTTTCGTTGTGTTGTTGTCAGAAATGTCAATGTGACAAACAACTATCACGTCAAATATTTGTTAACTGTCGCAGATTGAATAGTTTTTGTAGACATAGATGATGGTTAGTTTAATAGGATATATATATATATATATATATATATATATATATATATATATATATATATATATATATATATATATATATATATATATATATATATATATATATATATATATATATATATATATATATATATATATATATATATATATATACAAAACAGCAACTGATATTGTACACAAAACACGAGATACGAATTAGAGAATACTATAGACTACTCAAAGAGATTACCAATGTTACGGATTCTATTAGGTACAAACTAAGAATAAGGAATTGCATAGAAGGAATGATGAAATAAAAACTGTAAATCATATGTTTGCCTCCCTTCTTTTTATGCAGATATAATTAATAAAAAGAGGATGAAAGATATATTATCAGTTGCTATTTTTCTCAATTCATAGCAGGCTAGTGTATAGAAAATATTATACGGCCATATCAAATTCAGGTACAACCTGCTTGCACGTTTTCTCATAAACTGTGTCGAATATATAATCTAGTAATGTAAAATTTTTAATTGATAATATCAATATGAACAAAAATTTTATATACACATCTTACATCTACGTGCTATAAATATGAAAAACAAGTCCTTAAAAAACAGTTTATAGTTTTTATTTTATCATTCTTTCTATGTAATTCCTTGTTCTTAGATAACAAAGATTTTTTGTTCTTAGATTAGGTAAGTAGTTAGTCTCTATAGTATTTGTTTGACATTGACATCTTTCAAATAGAAAATTTGTGCATAACTTCGAAAAAAAATAATACACGTCATTAATTATTTCTGAGTCATTAGATATTTTTGTTCGCTGCAATTTCACAACGATTACGTCAAGAAACATTGGAATATATTGCCGGTGTCGTTCAACCATCACCATAATATAGAAACAAACCGTAAACATGAGTCTACAGTGGACAATCATTGCGACGTTTTTGTACGTGGAGATAGCCATCGTACTCCTATTGACATTGCCGGTAGCTAGTCCTTCTAGATGGCAGAAGTTTTTCAAATCGAAGTTTCTAGCTTATGTAAGTAACCAAGCATCTATATACTTTTTGATACTCGTCGGCGTGTTGGTACTATGCCTTTTGGACGCTATTCGTGAAATACAGAAGTATTCTAATATAGAGCAGACTGATCATCAACATCTGGATGCGGAGATGCAAGGAAATATGCGCTTGTTCCGCGCCCAAAGGAACTTTTACATTTCTGGTTTTGCATTATTCTTGCTTGTCGTGATCCGAAAATTGGTTCAGATGATATCTGAACTGGCGACTCTGCTGGCGCAATGCGAAGCGAACTTCAGACAGGCTCAGAGTGCTACAGCTACAGCTAGAACGCTGCTGGATTCTCAAGGCTCGGGTGATGAGAAAAACAAGAAAGAGGTTGAGGATCTCAAGGGTCAAATTGAATTGTTGGAGAGGGAGCTAGCGAAAGAGAGGAAAGATAAAGAAGCTGTGAAGTCACAGGCAGAGAGTCTCAACAGGGAGTATGATAGACTTGCAGAAGAGCACAGCAAGTTGGAAAAGAAGATAACAGTTGCGAGGCAGGCGAGTGGCGGAGACAGTAAAAAAGATGAGTAATTTTGGCATTTAACATGTTCATATTTAAACATGATGATGTTGATATTGTGGCATCTTATTACATTACATTTTATTATTTTTCTTATTTGTCAATATTTGCCAAATCATTCTCATATGGTTAACTACAGCTTGAATAAAATTATAAGATTGATAATTTGATAGATAGAAAGTTTTCAAGATTTATAAACCAAATTTTAATAATTGCTACTATTGCAGTATTTAGTCATTGTTTTGCATTTCCAAGTTCCATGCTATGATATTTTGTTGTATTTATTCATTTGTCAAGTTAAAAAAAAACTATGAAAATTATCAATAATGACCCTGACAAAGTGCTGTGTTATTAATATGTTATTATACATAATTGAGTTATTCAAAGAAATAACATGTAACCTTAATAGACATTGGATTAAGGTTTAAAATTGATTATTGATGATTCAAGTACAAGTAAGATAAGATGTGATTTGTAGAGGGCAATGTGCATGTGAATCATTCTAGAAAGCAAATAAGATATTCTGTATGTTCATGAACAAGTAAATCTTCACAGTTTCATTAGAATCCATGTCATAATGTTCACAATGTAAGTGATTACACTTTAAAAATTCCAAGTGGTTGAAATTGTCTTAAAATTGTATTTAGTCATTATTATTGAATGTGCTGATATAGTGATAAAGATTAACTTTAATCCTTGTTAAAAACATGATAACATATTTGCACTAATTCTGTCCTAAATTTAATAATGTATACTGTCAAATTTTTTAGATCTGTTGTAATTAATAAATATTAACACTTATAAGCTTATACACAAAGTTACAATTTTATATCTGAATGCTATTTATTGATTTATTCTTAAGGAGATAATTATGTAGAAAACAGCTATATGTATCATTATTGTCAGGCAATATGCCTGTTTTTTACATAACTAGCTCAAATTTTGCAGTTTTTTTTTTATGATATATGAGGTATGAACAAGTTTTAATACATTTTAATGCATGCATTTTATTAAATAATAAAATATCAAAGTACTTTCAGTGTTGGTGATGGTATATTGATCTGTCTAGTAATATATTCATACCAGAATGATTAAAAGTCTGTTTAACACAATGGTATTATGACTCGTGTTATGAAAACATCCAGTTGAATTTACTAGTGTTTTAATACTACACCTAAGCAAGAAAGGTCTAAACACATATAAAGCAAGTTTTTCTTAGTCGGCCAGTACTTTTATCTAAAAAGTAGATCACTAATAAAAAAATACTTTGTTAACAAAAAGAAAAAAAATATCTACAATTTTTTTCTAATTGTTTAATTAAATTAAGACTTTATTTTTTATTTGGGTTAGTTTAGTATAAAATAAATAATGTAAGTATAAAATCATCTAAAGTCAATACTACTAAAGTCAAATATGTGTGTTCGAAATTGGAATCAGGACAAAATCATTAAACAAAAGTTGAAACCTAAATTTGTGATTAACAAAAATGAATCACAAAAATGCTGATTATCATGCAATTATGGTGGCCTCTAAATAAGATTGTATTATTAAACATCAATGTATACAATACATTTGTACAAGTTATATAGACAAAATCATTAATGATTCATGCAAATAAATAGTCAGTTCAATCCATTATGTTTTGTCTGGTCTTAGTATTGTTTTTTTGGTTGATTTGTTATTCTGTGGTAAATCAAAGTTTTCATTCAAGTGTTTCATAGTCTTTTAATTTTCTTTTAAGTAAAATGTATATATTGTAGGTAGATTTTTACTATTATTGTGACTGAGTGGAGTCATCATCTATTTTTATATAAGTATTGGCATGTAAATGATTGTAAAGAAAATATGATAATAGAGATGAAATGTTTGCAGTGGTTTTTATATATGTTTAAGTTACAGTAATATCTAGTAGCGATGAAAATAAAAAAAAGGTTTAGGCATCACTATTGTATGTAATGCAAGTTATAAATAACATTTGCTTTATTATTTTGTCCTATTATGATGCGGCGCGCTAATCTTCGTCTCCGTATTCGAGGCTTTATTTATTTTTTTAGTGTGTGGGTGGGTAGAATAAGATCTCGGTAAATGCTATTGGGATGTTTATTTCTAACTTTGCAAATTTATTTATTCATGGACTGTTTAATAAAGATTGTTTCAATTTCTAATTTTTGTTTTGTTTGTCCCTTATTTGCTTGTTGTGCATTAAGTAAAGTTTTGACAAAGTACCATCGAAAATTTAATTAATTAATTTAATACTTTATTGTACACACTAAATATACATAAAAATATGACAGAGGTAATTAAATGTACAAAGATGAGCTTAACTCTAAAAGAGTTTTTTTCCAGTAGACCCAAAGTGGGAAGGAGCATGAATGTCACCGAGTAGAGCGGTGTACTATATTGTGATAAAATAAAAAAAATTGGTTTTCGCTGACTATGTAAATATTGGTATAGTAAATACTTTTCATCCTCATTTATATACTACTCGATAGCGCAGGCGGGGTTACCATGCCATTTTTATCCATAAAAAAGGCTCTGGCGTGAAGTGTAAATATCAATTCAGTCTGTTCACGTGACGAGTCATCAGAAGGGTAAACATTCTTTACTCATTTATTATCCATTATAAATACATATTGATATCTTGTAGATTAATATATACCTTACAGGGGGGAAAGGGATTGATAGTAATGGAGGCTGAGAATTCCATTGCTAACAATATACCCAACCAGGTCGACCTCCTCGCGGTTCCTCCTGGATACTATCATGGTTAATTCGTGATGAATTCATCATGATGGACTAACTGGCCTGTTTTCATTCTCATTTATCATCCTTCACTGGTGCTCTGCCAGCGTATCCCATTAGCGCAGGCGGGGTTACCATACCATTTTCACCCACCAAAAAAAAAAATACATACCTTACAATCCATACCAATACACTTAGGTACATATTCATGTTAAATTAAGTAGGTAGTTAACATTTTCAGCCAACATCAAAAAGGAGGTACTCATTTCGTTTGTTACCTCATAACTTAGTCAGTTCTAAACAGATTTCAAAAATTCTTTTTTTATTTAGAAGGATATTAATCTGTGAATTGATCCCATAGAAATTTTATCAAAATCGGTTCAGTACTTTCAGATCAAAATAACTGGTTTCGTCATAATTGCAGTTGTTTTTTTTTTGTCGGACATAATTTTTATAGTACTTAGACAAAGTATTTTTTATTTGGTTTCAAGGTTTTAAACTAGCTTGTATTTTTTTCAATGACATACGATGGCTATTTATCTAACAGGTACTATTCTCAATATATGTAAATTTTGAATTTATTTTAATAAATCTTTTTACAATCGACAGCGATCGACTCGTCTATATTGTGTGTCTTCGTTTTAGTCCTATATTAGTTTTATCAATATTAAAGTTTGCTTGTTTTTTCGGTACGTAATTTTACATTATGAGTAAAATGAATTACTTATAAGTTATTGTTAATATTAAACAAGGACAAAAGTTAATACTAAATAAAAAGAAAAATAAACGTAATAATATTAAAATAAGAAGGTACATAACAAAAAAAGGAATTTTGCTTATACATATTTATTTAAATTGTACAAAAAGGTATAATGGAATTGTTAAAATTTTATACTGCATAATTATGTTTATTCGAGTATAACAAAAGCAGCGGCCGCATTGGTATATATTTTAATTTACGTAGATATTTTACGTATGTAGGTAAAATAAAAAAAAAAAAAAAAACTAATCAGTATGTTATGACACTAATCCTTAGTATTTGGTTTCTTTGAATTTTACACATATTTTGGTAAAAATAGGTACCTGGGCTATCTATAGATAGATTTGTACAAGAAAATGTATGCAGTCTATATATTAATTTCTTCGAATGAAACATTACAGTTCATCCCTAACGTAAACCTGGTATTTATCATTCTCTAAGAATCCAATACTGTCCCAGAAGGATCTCTGTCCGAAGTCACTGCTGGACTTCATCTGGAAGGTATTCGGGGAGGATATTTCCAAGTAGTTCAGTTCTGGAGATCCAGGTGTCACTGGTAGCCATGTGGGACCGTTGTTGGTAAGTTTCGGAGTACTGTAAGTTAAACATTGCGTTTAAGTTATAAAAATAGTTATATAATAGATTTATCGCGTCTGTAGTAAAAATATAACAATTGGAAATTCAAATATATTACTTATTAGAAAAAAATTCCATATAATTCGATTTGAAATGACAATTTTTCGAAATAATATATAATCCTACATATATATATATATATATATATATATATATATATATATATATATATATATATATATATATATATATATATATATCTATCTATAACTCACCCAGTAGTAGAATAAGAGTAGACCATGTTGATAAGGGCCTCCCGCATCTTCTTGTCTTCAGTGGAATCAAATGCCAGCTCAGGGTATCCGAAGATATGGAACACATCGTCGGCGTGGCTTACACCTATAAACATAATTATAATATATAATAATATCTAATCTAATAGCTTTTAACTGTCCACTGCTGGATATAAGCCTTCCTGTTGGAGGAGTTTTGCCAATAGTTGCCGTGCTTGGCAGGCGGATTGGTAACCGTAGTTAGGCTTTGGAGATGTTTTAAGAGGAACGCTGCTACCCATCTTCCGCTCTCGCTTAGTCGCCTCTTATGACACCCACGGGATAGGAACGCTTTTTTATGACGGGAACATGCGGCGCTAGTATTTAATGCCCTGAAAAAATTAAAGATTTGACCATCACACAATAAATATTAGAATATTATTTTAATATTTTATTAATATTTTTATAAATTTCATTAATTATTACAATGTTTCCAAAACATTTTTCAAAACGAATCGCAGCCATGTAAGCATTTGGCATCAAAAATATAAGTGGGAGAGAGATACTCGAGCTGACGAATTTTTTAGCCTTTATTTGGTTGGATAAAACGGGTTTACACTTTACCAACATCATAGTTATAGAATACATATATAATAATATTATAAAGAGGAAAGATTTGTTTGTTTGTTTGTAATGAATGAAAATTCTTTCACTTATAGAAAGCTACATTATCAGCGAGTATAGGTTACATATTTTTTTCGAAAATTCTATCTACCCGAGCGAAGTCAGGCTGGATCGCTAGTTTTATTATAAAACATACCGTAATTATTATCATTGCCAGCCATCAGACTGGAGAGACTCGTGGATCCTCGGTGAGAGAACCGGTATACGTAGACCGGCTGTCCAGACCTCTGCGCGTGCAGCTCAGCCAGTCTACCCACTTCCACTACGAAGAGACGGTCTCCTAACGCCTATAAAATACAGAATGTGTTCTGGATGTTGATACTAGATTAGGTACTAAATCTAATGCTAGACTGTTGGGGGGAATGGATTGTTAGTAATGGGTAGGTTAGTCTTGCTATCAATATACCTTATCAGGTCGAACTCTACGCGATTCCCCCTAGAAACCTTCATGACTAATTTAAATTCGTCATAATGCGATGGACTAACTGACCTGCCTTTTCACTTTCACCAATCATCCCTTACTGGTGACCTGCCAGTGTATATCGACAGCGTAGGCAGGGTTACCATTCAATTTCAATTTATTTATTGTATTCTACAATATTATTATGAAAGTTGTTAATAATGGATAAAGTACTAATTTATTCAATTCTAAATAATTCAATTTCATTTCATCAATTTAAATAAATTCGAATTAAATTCCAAATTTAATTATTTTAACGATTTTTTTATTTCCATATGTTTTATTTTATTCTATTATTATCCATACAAAAAAATGCTAGACTGTTGCAATAGTCATAATTAACGAAACAAATAAACTGATACAACCAAACGACAGTCTATTAATGTTCATCGTTTCAGCCACTATCTGTCCAATGCTGGACATAAGCCTCCCCCCATAAACCGTCATAAAGAACGGTCCTGAGCCACCTGCATCCACTGACTCCCAACAATGCATTTCAGGTCGTTACTCCATCTAGTGGGGGTCGTCCTACACTGCGTTTGCCCGTACGCGGTCGCCACTCAAGAACCTTTCTTCCCCATCAGTTGTCGGTTCTTTGAGCTATGTGACCAGCCCATTGGCACTTCAGCTTGCTTATCCTTCGGGCTATGTCGGTTATTTTGGTTCTTTTGCGGATATCTTCGTGTATGTTCATGATCGAAGTCAGTTTTCCTTGCGAAAACAAAACGTAACTCGTTACCTTGACTAACTGTGGGTAGGTCTCCTGTGACACTGGCCTCCCTCCAAGGTAGTGCTGCTTAATCTTGGCGGCTACGCTCGCACGGAGATTCAAAGGCAAGGTGTCATTGTATTCGAAGATATTGCTGGCCAGCTGTTCCCACCGATTCTCCAGTTCCGTAAGAAGGTTAGGGTCCGATTGATAAACTGAGACAGACAGAAATTATTTATACTTAGTGTGGGCGACAAAGGAAACCAGGATTATTTAATGGATGATAATGGAATGGTAACCCCATCTTCGCTATCGGTATACGTTGACGGGGCACTAGTGAGCTATTATGACAACTGACGACAAAAGCAGGTCAGTTGGCCCATCGTGATGAATTACACAAGAATTAAATAGAATGGTTTCTAGGAGGCACCGCGTGGAGGTCGACCTGACCCCATATTGCTAGCAATGGGGTAGTTAGACCCCATTACTAATAAACTCTCTCCCTAATATATGTACATTAATGAAGACTATTGCTAGCAATATACCCTACATTGCTAGCAAGGAAGCTTTTATAACCCTCTTTCCCCTAAACTAACAACAGTTTCCCCTATCAATGGGTCAGTTGGACCCCATTACAAACAAACCTTCCCCCCCACATGAAAACAGCTATCGGGTGAATTGGGAATTAGAATGAATTTAAAAAAAAAGAAAAATAATAAAAGGTAAATTGACAATTGACTCACAGACTGAATATTAAAATTATCTAAATGTATTTCTTACTTTTTTTTATCTAGAGTTTTCTTTGACTGTTAACAATGTAAAGTTCAATTTACCGGGGTCACTTGAGATATCATATCAGAAACTTATTTATGAAACACACATACGAGTATGTGTGTATATATGTGTGTATAATGTTATGACTGAACCAAACTAGACGAAGGGTTAGTTTAGCAGTTGCGTATAATTAGTATTTAGGTATTAAACTTTTTTATGGGATTATTAGTAATGGGGAATACCAGTCCCGTTGCTAGTAATATACTTTATCAGGTCGACCTCCCCGTGGTCCCCCCTAGAAACTGTCGTATTAGCGGCTTAGGAGTCATCAAAGGGACAATTTCAATACAGTGATTAAAAAATAATGATTTAATTTAATTCGTTTACTATCATTATATCACTTGTAACTTATCTACTGCAGAATATCATTCATTCTCTCTCCTACAGCCTACCGTAAGGAAAAGCAATGAGTTTTTAATGCAGCTTACCACAAAGAAAATAAATATATAAAATGAACTGTAATAATACCAGCAGCTGGGTACAGTCCTTCTTCTGAAGTGACGGATGTGATCAGAGGAAGCCGGTGCATGGCGCCAGCCTGCGCCACCTGGTATGGGTACTGCGTCAGGAACGGACCCCGCACTGTAGCTGCCTCAGTGGTCGGTGTGAAGGGCGTGAACATGTGCACTTTCCATTCCTGAAGAAAGTGGTTTTTGGATGATATAAATGGAGAAGTATGCACAAGAAATTGATATATGTATTTCTCTATACATATATATATATATAATATCGCGACCATAGGATTATTCAAGGGAAGAGGGGCCGGGTAGGTGGCCCACCCTAAAATTGTCTGGCATGCACCCTACAGAATGTGAGCGGAGCTTTTAACTATCTATGCTCAAAGTAATGTTTGAGAGTACTTAACATAACTTTTTAAGAGGCCGGTCTCCTTCTGAATTATGATATTAATATACATAAGGTGTTACTAAATTATTTGCATTCCCTGCTACAGGGAATATAGTATTAGCTACTACGCTTGGCAGGCGGATTGGTAGTTTTTTTAATGGGTGATAATGAAATGGTAACCCCACCCGCGCTATGGATATACACCGGCGGGGTACCAGTGAAGGATGATAGGTGAGGATGAAGCAGGTAAGTTAGCCTATCTTGACAAATTCAACAAGAATTGTTCACGATGGTTTCCAGGGGGAACCACGTGGAGGTCGACCTAATAGGGCATATTGCTAGCAATGGGGCTGTCAAACTCCATTGCTAACAATCCCTTCCCCCGACGGACTGGTAGTTAGGTGTGATTGATGTCTTAAGAGGGACAATGCTCATCATCCCTCGTCTTCCCTTAGTCGCCACTTACGACACACATGGGTAAATGTAACATAGGTCTATGTTCAGTAATGGACAATTAACAGCTGATGTGACGATGATGATGATGTAGGTTGTAGGTATTTATAAAAGAAGATGTGCTTAAGTTTGTCCATTGTCAACTTTTTAAGTGTCTATATATACAACTATATATACAAGTTCTACTTAGTTTGGGAGTAGACGTGTGTATTATGATCTTTGGAAACTCAAAATCTATACTTATGATAAATCTGTAGAGAGGTCAATTCTGTACATGAAATATATTTCCAAAATAACTATCAGGGAGTGATTAGTGATCGATGCTAATGCCAAAACTGCAAGCAGTAAAATTTTTGTCTGTCCGTCTGTATGTTCGTTACAGAAACAAAAACTACTGGACGGATTTTAACGAAACTTGGTACAATTATTCTTCATACTCCCGGGCAGGGTATAGTACACTTTTCATTACGCTACGATCAATAGGAGCAGAGCAGTGAAGGGAAATGTTGGGCAAACGGGAGAAGTTACTCCATTTTTAAGCTTCCGTCGCGTGTGCAGCCTTAATGGCCACTTATTAAAATGTAAAAATGTCCATCCGTGCGGAGCCGGGACGGGCCGCTAGTTATAAAATAATAAGTAAGCATTTATTATGTTCTAGATATTTACCATCATCTCGATCTGAGCGTTGACTATAACTTCAGCAGGCCTGTACTTGAGACAGTCGATCAGTTCTCGGTTGTTGGTCGTCGGACAGCCCACGATGGCCGCCAGTGCCTTTGCCTTTTGTAGTGGTTTCACTGCGTGGGTCCAAGAATTGAAAGCGGCGCCACTGAAAGCGATGCCTCTAGTGAATGTACCTGAAACATCGATAGATGTTTAGAAACAAGTCATCATTATCAGCTTTAAGCTGTCCACTGTTAAACATAAGTCTTCCTTTTGGGGGGTTTTGCTAGTAGTGGCCACGCTTGGCAGGCTTTCACCACCGTACAACCCGCCACAAACTAAAGTTTCATCCCAATCATCTGGACGAGTGGCGGTCTTCAACCGTGTGTTTTTTAAGGTACTTTCTTCCACGCACAACCATTCCTTTGGTATCAACTTCCAGCAGCATTATTTCCGAACCGATACGATAACATAAACTTCAAGAAAAGAGTATATTCCTTTTTAAAAGGCCGGCAGCACACCTGCAATGCCGTTGGTGTTGTGGGTGATCATGGGCGGCGGTAGTCACTTACCATCAGGTGAGCCGCATGCTCGTTTGCCCCCTGTGTTGTAAAAAAAAAAAGATTGGCAACCGCAGTTAGGCTTTGGAGATGTTTTAAAAGAGACGTTGCTGCCTATCCTTCGCCCTCTGTTAGTCGCCTCTTACGACATCTACGGGAAAGGAAGGAGTGGCCTATTCTATGCAGGGACCGGCGTAGAAACAAGTGTAAAGTGAAAATATTTGTATTTATGTTAGTGTTTTGCTCTTTTGAGGGTAAAGCGGTAAATTGAGATGTTCCCTTTTTGTGTACTGTGTAAACATATTTTAGTATATGTCGTTAATTTATTTATTTTCATTTTTAAAAATCTTTATTGAAATAGACTTGTTCACAAGTTCTTTTTAAACGTTAACTTTGTATAATTGTACAGCTGGGATGTTGTTATCTGTTGAGAGGAACCCGCAAGAAACTGAACATGTTATTCTTTCAAATTATTATGTAGAAGATAGTTTTACATTTGCATGGTTACTGTGACTACAATAAGAAATAAGTTCTATTAAGTAATTTTTTTTTATACAACTTAGAATGGCAAACAAGCCACCTGACGGAAAGTGGTAACCGTCGCCTATAGACATGAGCAGTACCATGGACATAACAAAGTATACTGTTTCGTCCATGACATCCCCCATGCGTTGCCATTCCTGAGGACTCAGGTGTTATTCCTCTGTACCCTGTAAATTCACGCCTTCAAACCGAAACACAGCTGCTTCACGGTAGAAACACGAATGGGACAGAGGTACCTAAGCAATCGACTTTTGTACAGTCTCCTGATTGCTATTAAATTGAAGTCGATGTTTCACAAAACAAAATATGTTATTTGTTATATGTGTCGTAGAGGTCAAAATACATATTATCTATTTACATATTATGTATATTTATGCTCAATTTTGATTTCTCGATTATAAAAAAAAAAACCAGCTATACCTATCATGTGGTTTTGTTCACTTAAAGATTAAAAATATCAGTCCTGTGTATTAGACATTTTAGGATAATGGTATTTACTGTCTAGCTATCAGATTTCATTTAGCGAAGTAAGTAATATCTAGATATCTTTAGAAACTTTCATATCATGTTAGATAAAGTCCCAGTGAGTAGGGTAAGGTTTTGGTCAGGTATAAAAGGTAGAAGCTATTAATATTATTACTTTTTATATCCAATAAAGTTTATCAAATAGGCACAAGATATTGTTGCCTGAACCACAAGGATGTAATGATATCTCTCTCTATTTTTTTATTTATTATTTCTCATCTTCTATAAATTAATGCTATTAAACGTGAATAATTATAATATTATTCATGCTGATTTATTTATTTTCAAAAATATTACGTTTGATTACGTATAACAATTACCTAAATATTTACCTCTTTATAAATAGCGAATAGTAACAAAATTAGTTGTGTTAATAATGTATTAGTTTATCCATATATATTAATATCCATATATATTATGTGTATATTATATTTATATTGTGTATTGCCTTAATGTGTTACTATAATTGTCACATATTTTTCATCACATCTGCCCTTCATACGCTTTCTGTTTTTACCCAATGGTTAGCTGGTAGAGAATGCCATATGGCATTAAGCTCGCCATTTGTACAAAATTTTATTGTGCAATAAAGAATAAATAATAATAATAATAAAATATGGGACCGACATGGGAATGAATCGTACTCGTAAACGGCGGGATAGCAACCGCAGATAGACTTTTGGTGGTGTTTCAAAAAAGAAACTGCTGCCCTTCGTCCATTAAGTTCGTTTAATCTCTTTTTACGGCACTCACGGGAAAGGAAGGGGTGGCTTATTCTATGCCGGGATCATACGACAAATCGAAAATAGACATAGAACATACATTCGAATTGAGGACATCTTTAAGCATTTTTAAAGGGAAGGGAGTCGTGTCAGCATTGTTTGGTGCCTATTCAAGGATCAGGACCGGAGTTTTCAGCAATGAGAAAAGACATGTTTAATAGTACATAATGCATTTATTTTAGAGATCAGGCCCTCTGTTTGGGAAATTCTAATTCGTATCATATTATTGAAATAAACTTGTTTACAAGTACTTTTAAACCGTAATAATTAATATTTTTTAAAGCTGCAGGGTTTGAAAATTTTTTTAGAAGAGCCCGCAAGAAACTTAACAGTTATTTTTAAATCTCTGTTTATATAACTATATATATATATATATATATATATATATATCTATATATATATATATATATATATATATATATATATGTGTGTGTGTGTGTGTGTGTGTATATACAATGATTAAAAAAACATGGTCATTAAAAAGCCCGAGGATGATCGACTCACACCATGCACGTTAGTCATTCAAGTAATCATTTAGTATACTCTTAACTTTAGAGTATAATAGATTTTGTTAATAAATGTTTTTTAATAACAGTTTTAAATTTATTAAGAGAAATCCAAAATATCCTTCGGTATTTTATTATACATAACATATAATGCATATTCCCATAAAAGACCCTCTTAATAACGACAATGACTTCCTTGTTTTGAAGTCGGCCAACTTAACGCATAATTAACAATTGAAATCAAAACAAAACACAACTAGGATCCATTGTTCTTGTGTATAAGATAAGATGTATTGTTTATCACTAAGGTGTAATTAAATACAGACATCTCATCAGAATACGAAGCTATTGCGTTTGTTTTGTAAGATAATTTGTTATTGTAAGGCGAATGCTCCCGTTTGTTAACTGAGATAATAAGCTGCAGACTGCAGTGTTTTATCTCCTCCATACTTGCGTAAATGAAGTTGCTTTTTCTGATAACAAAGTGAGTCGTTCGCTGTAGTGAAAATAATAGGTACTTTTTAATATATGATGTCTTGAATGACAAACGTGTATGGTGTTAGTCGATCATACATACGGGCTTTTTAACGACCATGGAATTTTAGACATAGCCATTTAAATAAAAATATGTGTACTTATAATATACATATTTTTATTTAGGTTTTCCCAAGAGACAACAGCATGGGGTTCTTCAAAAGGGGGGTAAAGAGGTTTCTTCAGGGTCGGCAACACGCGCGTAATACCTCTGGTATTGCAGGCGTTAAAAGGCTACGGTAACCGCTTACCATCAGGTGGGCCGTATGCTTGTTTGCCACGTCAGTGGTATAAAAAATAATAATATGTTAACGGAGAATTAAAAGAGTAATTGTTGAGTATCTTGCGGGTACTTTTATGACAATAATAGGTAACTCTCCAAGACCTGCAGTAGATTAAAAAAACAAATGACGAATTAAACATGCTTGTAACCAAAGTCTATTTGAAAAAAGATAATTTGAATTTGATGAAAATGGAAAATGGTACTCCCGTTTGCGCTTTCGGTTTATGCTGGTAGGGCACCAGTGAGAGATGATAGGTGAGGATGAAAGCAGAATGACTGGCCCAGTGTGACGAATTCTATAAAAATTTGCAACGATAGTTTTTAGGGAAACCATACGGATGTCGACCTGATAGGGTAATTTGCTAGTCACAGGGATTTTATACCCCCATTACTAACAATCCTTTTTACCTCCATCAATAGGTACTTGCCTTTGATACTTATAGAAAAGGAACAAGATGTAAGTACTACTTTATTAGAAACTAGCGATCCGCCTCAACGTCGCACGGGTAGATAGATAGAAATATAAATTCGTATTTTTATATTACCTTTAATAGGCAATTTTTTAATATCTTGGGTTACAATATTACAGCACTATCATACCTACTTGTACAACAATTAGTCCATTACCTTAAGGTTGTCTTGAAAAGATTGCTCTCAGCAATAAGACCGCCTTACTGTACTTATACAACTGTATCGTTGTGTTTGTAAATTGTCTTGCTTATTTCCTATATTGTATAATGCAAATAAAGTACTCATTCATTCATTCATTCAATATTGTTATTTTCGTAGGTATAACAAATTCTTTTGGAAAATAGCTGTTGTTATTAGTTACTGATTGATAATGTAGCTTTCTATAGGTGAAAGAATTTTTTAAATCAAGTAAATAGTTTTTAAGTTTATTCGTTACAAACAAACAAACAATAAAATATTTCCTCTTCGAAAGAAAGAAATATTTTTATTCAAGTAAACTTAGATTTAAAGATTTTTTCGCCGTCGCCTACAGACATGAGCAGTGCCATGGACATAACAGAGTATACTGTTTAATATACATTACTATTACTGTTTGTTTGTTTTCATAGTGTAATATTTTCTTGCAATTGTTTGTATTTATAATTGGTTTACTATTGTAATCTTATGGAGGAAACAATATAGAGCATCTATCTATCTACGTTAGCACATAGGATACTTCTTGTACGGATTCAAGTGAACAGATCCGCGGGATGTAACTAGTAGAAAATAAATGTAATAAAAACAATAACTAAATAGTCAATCAGAGGGAAAGTGACGTTTTTATAGTCCACAAATATTCGATTTAACGATTCTTGGCTTGTGTTACATTTTGCCAATTTTGTAAACAAGTCTTCGAGACTATATCGTTGACGTTTATCAAGTACCTAGTTATAATTATAGCCTTTGAACCCAGTAATTACGTGGGAGGTTCTAAATTATATCTTAATAATTATAAAGAAGCCTATCCTGCGAAGGCTGTCCTTCGAAGTCAGACTAATAGCTAATAAAAGATTATTAATAATTCTATAGTATAATTTAGTTTCTACATTAAAGTAAAACTATTGTTATAATATGAACATATACAAGTATAAGAATAAAGTTCGGATCTCCTTATTCTACTTTTAGTTTGCTTTTATTACTAGTCATAGATTAAGTATAGGAACACAGGTACAATCCTTAATCTATGATGAATATACATAACTATTACTCTTAGTCTATTACTCTTATTAGTCTTAATCTATGAATTATAAAGTATAATCTTTACTTATATTATAAACGTGGAAGTGAGTTTATAATATAAGTATATATGTATTTATTAATTAATAATGATTGGTTAAGTTGTTTGCGTTATAAGGTATAGCGCAAACAACCAATCACTATGAAATTTGGTATACATTTACTGATGAGATTGAGAAGGTTATAGATAACTTTTTATTCCGGTCAGTAAAAATATCCCAATCACGCGGACGACATCGCAGGTAAAAGCTAATAATTTATAATATAATAAATTATAAAATTTAAAAATTAAACAATTTCGTAAGAAGAACGTAGACAGAATTTAAAAAATTCAGCAACTAAGTGCTTACATGAAAGTACATTTTTTATAATGTAAAGCTGTGTGCACATCAAAGACAGAAGGTACATAGGTAGAGACTGCATATTTTATTATCGTCTCTGATATGGAGAACTCTGTCTCACGATGTGCAAACATTATACTGCGTCTTGATTATTTTTGCTGTCTAGCTAATTATATTTCGTAGCAGTATTTCGGTTTGATAACAATGTCATTGGATTTTAGGAGTCAAGAAATCATGTGGTTATTTCTTGACATACTCTTTTTGATTCCTACGATGTCGTAAAAGGTGAGTAAGGCGACTAAACAACGTATAATATTATGCAAAAGACAAAACTGTAAATAGGAAACTATAGGTGATAAGCCCTTTTTTACGGATAGAGTAATGCCGATATCTTTTTCTGTTACCTTTAGACATTGGAGACAGATAATGGTAGTGTACACTAGCGCCGCCAGCGGAGCATCCGGTCAACGTGACGCTGTCAGGGTTCCCGCCAAACATAATAATGTTGTTTTGGATCCAACGTAGAGCGAATGATTGATCTTTTAACCCCGCATTACCAGGAGCGTGTTCATCGCCAGTGCTGAGGAAACCTAAAAAAATACATAAAAATAAAAATATTCTTATTTAACTAAGTAGGTATGTTAATTTAAAGTATTTTTATAATGAGACCGAGTGTGACGTGCCATTTTGCTAAATTTATCTCTTAATATTTTAATTTGATCATCATATCAGTTTTTAACTGTCCACTGCTGAAGTCTCCTCTTAGGGGGGTTTTACCAGAAGTTGCCATGCTTGGCAAGCGGATTGGCAACCACAGGTAAGCTTTGAAGATGTTTTAAGGGGGACGCTGCTGGCCATTTCTCGTCCTCCCTTAGTCGTTTCTTACGGCATCCACGGGAAAGAAGGGGTAGTCTATTCTGTATCGGGACCATACGGGAATTTATATTTATATTGATAATTTCTTGAAATTACTGTATTATGGACTATCGTAAACTAAAATTATAATAGTTTTGACTTAAATCTATTAGAAAATAGTTTATATAGGTCCTTACAATACAGATTACACAGTGATATCAAATAAAAATTCGAATTTTAGAGAAATGGCGAATCTCAGGGTCGATCCCATTGTCCATTTTTTCTATGGTGGTGTTCGGAATGTTGCTACCTGCCTTAAAAAACGCCACTCGACTGGCTACTACTTATTACTCAATGTATCATGTTCATGTTAGTTGCGTTAGATTTAGTACTGGCCGTTTATAAATGTTTAAAATGTAAATAATAAAAATAAAGATGTTGTCAATTGGAAAGCTTATAAGAGTTATTATTTTATTTTCTGTATTGTTTGTGATTAGAAATAATTTACACCCTATAAACTTTAAGAGAAACGGGTTGACAATAAAAATGCGTGATATTGTAGTTCTCTTTATCTCATCTTCATCAGTCGGAAAACATAAAGACTATCAATCAGTATTGTTAAAACATAAGACAATAGAAAAACTGTATAAAAATATAAAAAACGGATTAGGCCATCAGGCCAGTAATATAAAAGGCGTATTATGATGGCCAGTAATACGCCACAAACTCCTAAATACCAATATTTAAAAGGTTACGTTATCAACGCGTATGATTTTAGCATTAATAGGAGTGGTTACTAAACGACAGGTGAATCTTTATTTTGATTACCAACTACGTTATATAAAAAGTACTTCTAGTCTGTTTCATTAGAACTTAATAAAGATGTACGCAAATGAATAATTGTCTCGAACATCAAACTGTCCTTTGTTGATAATTAACAAACTAATTAGATCGAGACGCACTTCACAGCCGCTCATGACTATAGATCACGAATTGATCCCAAAACTAATCGAGCTTACTCGATCTAATCACACGTAGGTTAAACCGGTAGATATTACATTAAAATTTATTGGATGTTTCGATATGTTACTAATATCATTTAAAGATTTTTTCTGTGATGATTTCAACAAATCTTGGTTACCGACCTTTTTATTTTGTTCCATTATTAAGAAAAAAATAAATTGTAAATATCGACTTACCCAATGGACCTAATCGATAATTCAGTGTAACCACGACCACATCTCGGTCCATAAGGTGCGAGGGGTTGTAAATACCCCCCGCGCCGTACATGAAGGCGCCGCCGTGGATGAATACAACCACGGGCAGATTCATCCCTGGTGTCAGTTTTGGGGTGTACACGTTGAGGAAGAGACAGTTCTCGCTACCTGAAATACAATTTATCCTTCATACTTACTGATATTTTTAACCGAACTTCCAAAAGAAGGTGCTTCTCAATTTGATTGTATTTTTTTATGTTTATCATCTCATATTTCTGTCCGTCCGAGGTATTCCCAAGAGACTACAGCATGAGAATTTTCAAAGAAGTTTCTTCAGGGTCGGCAACGCGTGCGTAATACCCCTAGTATTGCAGGCGTTCATAGGCTACGGTAACCAATTACCAACAGGTGGGTCGTATATTTGTTTGCCACCTCAGTGGTATAAAAAAAAAGTTCTAAACTGATTTGGATTTTTTTTTTAAAAGGATTAACTTAAAGATTAGTCCCAAAGAAACTTTATCACAATCGGTACAGTAATTTAGTTTTTAGATCAAAATAACTGGTTTTGTTACAACTGAAGTTAGTTTTTTTTTGTGGGACACAATAATTAACTATAAATATAAAAGTGAATTTGTTATATCTTGTCATGTAATTCATATAGTATTTGATTTGAGGTTCTGGTTTCTGGTGTCCCTATTGGACATAAACGTTCATAGGCGTTATCTGATAGTTCTCTCTAAGTCAGCGCTGCTCCAAGGATAGCGTTTCTGATGATAATAAAAATGTATATAGTGGCATAAGGCGACTAATCTGTTCTTGACCTTGAGTATAGGTTTTTATAGTATGAGCTTTGGACTTTTATAGTAGGATTTATGACGAACAAAATGTTAAGCTCCATTTACTGGGTCGATTTCGGTACGAACAAAAGCACAAAAAATTAATCTGAAAATTCGGAATTTTACTTCATGGTAGACCCTCTGATCAATTAACCAATGACAACTATGTAGATTTCTTTGGAGAAACTCTTGCTTAAAAGAAATACCAGATTTTTATGGTATCTAACCGGTATTCAAATGAATACTGTAGGTGATAAGTTGAGTATGAGGTGTAGCTTTATGAATCAAAAATATAGTTTCCACATACCCAGGATAGTCTTCATTGAGGGTTCGTATTGCAGGCACGGACTGAGAATTCTGCTTGCATCCCACGTCCCGACCCATGGCTTCAACTGTTGGGGTTCCTGGATAATCATTGACGTAAATGAAATATTATATGTATTACAGAAACAATGTTTTTACTGATATAATTTTGTTACTCTAAGTTTAATTTAGTTGACTGTAAGCATTAGCGATGTCATATGCATTAGTCAAATTTTGTTTTTATTTGTGAATACCTGTAATTGGCTTTTGGTCTTTACTGTTTTTTTTTTATTTTGATATTTTCTAGATGTTGGTTTTTCTTTAATAAAAAAATAAATATAATTTAATAATATTATAAACATGAAAGTTTGTAATGATGCCTAAGATGTTTGTTACTCAATTACGCTTAAACGGCTGGTCAGGTTTGAGTGAAATTTGTAGTTCATTTATGTAAGTGAATCCTTAACAGGATATAATCGGCAACGCATGGGGGGTATCATGGGCGCAACAGTATACTCTGTTATGTCCATGGTACTGCTCATGTCTATAGGCGACGGTTACTACTTTCCATCAGGTGGGCCGTCAGTTTGTTTGCCATTCTAAGTTGTATAAAAAAAAATCTACAGATGTACTAATTTTTTTTACAGATTCAAAATAGTTTTTTGTATACTACTATGATGGCAAACAAACAAACAGCCCGTTTGATGGTAAATCGAATTACCGTAGTCTATGGACATCTGTAACACCAGGGATGTCACGCACGCGTTATTAACCCTTAAGAAACCTTAATAGGCCAATTTTGAAGAACCTAGGTCACTGTAGTCTCTAGGGAAAGCTTCAGTAGGAAGATCATTTTACAATCTGAGCGTTTGCAGGAGAAAGCTTCTCTGAAATTGCAGTGTGCATGACCATTCTGGTTCTAAGGTTTTAAGAGGTATTTTCCGCCGATGGCGAGCGGTGCGATGGTGAAAAAAGGCTGTAGGCTTCATATTGAAGAGTTCTTCAGAACAGTACGTTATACAGTCGGTAGAAAATGCAAAGAGAAGCAAAGTAACGCCTTAAATTAAGGGGTTCGATACCGTATATTTTATATATGTATCTATTAAATCTTTATAAATTTTACATATAATAAAAACGATTCGCTAAATAATAATTACTAAGCCCAATGCTCGAGAATGGCAGGCTCAATTTGGCAATTTTTTTTTCAAATATTCGTTGAAATCCGAGGAAGGACTTTATGAAGAGAAAAATTGCATGGAAAAATTAAAAAGCTTTTTCCTAGTACAAACTGTTCCTAGCTGCGAGCTCAAACATATCAATCAAATATTGACGTGAAGCCTGTCTATACGTTTTGTTTTATAAATTCTGTTACGTTTTCTATGTTCCCTTTATTAGGCATTCTAGAGAGAACACTATACACACATATATATTGAGCGAGCAGTAAATCTCCGAAACCGATCAATGATTTTGTATATGTTTTAATGATTTTGTATATGTTTATTGTTCGTTCTAACTTGAGCGACAGGAAAGTTTTTAATTCTAAATGTTTTTTTTATAGCAGAATGTTAAGCAACTACTTCCGTTATCATTCCTAACTTGCTATTTTCCGCAAGTTCGCCCGCGTGAATTAGTAAAGTATCCTGAGTTCTTAGTATATATATATATATATATATATATATATATATATATATATATATTTGTGTATCGAATGTCTTTTATATCCGTCCAGTAGTTTTTACGTTTAAAGCGTAAATTCGTATTTATTAACAGGATGTTGCGTAGTCGTACACTACATCTACGCTTTCTTTATACGACATCCTAAGATGGGGGGGCGGGGGAAGGGATTGTTAGTAATTCGGAATATCAGTCCCATTGCTAGCAATATACCCTGTCAGGTTGTTCTCCACGTAGTGTCTTCTGGAAACCATCGTGCTTAATTCCAAGTATATCCATCACGATGGGCTAACTGGTCTGCTTTAACATCTTTTACTGGTGGACCGCCAGTGTATTTCATTAGCGCTGGCGTGGTTACCATTCCATTATAGTATCATATATTAAAGACATCCTAAGAAATATCTTAGGATAATAGTAACGTGTCAAATTAATTATCTGAAAAAAAGAAGCAACCGCTTGTGTCTATGGCCTGTGCTATGGCTATGCTAACCTAACCTAACCGCAGTTATTGCGCATTCATTGTACGAGCACAAAGTGAATGCATCCAGCGTCGCTAATTGGTCCACATTGCTGGTTTATAGATAGTTTCATTAAACGCGAATAGATGTTTTGTATTTTGGTGAACTTCTTATCTTTCTGCCTATCTCTCATCATCATCAGCATTACATCTTTGTGTACCTACCCTTTGTTTTTCTTTCTTTTCTCAATGTCCTCTACCCAAAGGTTGTCTGGAAGAGATTGCTTAGCGATAAGGCCGCCTTTTGTATAATTTCTCATTACAGTTAAATGTATTTACTATTTTATAAATGGTGCAATAAAGTGTAAATAAATAAATAAATATCCGCCGTTATCTGTCCACTGTTGAACATAGACCACTACCATAGATTGCCGTTAGGAACGGTATGGAACCTTTTGCCAGTAGTTGCTACCACTGGTAGGCGGGTTGGCAACCGGAGTTAAAACTATCTAGGTATGGGGGAAAAGGGATTGTTAGCAATGGAGTTGGACAGCCCCATTGCTAGCAATATGCCTTATTAGGTCGACCTCCACGTGGTTTCCCCTGGAAACCATCGTGAACAATTCTTGTTGAATTCGTCACGATGGGCTAACTGACCTGCTTCATACTCACCTATCATCCTTCACTGGTGCCCCGCCGGTATATACCGATAGCGCGGGTGGAGTTACCATTCCATTATCATCCATTAAAAAAAAAACTATCTAGGTATAGGTGAAAGAATTTGTAAAATCGATTGTTTATTTTGTGAGTTTACCCATTACTTTGTGAACTTTTTTGTTTCTTTAACTTTTAGACAAAAAACCAGATATTTCTGTTTGTCCAGAAACTGCATCACGGTAGAAACACGAGTAGGACAAAGGTACCCAAATGACTTTTGTACAAAGACTCCCTCTGGTGGTGTTAGTAAATTTGATTTATTACTTTTAAATCTGTATACAGTTTTAGCGGAGGTGGTTAATAGATAAATGACATCGTGTAGGACACTTGAACTGTGTCAGAAGCAACTTTGTAAGTTAACCGGTTAAATGCGAATCGAAATTGCTTATTTATCATGAGTTATTATAAACTAGTTGCCTATCCTGGCTTCTCACGTGTACATGAATTTTCAACCGAAAATTCTCTACTTTTCGTAAAATTTTTTAAATATTGTCTTTTATACAAATCTTATTTTGAAAATTGCAAACACAACGAAAAAGTGATTAACCTAAATGGAGCTGTTTTGAAGCGCTTAGGTACATAAATTCGGTAATTGATTTTTATTTACAGATGTGAAAGTGAGTTTGTTTATTTGTTATCTTATGGGGTCTTAATCTATAATCACCAATTTTGGCATACACATAGGTACTATTCCTTTCCTGTGGGTCTCGTAAGAGGCGACTAAGGGAGGGCGAGGAATGGGTAGCAGCGTCCCTCTTAAAACATCTCTAAAGCCTAACTGCGGCTGCCATGCGTGGAATTACTAGCAAAAACCCTCAAGAAGGAGGCTTATGTTCAGCAGTGGACAGTTAAATGCTGGTACGATGATGATGATGATACTATTTTGTATGGAAACAGATATAGGCTACTACTTTACCTCAGTCCAAGAGTATATCCCGATCACGCGAACCAAGACGCGGGTAAAGGCATGTTTGTAATAAATAGTTAAGTGTCACATAATCATACTAATTGGCCAGTCCTAAATCTAGGAAACACCAAATGTTATGTTCATGTTTTGTTATTCATTTTTAATATGAGACCTAATTAATAATTAATTAATAAATTATTTTTATTACTATTTAATCACCATTCGATATTAATTACAATAACAACATATTGTATATTGCAAAAATAAGTTTATTTTAATATTTGCGATAACAACATATTACTGGCTATTGTGAGGTTACGAGGTTCTTGAGTGGCCATCCTGTACAGGCAGTACAGGATGGCCACTCAAGAACTTTTCTTCCTCATCGGTTGTCGGTGTTTAATATATACCTACTTCAAATTTATCATATACATAAGTAGTTTATTCTTACATATATATATATATATATATACATATCTGTCACGCCTGTCTCTCATTAGGGTAGGCAGAAACAATGGAACGCCAAATGCTTCGATTCAAACAAACCTCTTAGTTTATTTTTGTATAGTTTATATATAATACACCAGATACAATGACAAGTGAAGTTTGAAATTTTGAATAAAAATATTCAAAATTTCAAATCAATACCATTATTAGTTGCTGAAGACATAACGCAGTGATGGACGGACGGACAAATAACTATAAATAACGATCGAACTATAAGGGTTCCTTTGTACCTTTTTGGTATGGAACTCTAAAAATGGTCCCGATAGGTGGCAGTAGGGACAAAACGTCATGTGATGGCTCGAATAATATATAAAAAAATATTTTTTATATAACATTATATATAAAACTATGTCACATGAATTGAAAGTTTACCTCAATTGATAAATAAACAGGAATGTTTGCATTATTAATGTGGGTAGAGGGCACTAGACGGAATTATATGTAATGCCACTGCTAAGAGCTAGTGCTCTCAACTAATTTTAAATCTAGTTTTGCTTTCTTTAGCTGCACTTATTTCTGTTATCTGGCAACGCAATAGAACACACAATTCAATTATTGTATTTAGCAATCATTAAGATATTCGAACTTTGCAGAATTAAAGAAGTATTTCGAAATAAAAAAAAGTAGAAATGCCGTTAAATTATTTTAAATTAAAATTGAAAACATGGTTAATAGAAAATATTTTTTACAATATTAATGAGTTTTTGTAAGCTATAAATGCTGTGACATTGACTTAGTTTGAAATTTAAATTGTATTTTTAATTTTATTTGACATTTCTATCATTTTATTATTTATAATAGCTTTATTGACTGCTTATAATGCATGACCAAAGTGTGCACTTAGTAATAGTGATTTATTGTATAATGTAGTAAATAATTGAAAATTAAATATATAATGTACCTGTATAAAATGGCCAATGGATAAATTCAATAATTAATATTTGCACGCCATTTGATGTGGCGAAACATAATGGACATCTTATAAACTTCACAAATGCAACACCTTTTCAACAAAAGCAAATAAATTTCATTTCATTTCTTTTTTTGTATTAAAAATATGCACTAACTACTAGCTGTATATCGTTGCTTCACTCTCGTAAATCAGTATTATTTATAATGTATGCTAAGTGCTAATTTAGTAAATAAACAAGTATAATTTAAATCCGTTCAGTGGTTTTTGCGTGAAAGAGTGGCAAACATCTATGGTTATCCGTCGTTACAATTTTTTTCATACCACTGAGGTGGCAAACAAGCATACGTCCCACCTGATAGTAAGCATAGTACTAGAAGGCATTATTAATAGGTCAGGTCATTTAATTTAACAAGAATTAGTTAAAATCGTGTCCAGAAGGAAAAGTATGGAGATTGATATGACGGGGTGTATTGCTAGTATACCCTATGGGGCCGCCGGTCCCCGCTACCACAGAAAATCTAATACTTTACTAACAATCTTCTTTCTCGACGGGGGAAGTTGATAGCGTGATGCCGGCTTTGCGAATATGTGCTCGTTTCTTAAAATGAAAAAAAAAAAAATCATGGATTTCTATGCAGGGGACCATTCCACGATAAAAAAAAATGTAAACTTACTCTGAATCTGTATTTGCCGACTGGTGGTCTCGCGTAAGGCACCCCTTCGAAACTAGCATAATGACGTCCATTTGTTGATACTTTCCAGGTTCCTAGTAAATTACCACTCGCCACTTTCACAATAGGGTTGGAACCTTGGCAATGCACCGCGACGGCGAGGTAAAATAACAAAAATAACTTCAAGCCAATCATTTTAAAAATAGACCTGTAAACAACATACAACGTGCGCACACGCCGATCTCCCGCGGCAAACTGTCAACACAGATTAAAACGACACAAGTGGAGACTACCAATCAGAAGCAACAAGTTTATTATCTCATATGGCAATGGTATAGTCTGACAATGTCACTGATAAGTATACTGGAACGGTTTTTTTTTTAATTTAAATTTTGCTTTCAGGGTTTTTTTTTATATAAATTGGTAAAATGAAATAAGGTGGGTATAAGATTTTTTGAATAGCTAACAGGTGATATTTGCTCTTGTGTATTATTATTTATTATTAGCTTCTACTCGCAATTTTGCCCACGTGGCGTGTTTTTTTTTTATTTTTTTTTATTGGGTGATAGTGGAATGGTATCCCCGCCCGCGCTATCGGTATACACTGGCGGGGCGCCAGTGAAGAATGATAGGTGCGGATGAACCAGCGGGTCTACCATGAAATGAAATTTCGAAATTTCGGACTCAAAATGGTATCCCCGCCCACGCTATCGGTATACATTGGCGGGGCGCCAGTGAAGAATGATAGGTGTGGGTGAACCAGTGGGTCTACTATGAAATGAAATTCCGAAATTTCGGACTCAATTTCGTGTTTTTCACCTAAACCTCTCATTTCTAGGAACGAGAGGTTTTGGATAGTTGATGTTGTTGCAATAGGATAATTGTTGTTTGTTGTGAGTTCCAATGTTGTAACTCTGAACCTTGTCATTTTATTGCCATATCGCAATCTTCATACCGAAACACAGATACGGCAGTAAAGTCGTTTATTGGATTTATATGGGGGTTGGGAGAAAATTCTATGTATTGTAAAAAGAAATATCAAAATCGGGTTCGAATTGTCGACGATATACCATAATATACTTATATATCTATACAAAAAAACAATATAAGCAAATCGTGTATTTTTAAATTTTTGTCAATGTACGGAACACATTACACTTGATCCGATTCACGTTTTTTCCTAATATAATATAATATAATATTTCTCGTATATCTTATTTTTTAAATAAGTGTTTTCTTGCATACTTTGTTATCTGTTGTACTTTTTATCGATGGACGGTGGCAAAGGTCATTGCTGGGTTTACGAAATACCTATATAGGGACATATTGATAAACTATTATCGATACATTGACTGTAGCTTGTTTAAATAATTGTTGACATATTTTTTTTATATTACTGAGGTGGAAAACCTGAATAAACCTGTTTACCCCCTATTTGAAGAACCTCTTTGTGTAGTCTCTTGAGAAACATTTGGTAGGGAGCTTATTCCACAACCCAAGTGTTTGTGGGAGAAAACATCTCTGAAACCGCATTGTACTGTAATTGCTCCTCATGTATTCAAACAATAAATACTGGTATATTGGGGGGAAAGGGATTGTTAGTAATGGAGACTGAGAATCCCATTGCTAGCAATATACCTAACCAGGTCGACCTCCTCGCGGTTTCCCCTGGAAACTATCATGGTTGATTCCTGATGAATTCATCATGATGGGCTAACTGTCCTGTTTTCATTGTCATCTAGGGTATCACCCTTCACTGGTGCTCCGCCAGCGTATCCCGTTAGCGCAGGCGGAGTTACCATACCATTTTCACCCATCAAAAAAAAATACTGGTAATTTGTTGCACTTATTCGATGTTCCATTACGAAGAACAGAGTTCGCTAAGCAGGCTCCCCTATCTCTTGCATTGAAACTATTCAATGATATTTTGAGCCAGTATCCGCAATTGGATGTATTTGCCTCCAACTTGCTGGAGTTTCGTCGAGTGACCACAGAGTATTTGTGTTCAGACGTTTTTTGTTTCAGTTAAATCTTTTTATATTATTTTTTGTTTAATATTTTTATGTAATATTCTTTTTTATATGTTATTGTACTCATGCTTTCCTGGGTGAGCGTATTGGAAGACTGTAAGGCTCACCCAGTGGATGTAATAAATAAATAAATTTGGCTCCTTAAGAAATGAGATAAAATAGTAATGGCATATAATTGATACAGAGGTAAGTACGTATAGAACAAATACATAATAACACAATTTTATAAATCTTATGTTGTTTTATGTATTATCTATTTTTATGAACATGTTGTGTGTGATTAGTAACAAACAAATAAACGATATATCTATCTATCTAAATATAAGTGACTCCCAGAATGTACGGGAGACACAGATAAAACAGTGTTTATCATAGATTAATTGTTTATAAAGTTATTTACATATTATATACTTTATTGTACACACTAATAATACCAGAGGGAGACTTTGTATAAAAGTCGATTGCTTGGATACCTCTGTCTCATTCGTGTTTCAACCGTGAAGCAGTTGTGTTTGCATGGCTGTGTTTCGGTTTGAAGGGTGGTATATGGCGTGAAATTACTGGGTACAGAGGAATAACACCTGAGTCCTCAGGAATGGCTACGCAAGGGAGGTATCATGGGCGAAACAGTATACTCTGTTATATCCATGGTACTGCTCATGTCTATAGGCGACGGTTACCACTTTTCATCAGGTGGACCGTCAGCTTGTTTGCCATTCTAAGTTGTATAAAAAAAAAAACATTGGATTTACTGTAAACACTGTTATATTGTAGATTCTAGAAATTTATTCTCTCGTAAAAATTGTGTAATTCGTGTAGACAATAAGCATTTATTGTACAAATAATGAATAGTTTAAATAAAACATTTAACAAAGGCAGCCTATGTCTGGCTAGGGCCCAGAGCGTCCTTTGTGTCCGAATCTAACGGGACTTTATTGTAGATACATACGCAAGGATGTTTCTCATGATTGTAAACAATGACAGACCATCATTTTCTTTGTTGACCTTGCATAATTATTATTGCGCTGACAATTAGTTTCTTACAGCGTTGCCAGATTGGGTTTACAATTTTGGATAACAATATTTCTATTCGCAAAAATTTGAAGTAATAAAATTCTTGGAGAAAAGTGAAATGGGCTTGGGGACGTTTGCGCAATTTTTTTCTGGAAATTTTAAGTACTATTAGTTAGGTTAGGTAAATACTTGTAGTTAGGTAAAGTACAGGGAATTACAGTAAAATATATGACTAAAGGTACATAACGAGAAGAGAAGGACAAGGAAAAGTAGAAACAGAAGAAATAGTTTCAGATATGGTATATATGTTATATGGTATATGGATATGCAATAAATAGATATATGGTGACAGGCTTTAACGTAGTCCAAGCAAAATTTAAGTAGGATCCACCAAAAACAAGCTAAAATTACTCTTTTATAATGTTTTATATGTTTGTCAACGTCTTGACATAATCGTATCAGTCGTTTTATATATCCTGGTGGGGTTGTCCCCGCCATTTTAAATATATATATATATATATATATATATATATATATATATATATATATATATATATATATATATATATATAAATATATATTTGTATACATGAGCTGTACAAGGTGTAAAGTTACAAGTTAAAATGATAGACAATTTAATTTTATCAATTTTTGTATTTTATTATAGAATACAAAGTAAAATATTGCGTCAATTTTAAATTATTATTTATTATATTGTTCGTTTTCAACAAAGCCAAGACTATCCCAGAATGATTTGTGTCCAAAGTCAGAGCTGTTCTTCGTCTCGATATCCTGAGGCGATGATATCTCCAAATAGTTGAGCTCGGTAGACCCGACGTCTACTGGGAGCCATTTTCCTTCATCAGTCAAGTTCGGAACTCTGAGGTATAATTAAAAATTATAGCCATATTAATAAAAAAAAAAATAGTTTGAAAATTACCTTCCGACAATTCGGTCCAATGAGATTCGAACCCTATTCTGCTCAGTATGTTCCCAGTATCAAAAGGAAAGGAATATCAACAATGGGCAAATTTTCAAAAAGTTATTTTTTATGTATTTGTCCCACATAAAAATGATTTTCATGCAGCCTCTTCAAATGGCGAAACTAACACAATATTCCCTTTTCAAAATGAAATGGTAACCCCAGTGAGGGAGATAGGTAGTGAGCCAGCGAGGTAAGATAGACGAGGATCAAAGCATGCCAGTTAGTCCATAGTGATGTGGCACATTAATTAATGGAGATGGTTTCCAGGGAAACCGTGTGGAGGTAGACCTGATATCGATATTATTAGCAATGACACCAGTGAGGTAATGAAACCTCACCTATCACGCCTGACTAGTGCCCTACTAGCGTATATCGATAGCGCAGGCAGGGTTACCATTCTCACACATAAAATAATCGGGTAGTCAATGGCATATGGCGACTGTTACCATTGTGATGAACATAACATTTCATATACTCACATATCACTTTTTTTTATCATGGAGAAATGCATCATGCAGATCCAAACGCCCTGGGGGAGGCGTATGAGTACTGCCGGACTCCTATCGGCTAAAACCACACGGCATCCCTCGCCGCGCCATAAAATTGGGGACCCGGGTTCCCTTTTGTAGTCCACCGAGCCCCAACGTTGGCCCGTACCGGCATATTCACATATCACTAGGCGAACCATGGTTAAGTCCTTAAATTTGAGTTTAATGAACTTACCCTGTACTGGCGAAGCTGTAGAGCACGTCAATCATTATGTCGCTCATTTGGTGATCAGCAGAGGTCGTCCCCACCATCGTATCCACGTAGAATATGTGGAACAAGTCGTCGGCGTGGGATACCCCTGAAAAAAGGACTCTAATAACTTCGGACTTTTTTATCCTTACTTTTATTACTCCTGATTATAAATTATGCTATGGCCGTATGGTCCCGGCATAGAATAGGCCACCCCTTCCAGTCCCGTGGGTGTCGTAAGAACCAACTAAGGGAGGATGAAGGATGGGCAGCAGCGTCCCTCTTAAAACATCTCTAAAGCCTAACTGCGGTTGCCAATCTGCCTGCCATGCGTGGCAACTACTAATAAAACCCCCCAAGGGGAATGCTTATGTTCAGCAGTGGACAGTTAAAGGCTGATATGATAATGATATAAATTATTAAGTAGAAGTTTTATAATGACAATCTTTTGTTTGTAACTTGAACTACCTAATAAGCTAGAAGCCCAACATATTGGAAGTGGCAACCATCCCCTATAGATATGCACTTACAGCACCATGAATATTAGAGAATATTCTATGACGTTTATATGTATAATAAGTGGCTATTATCGCCTATAGATAGATAGGTATATAATTTATTTGCGTTACTTACAGCACACAAATAATAACAGTCATAGATAGACATACATAATAAAAAGAGATAAAAGAATACATATACAAAAAAAGCGTAAAACATAAAAGAAGTAACATTTTTTTTCCATTCATGCGTGTGTCATAGTATCACAAAATGGTCACAATTCAGTTTTTTTTTTCTCTAAAAAGAGCAGAAACATTGATATTTTGTTATGGGCAAAAACCAGCCGCGAAATTTCTTAATAAAAGAAATATATATGTACATATATATATATATATATATATATATATACACTATTTAGCACCACAGCATTATAAATATGGGTACTCTTATGCGTTGCTGAGTATCTTAAGATCTTACGCCTTTGTACCCTGTATTTTTTCATTTCACTACCATAATTCATACTTTAAATCAAAACTGAAACCTTACAAAGCTATTTCAAGGCACAAAGCTAACTATTCAAAGAAACGACATTTGTTCAGTTTTCCTCTGGTAAAAAATTCCTTCTCGGAGTGACTTTCGTGTCATTATCAAATTGTAATTTATAGAAAATTTACTAACGTTTAATGAAATGGTTATCATGCATGTGTTATTGCTTATCACTGGCGGGGTACCAGTGAAGAATGAATACTTTATTTGCATTATACAATATAGGTAATAAGCAAGGCAATTTACAAACACAACGATACAATTGTATAAGTACAGTAGGTGAGGATGGAAGCAGTCAGTTAGTTTACCATGACGAATTTAGCTTGAAATGGTACCAAGATGGTTTCCGGAAGTGCGCGGATGTCAACTTGATAAAGTATATTGTTAGCAATGAGCAACGGTTATAGTGTTACCGTAGTTATTGTAGTCGTGTGTCAGGAAGGTGGTGAAGCTCTTCTCCCCCCGGAAGCTGTACCGGTACACGTAAACGGGCTGCCGCGAAGATTCCGCGTACGTTTGGGCCAGTCTGTTCACGTCTACTACGAATAGACGGTCACTTAGGGCCTGTAAGTTATAATTATAATTTAAAAAAAAATGATGAAAACAGATGGGTAACCCCGCGTGTGGTATTGGTATATGCAGGCGGGGTCTAATGAATGATGACAGGTGAGGATAAAGTCAAATAAATTGGTCTATTGTGTCGAATTCATCAGGAATTAATCATCATGGTTTCCAGTGGCGATCACGTAGATGACTTGAGAGGGTAGATTGCCATCAATGATGTCACTAGTCCTTGACATGAATAATCCTCTCCCACCAATGAAAGTGAGTTTGTATGTTACTTTTTAGAGTTTTAATAGATAAAAAAAAATATTATAAAATTTACTTAAAATGGTAAAAGACAATTAAGTTACATGGTCACGTGGACGAAGTCACGGGCGAAAACTAGTAATACCTGTTTGGAACTATATTATCTAAGAGGAGGACATTCTCAGGTAATAATTTGTACATTAACGTAATTTTAACTTACTAACTGATCAGAGATTGTGCAAAAGTCGTATTATGTATAAGACATTTGTATTTATTGTTTCAGTTATCTCATTATTGCACTTGTAAATTACATTGTTAATGCATTTATAAATATTGTGAGCAAGGGTGAACTTATCTCTGACAGAGATCTCTTCCAGTCAACCCGATGCAATTAGAAAACATGTTGTTAGCGGGCAGCTGAAGTGCTACAACTGTTAATATTTAGAGCACATAAACAAATATAATATAAAAGTTGAATAAAATATTAAGATACATAATAAAATATTACATAAATACATATACTATAAATAAATATAATACCCACTTACTTATACAATAGATTTTTATTATATACATACTTATACAATATTTAATGTCAAAATCAAAAATCCGATCGAAGTTAATATAGATATCCGACCGGTATGGGCGATATCAGAATGGATGGTGACCTTTTTTCTGACATCAGTGTTCAATAAAACCCAATATATATATATATATATATATTTATATTTATTAAATCAGTACCGATGTTACCTATGCCTATTCAATAATGACAACATATAAGGATATCACCAATGTTCATGGTACTGTTCATGTTTATGCGCATGCAACGGTGTTTTTCAGGTTCTTTTTTAATGGGTGAAGAATAAACGGTAACTCCGTCTACGCTATCGGTATACGCTGGTGGGACACCAGTGAGGAGATGAAAACAGGTCAATTGACTTGAATTTTTTTTTTACAACTTAGAATGGCAAACAAGCTGACGGTCCACCTGATGAAAAGTGGTAACCGTCGTCTATAGACATGAGCAGTACCATGGACATAACAGAGTATACTGTTTCGCCCATGATACACCCCATGCGTTGCCATTCCTGAGGACTCAGATGTTATTCCTCTGTACCCTGTAAATTCACGCCATATCCCACCCTTCAAACCGAAACACAGCCATGCAAACACAACTGCTTCATCAACAATTAACTAAATAGTTTCCAGGGGGAGCAGCGTGGAGATCGACCTATTAGAATATATTGCTAGCAATGGGGCTATTAGACTCCATTATTAACAATTACTTTCCCTTTATTAATCAGGTTGGTGGCTAGCTTACTTGTTAGAATTTTTATCGAAATGTTTTTTTATGTGGATCGCACGATTATTACCTGAACAAGTTGAGGATAGGTTTCCTGGTTAATTGGTTTACCGTCGAAATAGTATTTCTTTATCTTAGACGCGACGTTTTTGTGCTGATCTTCGGACAGTGTGTCATTGTATTGGAAGATGGTGGCGGCGAGATCTTCCCATTGATCTTCTAACTCAGGTAAAACATTCGGTTTTACATAAGCTGGAGAAATATTAATAATTATTATTACTGTGGTAATGTTTGACGTAATAGCTTCTTGTTTGATAATTAATTCGTCCAATATTTTTTAATCGTTCTTAACTTAATAGTTGCTTTTATTTTTCTATCCCCTTTTTGAGATACGAATTATTATGATCAATTTTAATTTGCAATTGTCATTGGTGATCATAGATATTTATTTCTTCTTTTCCAGTCAAATATTTAACTCAATAAATAGATAATAATATAAATTAATAATTAATAGGGGGTGAATAATATTCTCAAAGGATTTTTTTATCTTTAAATAAAATAATTTTTTAATTTCTTAATTACTTGTTCTTAAAGAATATATTAAATTAATGAAAACAGGATAATTTAGATATCGTGCATTGTTAAAAATGTTATAAACAATGTATTTTTTAACTGCGATTTAAATTATATATTGAGTACATATAAAATAGCATACAGTAATTAGGTATGATATACATTTATTTTATATATATATATATATAAAATTGTATATGAAAAATATAGTCAATTCTTAAATGATATGGCATTTCATTACAAGGGCAAAATGTATATGTCGGTCATCAATTGGACGCTGTTGAACACAGAGCTCGCAATAAGGACTGGTCCTGAGTTACCTGATACCCTCCAAAACATTTGAGGAAATCGCTTCACTGTGCATTTTATACTTCAGTTGTCAGTGGTTGAGGAAAAAGTATAACACACACTTACACACACACCTGAGACCTTTCAACTAACATTTACTTATTTATTTATTAATACATGTATGTGTACAAGGCGGACATAATGCTATAAAATATTCGGAGAGAGAATGCTTCAACTTATGGGAAGTGTCAAAATACACGAAAGCGGTACTAGTAATAATGGATATATATACATACTAAAATTTACATATATAAACAAGTAAATATATAAAATAACAAATATATACATTCTTACTTCATCTTTTAATTAGTAATTATAGGTAAATTAATTACCTGCAGCAGGGTACAATCCTTCTTCAGAAGTGACAGAAGCAATGAGAGGCACTTTTGTAATATCACCAGATCGTGTAGCCTCGTACGGGTGTTGGGTCAGGAAAGGGTTCTTAGAACCTTGAGGCTCTATCGTTGGAATAAATTCAGTAAACATTTGATCCTTCCAACCCTGCAAAATTGGAGGGAAACAAGCTAAATTAAAATCATTTTTATAAATATATATATATTAAAATGTATACAAGAGATGTTAAAGAAAAAAAAATGAATTTAACAGCAATAAATGCCAAAATAATATTTTTAGTATTTTTGTCTGTATGTACATTTGTATATTTAGAATTATTTCCCTTGAGCTGACTGCTTAAAAAAGGCGCACGTGTTAGACATGTTTTTTTTGCGAAATTTTCCTTTCATCCGGTGCCCACCCCAGGGCACCGGCAAATTTCGGGGTGAGCTCCCCGGCTTCCCCATATTTACGCCTATGTGTGTCTATCTGTTTATATGTTACTTCCGACTTTATGTTCCAAAACTAGTTTCCACTGTTGTGTTTCTGAAGGACGACCTTAAAATTTGGTGTGTGTGTCATTATCTACTTCCAAACTCCACGCATACGAAACTGTGGGCAAAACATAGTAATTGACTTAAATGAAAAAAAAGACAAGATTATAACCCGTGATGGGATAGTTGGTGGTATTTGTCGACCCTCATTTTGAAGCTTTTTGTAACCAAATTGTACATATTTAATTAAAGAGCGACAAAATTTGATAATTTTTTTTTATATACAACTTAGAATGGCAAACAAGCTGACGGCCCACCTGATGGAAAGTGGTAACCGTCGCCTATAGACATGAGCAGTACCATGGACATAACAGAGTATACTGTTTCGCCCATGATACCCCCCATGCGTTGCCATTCCTGAGGACTCAGGTGTTATTCCTCTGTACCATGTAAATTCACGTCATATCCCACCCTTCAAACCGAAACACAGCCATGCAAACACAACTGCTTTACGGTAGAAACACGAAAGGGACAGAGGTACCCAAGCAAACGACTTTTGTACAAAGTCTCCCTCTGGATGTATACAAATTTTCTTTTTAACAAAAAAGAAACTATAAATATAAATAATTTTAAACAATTTAAACTTTTAAACAATGTTTCTTATTTCTTTATTTTTGTTTACAAAGTTTTTTTTTTCATCTGTAATCCCCATAAAAATTATTCATTAGAGTTAAATGAGCGCTTTCGAGAATAATCGAGAAGTGGGAGAGAATATATATACATATGGTATATAGTATTTATCCGCGACTTCGTTCGCGTGACGTGGACAGTTCATTGACCGGGATAAATTGTAACCTATGTTATTCTCCATCCATATATAGTATACAAACTTTCATGACGATTGGTTGAGTCTTTAAGTGCCATGAGATAACAATCAAAAAACACGAAGAAGCCTGAAGGAGATCGCTTTTAACGATAAAGTCGCCTATTGTTTTCACAATGTGATAATTTCTTGGAATTGTTTGTATCTAATAATACGTTTACTATTGTAAACTTTTGGAGGTAACAGTAAAGAGTCTCTATATATTTGTCTCGGCTTTGCCATAGTGGATTAGTAAATAAAGTATCATACATGCTGAGTTAGGATGTCACCTACTTGTGTACCAAATTTCATTAAAATCCGTTCAGTACCATAGTTTTTGCATGAAAGAGTAACAAACAATCATTCATTCTTAAAAATTTTCACATTTATAATATTAATAGAATTAGTAAGTATAGTAAGAATTTTAATAATAATAATAAAATCTTTATTGCGCATAAAAGAGATTTAAACAAGGAGTCTTTATACAGAATGTGCATATACAAAAGGCGGCCTAATCGCTAAAAGCAATCTCTTACAGACAACCTGGTATAAATAGTAAATAAGTACAGAGAGAAAGGTAGATGACGCAAGTCAGACAGTAAATAAAAAAAAAGTATCCAAATAAATGGCATATTATTCTAAATATCATTTATATAAAAATAAGATTTTATTAATTAATTATTAATTAATATAAATGTAATGTAGATTGTTTGTGGGAAATGTAATGTATAGATATTTTACCGTAAAATGGACTTGAGCTCCAACAATGTCTTCACCAGGTTTATCTGTTAAGCAGTCAATCATATCCTGGCTGCTATTGGTTGGGCAGCCCACCAAAGTGGCCAGGGCTTTCGCCTTCTCAACCGGTTTCTCTGCAAATGCCCAGGGAGCGAACGCTGACCCGCTGTAAGCTATAGCTCTGGCGAAGGTACCTAGAAGTACACATTTACGCTTTCATCACAAAAAATAATTAAAATACTGTTTATTTAAACAGTGTTTAACAAAAATCTGTCTACGTGATTAAATATTGCTGAGTCAACGTAATAATAATAATAACATCTCAGACGGTTAAGTTTCCGAGGCGGCTCACTCTCGAGAAGAATGCAAAAAGCGGTGCTCTTAGATACTGCCCGCATAGTACGCCGGTTTCTTTCCCTGGGGCCTTAAACCTCGGCCGACTGTACTTCTGCTGGGGGTTAGTTTGCCATCTTCTCTCTCTTTAAAAAGGTAGGTGTGAATTTTGTTGAAAATGTAAAGAATAATAATAATTTTTATTTCAGACTTATATCCATATTACGTGTACAAAAATCTTATAAAAATGTTAGTACAATCTAAAGAAAATTAAAACAAATTTTAGATGTTTAAGACTGTCCGCCTTTCCGGCATGTCTACTTTTCTGTACAGAGACGTATCCAGCGTCAAAGAAACGGAAAGTTCTATTGGTAGGTCAATACCCTAAGAATGCTGTTGGAGCTGGCACGGAGGCGACTAAGCAGTGAGGCAGTTCGTTTACGTATGATGGCATGAAAGTCATCAGCGTTCGCCTCAGCGAACATGCTAGAGGCGCTGCAAAACCGCGGCAACTCCATCAGCACCCGGAACGTGTTGTTATACTGTACGTATGCTCGCTGCCTATAGTTTACCCACAGACTGAAATGACTGGAAATATACTTCAAAAAGCATGTCTTTAACCGGTTTTGTACAACATCCAAACCTACGAGCCAGGAGGGAAAGGGATTGTTAGTAATGGAGACTGAGAATCCCATTGCTAGCAATATACCCAACCAGGTCGACCTTCTCGCGGTTCTCCCTGGAAACTATCATGATTAATTCCTGATGAATCCATCATGATGGGCTAACTGGCCTGTTTTCATTCTCATCTATCACCCTTCACTGGGGCTCCGCCAGCGTATCCCGTTAGCGCAGGCGGGGTTACCATACCATTTTCAGCCATCAAAAAGAAACCTGCGAGCTAACATGTTACATCGTACAGCCAGAGGCTACGCCCTCTATCCATGTTCATTTTATTGCACAAAATTCCGTGATCCAGTGACCCAGATATTTAAAATGCGAGACCTTATTTAGAAGAGTACCAGAAACAGTAACAATAGGATTCAATCTAGTATTTTTTATTAATTGTCTGAAATATCATAAACTCATTCTTTTTCGCAATAATGTTTATGTATAATTTTTAAGTGTCAAAATCTATAGATTATTATAATAAAATTAAATATAATAAATACTTTACATTTTTAATAACATGGACATTTTTTTGCTTAGACACAAACAGATTTAGGATAGGCTTTTGTAACCATATATTCTAAATATATATTGAATATCTACCCTTATAAATGTTTAACTTTTTTGTAGTAAAACGGTTAATGTTTTATTGGTAAAACTTTAATGAACACGTTTTAAATGTAAAATAACAAGATATATTTACGTATTTTTATTGATAAATAGCGTCATGTCCATTTCATCATCATTGAGTGGTGATGATGAAATGGGCATCATCTAGAACGACCCTTACTAAATGGAGTATCTAGTGGGGGTCATCCATGTCCATTTATCGTTATATAATTAAAGATTGTGTTCCACAAAAAAAAAACCGGTTTCAATTGTGATAAAATCAGTTATACTCGTATGGATCTAAAAACTAAACTAAAGTACTGCTTTTGATAAAACTTCTATGGGATCAATCAGTAAAAATTTTTTCAGATAAAAAAAAAAAAGAATTTTCCAAATCGATTTAGAACTGACGCAGTTATGAGGTAACAAACAAAAAGCAATACAACAACTGAAAACCTCCTCCTTTTCGAAGTCGGTTAAAAACTATTCTATATCTAAAGTTGAAGCAAACAATACATATTTATAACGCATTGTTTGTGCTGTAACTTCTTGATGGAACTTGATGGATCTTATATCGACTGAAGATGAAGTTTCGAAACTGGTTGCGTGTATAAAAAATAAAAACATTTTTTTTAACATACTTAGAATAGCAACATTTGAGTCCTCAGGAATGGCAACGTATGGAGGGTATCATGGGCGAAACAGTATACTCTGTTATGTCCATGGTATTGCTCATGTCTATAGGCGACGGCTACCACTTTCCATCAGGTGGGCCGTCAGCTTGTTTGCCATTCTACGTTGTATAAAAAAAGCAAATAAGCTAACGACCCATCTGATGGAAAGCGGTAACGCTTATAGACATGAACATTCAATTAATCAATTACTTTAATTGACTTATTGAACAGCATGTTATTAATATTCAGGGGGAGGGGGGAACCGGTTGTTCGTAATGCGGACTACCAGTTCCATTGCTGGCAATATAGTCAGGCCTACCTCTACGTGGTCTCACCTGGGCATCATCGTGTTGAATTCCAGGTGTATTTATCACGACACACTAACTGACCTGCCATTTCGGGGGGCAAGGGATTGTTAGTAATGCGAACTACCAGTCCCATTTGCAGGACTACATTGGTTACATACTTAAAAATATATAAAACCTTTTTTTATTCAGATACTATACTCATAGTTTAAATTACCTTAATTTAATTTACATTAGTATAATATATTTGTACATAATTTTAATTAATTATATATTCTTCTCTTTCCGCGTCTAGGGAAAGTAGATAAAGTTTTGTTTGAGAAATCAGTTCAGGGTACAATAGGACTGATATACCTGAAGAAGGTAAAAGCCCTTAAAATAATATAAAAAAAAATAATTTTAATATAGACATTAGACAAACATAAATTAATCAATCAAATACTTTAATGAATTTAAATAATTTTATTTCAAATTCCTTGGTTGTCAGGTATGTAGCTTATAACATAGTAAATAGTGATAAAGCAATAGCATATACGCTATTTACATCAGACATGAATGAAGATATCTAGGTCACAGATAATATAATACTAAGATTACGTAAGAATATCATGTCTATTGATTTTACACTGTGACAATGTAAACAAATGTGTGACGTAAATTGACGCAGGTATAACTACGTTATTTAACTTGAATATTATATCTTTTTTTTAATGGATGATAATGAAATGGTAACTCTGTCTGCGCTAACGGTATACGCTTGCGGATCACCAGTGAAGGTTGATAAGTGAGAATGAAAGGGCAGGTCAGTTCGTCATGAATACACCTAGAATCCAGGATAATGGTTTCCAGAGAAGACCACGTGGAGGTCGACCTGACAGGGTACATTGCTAGTAATGGGGCTGTTAAATCCCATTATTAACAATCCCTTTCCCCTGGTAGCGGTGTTAAACGTAAGTAAAGCCGACACAAATAATTATAGTACAGTATGACTCAACCGTTATAATAAAAATCAGACTTGTGAAAAATTTCCTTGATGAACGTGATTTTGATAGATAAAAGCATTTTAGCATCATGAAAACGTGCCATTCATGCGATTTATTGTATGGGAAGTCGTCAATCATTAAGAGAGAAATTTAAGGATCTAAATTTATATATATATATATATATATATATATATATATATATATATAATAATGGGATCTAACAGCCCCATTACTAGCAATGTACCCTGTCAGGTCGACCTCCACGTGGTCTTCTCTGGAAACCATTATCCTGGATTCTAGGTGTATTCATGACGAACTGACCTGCCCTTTCATTCTCACTTATCAACCTTCACTGGTGATCCGCAAGCGTATACCGTTAGCGCAGACAGAGTTACCATTTCATTATCATCCATTAAAAAAAAGATATAATATTCAAGTTAAATAACGTAGTTATACCTGCGTCAATTTACGTCACACATTTGTTTACATTGTCACAGTGTAAAATCAAAAGACATGATATTCTTACGTAATCTTAGTATTATATTATCTGTGACCTAGATATCTTCATTCATGTCTGATGTAAATAGCGTATATGCTATTGCTTTATCACTATTTACTATGTTATAAGCTACATACCTGACAACCAAGGAATTTGAAATAAAATTATTTAAATTCATTAAAGTATTTGATTGATTAATTTATGTTTGTCTAATGTCTATATTAAAATTATTTTTTTTTATATTATTTTAAGGGCTTTTATTTATTTATTTTATTTATTTATTTATTTACACTTTATTGCACCAAGTGAGAAGTGATAGAAAAGGAAGGCGGTGTTATCGCTAAGCACTCTCGTCCAGACAACCTTTGGGTAGAGGACATTGAGAAAAAGACAAAGGGTAGGTGGCGCACTATTATATAAATATTATCATATACAAACATATATAAATACATACATACATATATACACATACATATATAATATATACACAATTAAATATATACATAACATACATACATACATACACATACATATATAATATATACACAATTAAATATATACATAACATACACATACTTAACAGCATACATACAACAGAAAAAAATGATGAAGGAAAACGAAGAGAGAACACAGGAAAATAGTACTAAAGTGAGAGGTAGTAAGATTTAACAGAGGTTTTGAAGCTAGTAAGAGTTTGAGCGCACCGAATAGAGGTAGGTAGTGAGTTCCATAGACGAACTGCCTGAACAGTAAAGGATCTAGAATAAAAGGAAGAAGAATGAGTGGGAAATTTAAGTCGGAGGTTATTGACACTGCGTAAAGTATGATCATTAGCCTCACTGAGAAACAAGAATCGGTCTTTTAGATAATCAGGAGCAGCAGGATTAAAAAGGATTGTGTAAAGAAGAGACAGGATATGCAGATTACGACGAAAACGGATAGAGAGCCACTTGAGTTGAGTGAAATAAAATCATATTTAAGACCAAATATGAAGCATACATAAATTTTGGAGACGCTAATTTGGTGAGGTCTAAATAACATGAGTCGGCATAATCAAGAATGGGTATGTGTGTGCGAGCGCAATTTTGGTGTTAACTGGGAGGAAATTAATGTCTATTTTTGCAGCAAACATTTTTTTACTGACCTCCGAGATTTTGGAGACCATATTAGTGTTATCAAAAATAATGCCAAGATTTTTTACTTTTTTCTGGTAATCTATCATAACCCCATCAAAAACCACAGGCGGAAGACTGGTCGAGGAAATTTTGGAAATAAGTATGGGACTCCCAATAATAATTGCTTTGTCTTCAAGGGGTTTATAACAAGACCATGAGATTTACTCCAGGCAGATATACATTCCAGATCGGCGTTAACAGTAGATATTGCTAAAGAGATATCAACCAGAGGGGCTAAAGAGTAAATCAAACAAATAGTGCTAATAAATAAGGCAAATTTTACCTTCTTCAGGTATATCTTTATCTGACAAACAAAACTTTATCTACTTTCCCTAGACGCGGAAAGAGAAGAATATATAATTAATTAAAATTATGTACAAATATATTATACTAATGTAAATTAAATTAAGGTAATTTAAACTATGAGTATAGTATCTGAATAAAAAAAGGTTTTATATATTTTTAAGTATGTAACCAATGTAGTCCTGCAAATGGGACTGGTAGTTCGCATTACTAACAATCCCTTGCCCCCGAAATGGCAGGTCAGTTAGTGTGTCGTGATAAATACACCTGGAATTCAACACGATGATGCCCAGGTGAGACCACGTAGAGGTAGGCCTGACTATATTGCCAGCAATGGAACTGGTAGTCCGCATTACGAACAACCGGTTCCCCCCTCCCCCTGAATATTAATAACATGCTGTTCAATAAGTCAATTAAAGTAATTGATTAATTGAATGTTCATGTCTATAAGCGTTACCGCTTTCCATCAGATGGGTCGTTAGCTTATTTGCTTTTTTTTTATACAACGTAGAATGGCAAACAAGCTGACGGCCCACCTGATGGAAAGTGGTAGCCGTCGCCTATAGACATGAGCAATACCATGGACATAACAGAGTATACTGTTTCGCCCATGATACCCTCCATACGTTGCCATTCCTGAGGACTCAAATGTTGCTATTCTAAGTATGTTAAAAAAAATGTTTTTATTTTTTATACACGCAACCAGTTTCGAAACTTCATCTTCAGTCGATATAAGATCCATCAAGTTCCATCAAGAAGTTACAGCACAAACAATGCGTTATAAATATGTATTGTTTGCTTCAACTTTAGATATAGAATAGTTTTTAACCGACTTCGAAAAGGAGGAGGTTTTCAGTTGTTGTATTGCTTTTTGTTTGTTACCTCATAACTCATAACATATATATATATATATATATATATATATATATATATATATTTATATTTATACAACTTAGAATGGCAAACAAGCTGACGGCCCACCTGATGGAAAGTGGTAACCGTCGCCTATAGACATGAGCAGTACCATGGACATAACAGAGTATTCGCCCATGATGCCCCCCATACGATGCCATTCCTGAGGACTTGAGTGTTATTCTTCTGTACCCTGTAAATTCACTGTTTCGGTTTCAGATTGTATGTAAGATCAGGTACAGAGTATTCCTCTGTACCCCGTAAATTCACGCCATATCCCACCCTTCAAACCGAAACACAGCCATGCAAACACAACTGCTTCACGGTTGAAAGACGAATGGGACAGAGGGACCCAAGCAAACGACTTTTGTACAAAGTCTCCCTCTGGTAAATCTAGATACCAAATTTTTTTCCGCACACCAATTGCTAAAGACAAAAAGATTAAGCACGTCACTATTTATTTTTCTGAATCTACGTAGGTTTGAAATAGGTTGAAGTTTACATCATTCGCCCCTTGAGACCTGATTAAGGGGGACCAAAATCTGTAAATCGCACATGACGTCCAGAACGACTAGTTTCTTCAGCTTCTAGCTTCAGGATTGTTCGTGTCTTGGTCGTTAAGTGTGGTGTGGTCGTTTAAAATATAGACAGGTTTCAACCTATTAATAGATACAGTGATTTCTTTACCTTTGATAAGCAATTTAAAGGTTTTGTCTTATCGTAGCTTCACAATACATATATAGAATAGAGAAAATTGATAGAATCATTTTTAGAAAGTGTTCTACTAATTTATTTATACAACTTAGAATGGCAAACAAGCTGACGGCCCACTTGATGGAAGGTGGTAATCGTCGTCTATAGACATGAGCAGTACTAATGAAAATAAATATTTTCACCGAAGAAATACGAGTTGAAAAACGACTTAAAAAATAATATATTTTGTGTTATATTAATTGTGTGCCTTCCATACTAACTTGGCACGTTCACTGTTAGTACAGAGGTTAAATATTTTTGTCGTTTTTGAATTATTGACTGACAAAATTTGTTTTCATATATTCTATACTTAAATTATATAGATAGAGTATCTCCATACAAATGCTTCGAGAAACGGGTCAACTTTTTCATACAATTTTGCATGATAAATAGTTACGAGTGATTCCTTTATAATTTCTATATTTATTTTGTCTTATAAATTATGCACCTTTTTAATGCACAATTGAGTCATTTTATTTCTTATAATAATTAAATATAGATACAACAATACACATTCTGTGCGTAAGTATGTAGAACATAATTAAAAAAAAAAAAACGAGTCAGCTAATTTGACAATTTGCAGACAAAAAGTTGACTTCGAGGCTCGATGCTCTATCTATGTATATAATCTAAGATTCTATAGAAGTTCTCTTAGTCGCCTCTAGAGGCTAGCTCTTTTTTCTGTGGGTGTCGCTTACGACACTCACAGGAAAGGAAGGGGTGAGCCATTTTATGCCGGGATCACACGGTGACTAATTATTTAATACAACAAATTTTTTGCAGAGCAAAATTTTTCAACATGGCAACAATACCTAAATCTCAATGACCCCGAGAATGGCCTTTGTTAGATAAAAGGTAGATGATAACCTGTTTTATGTCAATTTGTCGCGTGACCAATTTCATGCGAATTGAATGGGCAATCGAAGGAAGGGCGGCGTCCTCTTGTGGAGTTCATAAAACAAATTGGTTTAGAATATCAGATAACAATCGCTACGTTATTGTTTCTTTAATTTAATATAATAAAATTGTATTATTAGGTACTAGTTGTACACCGCCGTTTTACCTGTTGCAATCAAATTATTCTGTGTTAATGTAATCATCCAGTTTACATGTTATCATCATCATCATATCATAACTGTCCACTGCTGAACATAAGCCTCCTCCTTGGGGGGTATTGCCATGCTTGGCAAGTAGACTGGCAACCGCAGTTAGACTTTTAGAGATGTTTTAAGAGGGACGCTTCTGCCCATTCTTTGCCCTCCCTTAGTCGCCTCTTACGACATCCACGGGATAGACAGGGGTGGTTTATTTTTTTCTTCAAAATTCTAAGTAAATAAGTAAAAATAAGCAAATAGGTAAAAAGGTAAATAAGTATGTATATAGGTAAATAAATAAGTAAGTAGTAAATAAGCAAATAAGTAAATAAAAAATAATATATTTTGTGTTATATTATCCTAAAATTTACTTACTAAAATTACAGATAAGCATGTTTGGGTATTTATATGTTGTTACGCAATTATATTTAGATGGAATTGACTATTTAGTACATGGGTGGGTTATATTCTAATGTAACACATAGGGCACTTTATATATTAATGTACGTGGACAAAGCCGCGAGAAATAGCTAATTATGACATTAATTCAAAATAATTATGTCAACACTCCCACAATTTTATCTGTCAGTAACTGTTAATTGCTCAGTATATATGTTTTATCACAAAATATGTATTTGTGTGTTATTTCCTTGTTTTTAATTAATAATAAATTATTGTGTCAGTCAGTACTTACTTATTGCATCCGAGTTTGGGGATCTGCTGCTAAGATCATATTGCTGAAACTAGAAAGAGCTCAGCGTTCTATATTAAAGGTCATGTTCAAAAAGCCTTTTAGATATTCAACAGCTTCTTTATTTAATGACGCAAAGGTCTTAAGCGTTCGTAAACTGTATATTTTCAAAATTATAACTATTGGTCACAGCATAATCCAAAAGTCACTGAATAACCCTAAGGCTTCAAACAAGCGTTTTTACACTCTCCCTACACCTACTACTAAAACTAGTTTTGCCAGACGCTTCTCTTCTTGCATGATCCCATTCATATATAATAAATTTTGCAAAATTTACAATCTAAAGAACTGCACCCTAAAAGAAACAAAATCAAAAGTAAGCGAACATCTGAAATCTATGAATTATGACGATACTGAAAACATGCTCTTGTTAATCATATAAATGAAAATACTGGTCACATACATACAAACACACACACACACACACACACACACACACACACACACACAAACACACACACACAAACACACACACACACAAACACACACACAGAGAGACACACACCACACACACACGCATGCACACACACTCATTCATAATACTTATTTATACATGTGTATTGGTGGTGAGAGAAAGAAAAAATAAATAAATAAAATAATTGTATTATACAGATTAGTTACACAATTGTGAGTACTGCTAAAAAGCCTATGTTTAATATCTATATGCATGTATATGATAACACGAGTACTGCTTCCTACAGGACAGGCTCAGCCTAGTGTAGGAGGCAATGATAAATTCTGTGCTAATACAAACATACTTTGTTAAATAAATAAATAAATAAATAAATAAAAATAAATTTACCTCTAGACATTGGAGATAGAAGATGATAATGCACACTAGATCCGCCAGCGGAATGTCCCGTTAAGGTTATGCTGTCAGGATTCCCGCCAAATGCACGGATATTTTTTTTAATCCAATGCAAAGCAAAGGCTTGATCTTTCAGCCCTAAATTTCCAGGCAGGACATCGTCACCCGTACTCAAAAAACCTGTGGAGAAATCAATATAATATCTAAATAAGTAGTGAAATTGTAGTAAGAAATATCTTGTGTAATTGTAACAATTTATCTATAAAGGAAAACGCAAAGGTACTTAGCCATACAGCCTGAAACTTTTTAAAACGTTTTCCTTTCAAAGTTTTTTTTTGTTTGACTCGAAAGAAGTATAAGAATAAGTAAACAGTTTTCTTCTGTTTTTATTGGTACTCGTAAAACAATTATTCTAAGAGTATTCAAGCTAATTAGCTAACTGATTTTGAAGAAACAACATAAAAAAAAATATATTTAGTTTTTGGTGATGTTTAAAGACGGAAGCTGCTGCCCATCTTATTCATCGTATAGTAAATGTAATTTAATATTGTAGTTGCACATAATATATGAAGTTTTGTATTATAGTTTTAATCAAGCAAACTTTCAAACTCTCAGTATAGCAAAGAAGTTGTGTAATTATCATAAATTATTATATATTCACCAGAGGGAGACTTTGTACAAAAGTCGATTGCTTGGGTACCTCTGTCCCATTCGTGTTTCTACCGTGAAGCAGTTGTGTTTGCATGACTGTGTTTCGGTTTGAAGGGTGGGATATGGCGAGAATTTACAGGGTACAGAGGAATAACACCCGAGTCTTCAGGAATGGCAACGTATGGGGGGTATCATGGGCGAAACAGTATACTCTGTTACGTCCACGGTACTGCTCATGTCTATAGGCGACGGTTACCACTTTCCATCAGGTGGGCCGTCAGCTTGTTTGCCATTCTAAGTTGTATAAAAAATAATAATAGAACATAGTGTAAGTAATATTAGATTATGAAGGATTTGCAACTATGCAATATGGTAACAGCTTGTTGGATTGTGTGACATTTACTTTTCAACAAACTTGAAATAGATATAGTTTCTCAATTCGGTTGTATTTTTTTTTATATTTGTTACTTCATAACTCCCTTAGTTGTAAATCGATTTGGAAAATTCTTTCTTATCTGAAAGGATTTACTTAAAGATTAGTTGCATAGAGATTTTATCTAATTCGATTTAGTAGTTTAGTTTTTAAACCAAAATGACTTAACCAGTCATGTCACAATTGAAGTCTTATTTTGTGGGACTTATTTTTGAAAATCGTTTACTATAGATGTGAATAAATACGCGCACGTGACATCCTAGGCGTTCATAGGCTACAGTGACTATTTACCATCAGACAGCTAGTATGGTCGTTTTAGGTATTAAAATAAATTATATTATTAATAAATTGTCTGATAATATTAAAAGTTTGACCTACGCACGATTTAAAAGACAACTATTGATGACCATCTAATTAATAATTATTTCTATTCTTTAAAAGACTTTTTAAACAATTGTAATTTAAAACAATCAACTTTGTTAAAGTTAGTTGTTAATTTTACGACTGCATTATTTTAGTAAACGTAAATATATATATATATATATATTTACGTTTACTAAACAAGTGTAATTAATTTTAAGATCTGCTACTGGCAATCACTTATCACCAATATTTAGTAAATAAAAATTCATTTATCTATTCATACTACATTACGATATCGTATGGTCTGATGCTGTATACGAGTATAGTGATTTAAACATGCGACGGTTTACCGCCAGCGGCCACGGCCATTTTAAACGATAACTCTTTTGTTTACATGGTAGATAACATTTTGTCACAATTATTCATATTACTTAATCAATTTTTAACGAAGTTATGAAGACGACTTCACATTATGTATGTTATCTAATTCTTTAATTTATTTAATTAGATATGGTTATCAAAGAGGAAAAAATCCCGTTTGCTATCTGAAATGAAACCAGTTTTTTTGTATTCTACAATATTATGTAAACAATATTCGACATTTATATAGGTATAATATGCATTTGTATGTATTAATGGTTTCTGTGACCTGATTATCTAAATAAAAAAAAAAAAAAAACTAATTTTATAAAGACATAATTTTTTGTTGTAATGGATAAAATATTTTTTTTTTATAATTTAATAAATTAAACAAGAATATTTTATCTGTGGAAAGCTACATTATAAGCGAGTAACATGGGCTGATTTTAGATTATATAGAATTTGTACTATATTTTCTTTTTTTTTAAATATCATTTATGTTTACGACTGAAGGACTTGTATCCATGGTCATGAATAAATAAAAAAAATAATTGATTATATAGATAGTGTGTCTCCGGAATTCCAAATTCGAAATTAAAAAATCGACTTGATATGTGAAAAATTTTCATTTAATAACTTGCGACAAAGAAAAAAATGGCGCGTTTTTTTTATTGAAATAAAATGTATATGAAAACTTAATCAGTTACACGGTTCTCTAGTCTCCTTGCATTTAGTCTCATTTCTTTTAGATTTAAAAGGCTGATCATGCGAGAAGTCAGGGCAGGTCGCTATTTAGACGATGGTATATATTCTTAGTATTATATAATATAAAACTGTTAGATATTTCGTGAAAGTACGTTCTTATTAAAGAAGAAATATTACTAAAGATTTATGACCTGTAATTATCTATTCTATCTATATGTTACGTCTAATAAATCTCTATTCAGAATGCCTATAAGCATTAAATTTTGACATGTATTTTACATCATTAGAGCTACATTATCAGATGGTTTGATGTTACCGCTTGTGACAGCTAATATGGCCACTGTATGATAACCTTTTATGTTTGCATACGGTAGATAAAATTTTGTCATACTTATTTAACTGTAATATTCAAATATTAATGAATTCGACTCGAGATTACCATGTTATACGTAACTTATAAAATATTGAGTTCCTTCTTTGTAGATAAGCAAATAAAATATGGTAATGTATGAAAAACATATCCCTTTTTGGTGACCTCGTTAAGTTACTGGAAATTAGTTTTCCCGTTGCATAAACATCGTAATAACATTCAAAACTTAGTTACTTATATGTGTACTAGCTGTATCACGCGGCTTTGCTCGTGTGAATCAGTACATGAAGTACTAAGTTAATATTATAACCGTATTCGTGTACGAAATTTCATTAAAATCCGTTCAGTAGTTTTTGCATGAAAGAGTAACAAATATCTATACATTCACACATAGAAACTTTCGTATATATAACTTTTACCCGTGACTTCGTCCGCGTGACTGGGATATGTTTACCGTTTGGAATAAAAAGAAGCCTATATCATTCTTCAAACTTATCTTTCTTTTATTTCTTTCCACATAATACGCGTATACTAAATTTCATAGTGATTGGTTATGTTGTTAAAGCACTATAAGGTAAGAAACAAACAAGCTCACTTTCACATTTATAATATTAGCAAGCAAAATAATAAAGTGTGATAGAAATTTGTGCCCAGCAGTCAGACATAGGGCTATTTAAAGTCCGCCATACATAACGCGATTTTTCGCTTATAATAATCCAAACGATAATTAGAATCGTAATGGGGTTTTTTCTATACTAAATTGTGTACGACAATACTATACATGTACGATTTATGGTTTGATTTTAAACATCGAACAAAAGTATGTGGAGCTTAAAGAAGAGAGATATATTGTTCTTGAGAATTAGGTATAGGAAACAAAGGGTACTTACCCAAGGGTCCTAACCTGTAATGCAATGTGACAACTACTAAATCCCTGTCCATTAGAAGGAAGGGCCCATAGTGGTATCCTGAGCCGTACATAAACGCCCCTCCATGAATGAAAACCACCACAGGTAAGAGTTTCTCAGGGTTCAGGTTTGCTGTATGTACATTGACATACAAGCAATTTTCACTACCTGGAACGTAAAAAAGTGACAATAATTTATTGTAGGTACCTAATTGATTTTCTATGAAATACTAGGAAGGCAGAATTGAGTAGGAGGCGATCACGTTATTTCAGTAGTATTATCTGTCTCTGTCTGTAAATTACTTTATAGATATCTTTATCATAATTTAATTCAAAAGCCTACTCCATAAATGGTTCAATAACCTCCATTTCTATGCAAATACTGTAAAGGTGTTCTTGGTGTTGTTCATAATAAAGTATAGCAACGTTGCAATTGTATGTCAGTTTTTAAAATCAATTGAACAGTTTTCAATATTTCTAACTGATTAATATAAAAGGCCAAATTAAAAGTACCCGTAACCGGCGAGCGTGTATGACAAGATTGATGAATGTGGAAGAAGCGAAAGAGGTTTGTTTGAATCGAAGCATTTGGCATTCCATTGTTTCTGCCTACCCTAATGGGAGACAGGCGTGACAGATATGTATGTATGTATGGAATTAAAAAAATATGAATTAGGTGCAAAGTTTTTAATAGTAGATTTATATGATTAATATTTATAATATTTATTAATATTCTATGATTAATGTTTTAAATTAGCAGTCAAAAATATTGAAAAACGTTAAATTGTTTTTTATAGTTGACAGATAATCGCGACGTTGCAACACTTCGGTAAGTAAAAGTTATGAAAGCTCTTAATAAATGGTTGTTCATTATCAGTACTTAGATAGAGGGCAAAACTGAGTAGATGGTAACATTATTTCAGTGGAATTTACCTGTAACTTGTTTATAGGTAGAATATTATTAGAACTCTCATTTGTCTTAAGAGACTATTTGATAAATTATAGTAATTGGAGTTCCATTACCATTTTGGCATTCAATAAATTGTTGATTATTAGCGAATATCTGACGTTACCTAGTTGATTTCCCGTAAAATACTAAGGCAATATTTTTAATGGGTGATAATAGAATGGTTATCAGTATACGCTGACGAGGCTTCACTCAGCGATGGTAGGTGAGTATGAAAGTAGGTCAGTGAATCCATCCTAACGAATTCCACAAGAATTTACCTTGATGGTTTCCAAGGGCAACCGCGTGAAATGGGCTGTCACACTCCATTATTTACAATCCATTTCTAGATACTAGGGGAGCAGAATTGAATAGTTGGTGATAATTATTTCAGTAGGCTTACCTGTTACTCGCTTCACGGATGGTTCGTACTGCAAGCAGTGGGCGAGAGGTTTACTCGCGTCCCGAACTCCAGTCCACGTTTGCGGAGGCTCTGCATCCTGCGACACATTTGTGTGGTAGCCTATGTGTGTACATATATTTATTTATATAAAGTGTAAAAGAAAGAACACAATAATCCAATATCCAGTGACAAAAATCAATTGTTTTCTGAAAGCGATGTGGGTTGACAAATGAAAACAGTGCGAATCGTTAGCAGTCATATACATACTAATAGCATCGGAATTAGGCAAAATAATTTTAATCAAATAACTAGTGATGTGGACTTCCGCAAGAAAACACCTAGTTCTGTGTTTCGGTTTGAATGGTGGGATATGGCGTGAATTTACTGGGTACAGAGGAATAACACCTGATTCCTCAGGGATGGCAACGCATGGGGAGTATCATGGGCGAAACAGTATACTCTGTTATGTCCATGGTACTGCTCATGTCTATAGGCGACGGTTACCAATTTCCATCAGGTGGGCCGTCAGTTTGTTTGACATTCTTAGTTGTATAAAAAAAAATGTATTTGCCGTTTACTGTCCACTGTTCAGTGTAGTTTCCTCCATAAGCGGAGTTTGCCAGTACTAGTTACTTGGTGGGCGGGTAAGCAATCGCAGTTTGGCTTTTGGTAATGTTTTAAAAATGGACGCGGCTGCCCATTTCTCGACCATTAAATTCGTTTAGTCGCCTCTTACGACATCTATAGGAATATTACAATAAATGTTATGCTCCTATAAATGTAATGCCTATCGCTCATCAATCAATCCATCATTAGTAAAATCGATGAAATCAAATTTATACTCTTTAGAATTCCAACATTCAACCCTTTATTTGTGATTTTGGATTATTATACTCATACTTTACATTTTGTATGTTTACATAGATTAAAGATTGTATCTGCGGTCATATTTATGATTTATTTTTCATTATTTTTTTTTCATGATATTATTCAAAGTTATTTATTAATTTTAGACAGAAATTCTTATTTTTACATTTATGTTCTGATAGTCTCCCAATACATCAAATCGCAGCGTATTTAAATGTTAAATTTACTTTGTGCAAAGTAGCTATCAGCTCTTGGATCACTAATAATCTTGATGGGACGCGTTATAAATCGTTTGAGTTATTCAAAACTACTTCACAAACTGAGGGAAAATATTCATATTTTTAATAATTTTTAATAATTTTATTTATATTGGTATCTGCTTGAGCAGTTTCAGGCCAAATAGTCTCAATCTAAGGTATCTAAACTTAAGTTACACGATTACTATTAAGGCGTTTACTAGAATGGAGTCCATTTCCCATATTTAGAGTTGACCCGTCGCTCATATCAAAAAAAAGGACGAATCGCTCTGTCATTTGCGCAGTCCAGAACTACCACAAAAAAAGTATAGTCCAATTGTGAAGCTATTGTTGTGCAAGATACTGGCAGAACTATATCTTAATAAGGTTCATTTTCCAACTAAGTCTTCATAGAAACATTATACTTGTAAAAACAAAAGCTGTAACTATGTACATAATTACATTAAATATTTAATAATAATAATCATTTTATAATTTAATGGTTTAATTGTCTAACTTAACAAAAATTAGACTATTATCTCGTTTACAATATGCCCATTGTACCATTTTATTTAACCGTGCATTGCATAATATGTCAATAATATTTATTTAGTTTTTACTTGCAACTTCCCCTTCGTGATCGTGATTTATCTACCAGGATAACACGTAGCCTATGTCTTTGTTCATTTTACATTATAATTCTTAACGATTTAACCAATCCTTCTGCAATTTGGTATACACGTAGGTACTATATGAGATGGACAAAGACATTGGCTATTTTTATCCGGCTCACATGGACCAAGTCGCGGTTAAAAACTAATAATATTTATAAACAGGAAACATTTGTATTTTTGTGTGTATGTTTGTAATGAATAAACTCAAAAACTACTTTGCCGATTTAAAAAATTCTTTCATCATTAGAAAGCTACATTCACCCTGAATAACATAGGCTATATTTATTGCTAGAAAAGATTAGGGGTCCTTACTAAAACTTTAGTAACGTAACTCAAGGTGTAAAAAAATGTTATAAAATATCTTTTGTCGCGTGCGCTACGGAAACCATTGGTGATAGAACAAAAGTATGTTCTACAATATTGAAGAAAATATCAATAACTACAAAAAATTTCGCGATACCATACGTCCAACTATTATTGTTATGTCACAATAACCAATTTTTTTAAATGTTGTAATAATGTCCACCCGTGCGAAGCCGGGACGGGCCGCTAGTAGTAAATAAATGCATATTATATAGTATACTGTTAAAGAAAATGATAATGTTATAATAGGTGTATTGTAAACGAGAAAGAGAGAGGTCTAATCTTTTTTAAGTTAGACAATAGACTTACGAAGGTATATGTATAACTTTACATACATTATTTGTTTGTCTAATTGAACCTATTTCTCTCTATTTGAGGGTTTTAAACTCTATAGAGTTTTAAAACTCTATGAGAGTTTTAAGGTAAAATTGTAACTAGATGAAGATAGAAAATAAACAGTTAACAAATTGTTAACTGTTATAAACAAACAAACGGCCAGAAATGGGAAGCGGAATAAATTAACTTTATAAATTTTCTGGTTAGATGAACTCTTACAAATTGAAAGTCCTCACTGAGTTAAATAAATAATTGGAAGCTAATTGTTCACGTAAAATATTCACGTGCATTTCTCAAGATTCAAATGTTTTTAAATCGTTCATATTTCGAAGAAATAAAAACGACGAAAAATTGGGAAAGAAGGAGGTTTTCGATCCAAAATGTACTACAATAATATGTAAATGTTATTAATTATGTCCATGTTAATTAATCATGATTAACCATTTAATAAATTTAAATGAAGTAAAACACATTCTGAATTAGATGCGAGCAGAATCGTAGTTAACAGTTCATTTTCATTAAGCTCCTGTAATGGAACAAAAATTGCGTCGAATTTGCCAAAAAAATTCGTCATTTTTGTATTGTTTGTTAAAGTAATTGAATTCCTTTCATTAGATCCAATTTCACGTCTATAATGTTGTTAAGGAAATATGTATTATTAGATCGTAAAATTGTATATTGGTTTCTGAATGAAATAAGATACGAGGTTTTTGAAGAACATCATGTTTTGTTATAATGAGGTCGATTCTGAGGCGCCATTCTTTAATCTTTTACTTAATTTTAATTAAAGCAACATAATTATAAAATTAGTTTACGGTTTATGGTCGGTAAAACATTAATTAAGAGAAACTATTAAATTCTAAATATAAGGAAGAGCTACCTCTTTTTAGTTTAGAGAAATTGCGCCTCTGAATCGACCTCTTTATTATAAAATCTAATACAATGGAGAGAAAAATTTTATTCAAATTTTTTTTGCTCTTTGTAAATTGCCAAATTTTGACTTACGTGAATTTAAAACTTCAGGGACAATAGGTTGATAAATGATGAGGAAATTTGAGCCACAGTTCAGTTAATTCAGGTACATTCAAAATTTTTTGTCATTATTAAGTCTCACATTTAAGAAATCGCTGTCTTAATATATTCTATAGGATCAGTAGAATTTTAATTTTATGTAGAACTAACGACTTCGATTAAAACTCGAGAAGGAATCAACAATTGTTAGAATTAATTAAATTATAAGTATGTAACTTATAGAATAATTATTTGGTTCATCGTATAGGTTCCTAAAGCCATTATTAAATTAACAATGCGAAACTTACCTTAAATCTATTTTTATTTATCGGTGGTTCCGCATACGGAATCCCATAAAAACTAGCAAACGTTCGCCCTTTAACGGACGTCTTCCAAACACCATGTATCGCACCATCGGTTAAATTAACTATTGGACTAAGATACGTTGAGGCCGAGCCGATTAAAATAAATAATAACACAACAGTCTTATGTATCATCTTGACACAATACAGTAAAGTACTCGACCGGTTATCTTTGAACGTTTATGTTTTATTGGAATGAGGATGACGTAGCTTTTGTAGCAACTGTTACCATTCTTACTATCTTTATTGCCAATTTATAGAAGTGTTATTATCTGTGGTTTTATGTATATAACATACTATAATATTTATTGGCATCCTTGGAATATTATTTACAATGGCAAATAACATGGGCTTGTTTGCCATTATAAGGATCATCTTCATTATACCATGTTGTATCGTATATGTTATACAACATTTAATACATTATTATAATGATATCAATATTTTAATATATATAATATATATATATATATATATATATATATATATATATATATATATATATATATATATATATATATATATATATATATATATATATATATATATATATATTTTAATATATTATAATGTATTATAATTAATATATATATGGCACTGAAAATCAGCGCTGCAATAAATCTTTATTAATAAAAACAGGATTGCACTGTTATATATTTTTTGCCTATATGGATATCTATATATGTTCACAGACCGAGATATAAACCAGCTTATGTCCTTCCCCAACTCATATAATAAGTGTGTACCAAATTTCACAGAAATTGGTTAAGGCATTAAGGCGCGATAGGTAACGAACAAAAAACCTCCCTTTCATTAGGTATTTTATGCATAAAATTGGTAAGGATTTATTTAGTTATTTTTCTAATTTTCCTATAATAACTTTATAACAAATTCAAAGTAAGTTAAAACTTTAAAGTTAATCTAAAAAGTTACTTAAGTACCTACCTTAGGTACCTTTTAATATATTATCTGTGTTTAATTTCAAGTTGAAATCTGTGTTTTGTTTAAGTAAGAGGTTTGTGTGGATAGAAAGTTATAAGTGTTCAGCGTCAGATTATAAGACAGCCGAGCTACTCTTCACAAAGTGACGTGCATTGTTTAACTAGTTTTCAGGTATGTGCGATTTTATACGGGTGGATTTTGAAAGTAGGAATAATATCTATACGTCTATGATATATATATATATATATATATATATATATATATATATATATATATATATATATATATATATATAGCAAAAAAGCATACGACTCACCTAATGGTAAGCTGTTACCGTAATCTATGAACGTTTGTAATACCAGGGGCATTACGCGCGTTTTTTTGATCCTAAGAAAATCTTTATATCCCTTGGGGGTAAGGGATTGTTAGTAATGGAGACTGAGAATCCCATTGCTAGCAATATACCCAACCAGGTCGACCTCCTCGTGGTTCCCCCTGGAAACTATCATGGTTAATACCTGATGAATCCATCATGATGGGCTAACTGGCCTGTTTTCATTCTCACCCTTCTATCACCCTTCACTGGTGTTCCGCCAGCGTATCCCGTTAGCGCAGGCGGGTTTACCATACCATTTGCACGTATAAAAAAAAATCTCTATATCCCTTTTTTGAAGAATTCCATGCTATAGTCTCTTGGAAAAACATCGACAAGAAGCTCGCTTACTATGTTGGTCAATTATTATAACAATTTTTAGTTTCGGACAATTGTTTTAACTTTACTCGAAAGTCTTCTTCAGGGTGAGTGCGATGCTTTGGGTCACAGCGTATCGAAAATAAAAATAATATTACTCTACATACATGCAATGTACTGTGTTTAATTGTTTATAATCATTATCATAATATCAACGGTTATCTATCCGGTGCTGAACATAGGCTTCTCCCTTAAGGTGTTTTGTCAGTAGTCGCCACGGTTGGCAGGCAGGTTGGCAATCGCAGTTAGTCTTTGGTGATGTTTTAAAAGGGACGTTGCAATTCCTGGACCATTAAATTCTTTTAGTCGCCTCTTACGATACCCACGGGAAAGGAAGGTGTGACTTATTTTATGCCAGGATCACATGGAAAAAATATGCCCATGATAATCAAGCGATTTGGAGAATTATTTTATATATACGTTATGAAATAAAGGGAAAATTTTTTATTTTTTATTTTATGCAAAAGAAAAGATCAAACTTTATAGGGCCTTTTGTCCGCTCCTGCGCGTTCGAATGTAATTTAAATATTATGTAAGGGCTTTGTAATCTTCAATTCGTTTGGGACTTCCATTCCAATTTGGAGACTAATAAACCTATTTTGTGCTTTCAGTAATCCTTTATACCGACTTATAAATAGATTCTAATTATTACAAAATTCTTTCCTTTCAAGATATAGTACTTTGTGAGTTCTTGGCACAATAATATTAATCAGGATTGCCAGATGTAATTTTAGATCTTTAGTCAAATGCCAATTTCTTTCTTTGAATCAATATTTGAACGTTGAACTGAATCTAATGTATTGTTATTAATCGGTTTTTTAACATAGTATTATAATGTTGTTATTATTAGTTGAATAAATAGTTGGTGTATTGTTAAGTATGTATTAAATGTAATGTATCTTGTACCCAATAATAATTTTGCATGCTTTAGACAATAAGGCGAATATTTGTACTTCACAATGGATCAATATCTGTAAAAAACAATGTTCTGGCAAATAAACAAATCTAATCTATGATTTTCTCTATTTTTACCTAATCATAGACTTGGCTTGCCGTGTGGTCCCGGTATAGAATAAGCCAGACTCTTGCTTTCCCGTGGGTGTCGTAAGAGATGACTAAGGAAGGGCGAGGGGTGGGCAGCAGCGTCGCTCTTAAAACATCACCAAAGCCTACCTGCGGTTCCCAACCCACCTGCAAATTCTTCAAATATTAATTCATACAAATGTATTTTATTTGAAATTTGACGTGTACGGACAATATAAAAGAGTAACAAAATGAAAGGAGACATAGGTACATGTTCTTTTCAACTCTTCGCTTTCATCTCTAAAGAAACTTGTAGAAAATTTGTACAACGTTGTCCATTTTGCTAAGAAAGCAAGTTGTAATATCGTCGGACGAACTCACTTATCTACGTTAATATTTAAAGAGAAAAGATTTGATTGTTTGTTTTGTTATTGCATAAATTCAGAAACTACTCGACAGATGTTATAAATTCTTTCACCTATAGAAAGTCTATGTTACTTGTTGATAATTTGAAAAAAGGAGGAGCTTTTTAATTCGATTGGTTTTTTTTTTATGTTCGGTACGTCAGGATTCTGTCAATTGTAAATCAATTTGGAAAATTCTTTTTCTATCTGAAAGAATACACATATATTCAGATTGCTCCCATAGAAATGTCATCAAAATCGATTCACTAGTTTAGTTTTTCAATTAAAACCATTGGTTTAAGGTGTTATTTTGTGAAACAAGATCATAAATTATTTTGTTACAATTAAAGTCTCTATTGGAGATAAGCTCGCCTTTGTGCACTATTATGTTTGTTTTTACATTTTAATAACCTTTTGTGTACAATAAAGAATAAAGAAAGAAAGAAAGAAAAGTTTTTTTTTTGCAGAGCAAAAGTTGCTTGTTTGCGAATTAAAATCTTTTTACTGGAACAAAAACAACATCACTGACTGTAATTAATTTCATGTTTCGAACATTCAAAATTCAAGCTCCTTATCCGGGCACAGTCTTGATGAAAATTGTTGTTGTTATTGCATCACTTGGTATTTAATCTCAAACGGTGGCCACAACGAAATGGCGGATACGAGCATGGTGTTGTAGTGAAATAAAAAGTAATATCCGATGGCGTGTGTAAGTAACGTTAGATCCGGCGCAATATCCAGTTTGTTGAACATTATTGAGAAATACCTAGACAGCTTTTGTTTATCTTAAAGTCTGCGAGAAAAATCTATGTTAATCTATCATACTGCAGTAAAACCTAGTATTTGATGTACGAGTAATAGAAGTTTCAAATTTGGAACATTATTTAATTCCATTTTTAAAATAACATAAAAAAGGTTTTACAACTTAAAGAATTTTAAATTCTACGCATTTTTTTTTATTATTATATCAGCCGTTACTTGCCAATGCTGCATATAGAACTCCCCCATAAGAGGGGGTTTTGCTAGTAGTTGTCACGCTTAACAGGCAGGTTGGCAACCGCAGTTAGGCTTTGGTGATGTTTTAGGAGGGACGTTGCTGTGCATCTCTCGACCATTAAGTCTCTTTATTCGCTTCTTGCAACACTCTTGGAAAAAGAAGGGGTGGCACATTCTATGCTGAGAATACACGGCGAATTTTACGCAATAGTCATTTTTAAAATTAGACAACGATATTTGATATAGTTTTTGTTACATAAAAAAGACAGTGACTTCAAACTTGGTGTTTAAAATTAACCTTTTTACATACGATGACATTTGTAGTTTTTTATAAAAAAGAAAATTGATAAACAATTGAAATAGAACAAAATACATAATATACAACAAGTCAACAGACGACAATTTTATTTTACAACTAATATAAATAATAATATATAATAACAAGAACCAGCATATTTTACAAACACTTGGCAAAACTAGTTAATTTATTTTAAAGACTAATTTTATTTTTTATGAAAATTGCACGGGATCAATTTGAGAGTATTTAAAAAAAAAATTTTTCAAATCGGTCGGTAAAAAAAGATGGTGTCCTGGGATAACAAACCGAAAGAGATATATATAATCAAATCATCATCAGAGTTTTCTTTTTTTTAAAGTTTGTCATTAAAAACGGTTCTACATTTTAAAAAAATAATATTTTACTCAATAGAGATTTTAAAATTTAGATAACGACGTTCAGAAAAGGTAAAATAAACGACGTTAGGTCAAGAGCGTGTTTTCATTTATTAAATGCTCGGAGTAGATTATATGGCAATTGCCATAATAAATCTTTATTGTTGGTATAATAAATCAAAAGTGATTATTATTATTATATTCGGTATGAGCATTTATTGGCAATACTGCCAATATTCTTGAAAGGCGCTGTAAAATAATGAAGCTACCCGTTTAATTAATATATTGATGGAATTTTGATATAAATAGGAAATATTTACCAGAGGGAGACTTTGTACAAAAGTCGATTGCTTGGGTACCTCTGTCCCATTCGTGTTTCAACCGTGAAGCAGTT